TGTTCTTATTGTCTGCAGCTGCTGTCAGACTATACCGCCTATGGTGCCACTTCTCCTTTCTTACTACTGTTGAAATCTTGCTCTTTTATCTCTTTCTTTCTTTTTTAATAGCTTCTGGTATTTATATCTATGCTAGGCTTACTGAGGAGGTTGTCATGAGGTTGGCATATGTATATGCATTGATTCCTTCAGATGCCTGATTCTCCAGCATTGTTCCTCATTGAGGAGTTAGGACAGTTTCTTCCCTTGAGAGATAGAAATACTTGCCATTAGTTTGTCTCTTAGACTATCATAAGGATTTATTGCAGGTGGTGAAATTATTTCTCTAACTTCCTGGGATGCCTTGTGGGTTAGTTTCTGCCAAATGGAGCATTGTTTTGTGTAGATTTTTTTTCTTTTTGCCCCATCATTTGATTTTCATTTAAACTAGTGAACTCCATTTTCACAAACCTAACACATTCATGATGTATTAGCATATAAAAATGAATACATGTGTGTGTGTGTGTGTGTGCTTTCTTTCTAAAATCTTTGAACAGATGTCAGTTAAATGAAATCTCAAAATAATGACTTTTATAGTTTTGTTTTGTTTGTTTAACATCATATCAACACCTTATGGGTCACATATAGTTTGAATAAATTTAGAAACACAAAACAAAATCATAAAAAATAAGCAAAAATTTAATATATTAAGTTATTTATTAATAATAAGAGCAATAGTCCAGAAAAATAATATAATCATTGAAAATTTACTTTATTGGAAAATTTTAATGAAGTTTAATGCTCTAGCATTTCCAAGTGTGGAGAGATACAATCAATAATTCTTAGATAACAAGTTTATCCATACCATCAAAGGATAACAACATTTAAGCAATTTTACAATTGCATTGATTAGAATTTTTTCTTGAGTAACTGAATACTTTTATCCATACAGTTAACTCTATTTATCACATGTAAGAAATCTGATATGTAACAAAAGAAATTAAAAGCAATGTATCTGCAGCCTTATCTTCCCTACTTACTAATATTTCGTTATTGATAGTAAGTAATATCTCCTGTTACCATAGAATTAATAAAAGGGGAAGACCAGGATGCATGATAAAAAAATATATAAAATCACATTGTGCTTGATATTATAGGATAGATTAAATTGTAACAATAAAACTGTGGAATGGTTGCATATAAATAAGTTTAAAAATTAAAATTTCTAATTCATAAACAGTAATTTGTAAAATATCAGGTAAAAATATTAGGTAGCAATATCAGGTAAAAATATATAAATCTTTTTTAGTATAAAGTAGAAAATTATAGTTAGTATTTTTTCCAACTTTGTACATAAATTTAAATTTTGAAAATCCTTTGTATAACACCGGTTGACATTTTTTTTTACCCAAATGTTGTTGGGCAATGGGCACATGTTTCTGGGTTATTTTTTCACATTGAATCTGAAAATCAAGTCCATTTTTTCCCATCGCATCACATATTCTCCGTATAGAAAATTTTTATTTTTCTTAAAATAGGCCAAAATACCTATTTATGCCAGAGCCAAGTAGAACCAACCTTAAACATTTTCAAGTTAGAATAACTTATCATAAAAGAAAAAGTATCCCAATAACTTAAAGAATGCATTTTCAGCTCAGAAAAAGTTTTCAGAAAAAATTAAATTAAGACAAACATGTGTCAGCAAGTGTTGAATCAAAAAAAGACGAAGATACAAAGGAAAAATACATTCATTTTTGTCCATCCAAAGGTATAAATCTTTTCTTCTTGGAAATTCTACAGTACTTTTGAAAAGGTTGATCTCTTTTGATGCTCCAGCACAAATCAGCCATCATGTTAACATCCCATCTGCTTTGTATCTTTCTTCCATATTACCTTGAGTTCCTGGTGAAACCTTTCTCCCTGTACTGTAATCACCAAGATTACTAGGAAACTGATCAAGGTGACTAAATAGAAAGTGAATCTTGATACTCATGTTGCATCCGAGTAGTTTAAAGGAGCTGAGAAGCCTTTCCACCATCCCTCTATAAAATCTTATGATGGTTTCAGGCTTAAAGTGAAAACAACTAATAAAAACTAAAATTGCTGTTCTTGAATGACTTCTAAAGAGTTTCTATGAAAAGTAGAGAAGAAACATAACAAAGTTTTAACAAGCTAAGAACATTGAGGGCACAAGAACATTTTCTAGTTCTTTTAGAACATCTCTCATAAAATCAAGCATTTTCAGGTCAGTTTATCTGAACTGAAATAGTCTAGAATTCATTTTGAAAATTATTTGGATACTTTTTCTTGAATGATTGTTGTAGAGTAGTTTCACAGTGGAGGCTTGTATTTCACTAAGTCAGTCCTAAAAAGGTTCGACGTACAAAACGTTAGGAACTTGATATAATAGTTAATGACGCAAAGAAATCTAGTGGTGGTCGCTGATACTTTTAGTATCTGACTAACGGTCGTCTGACATCGACTGACTGACCAACTCACTGAGTGACTGGCGACTGCTACTACTCCTACTTATTATAGGTGGGAGAGTCTATTAACAATAGAATAGGTGTGTTCCAGTATAACAGTGTTAAATCATTTTAACATGAAATGAAATGTTTCAACTATGTCATTCGCATATTTAAGCTGTGGCATATCCCTGTGAATTAGGCATCTTGGTTTATTTTAAGCAAAATAGAAATAGATCTGTACTGTGAAAACATGATGTGATGGGGCAAAATGGACTTGACTTTTCAGATTCAGCATGAAAAAATAGCTGAGAAACATGTGTGCATTGCCCAACAATATTTGGGTAAAAAAAATGTCAGCAGGTGTAATTGTCAAATTTAAAATCTAACCCATGAACATTATAAAGAACTTGATCTATGTATGTATCTATCTATCAAATATATATATATATGTATATATGTAGTGTTAATGGATTTTTTTTAATCCTACATTTTTATTATTTCAAATGCTATTATAGTGGATACTCATATTTGAAATAGATGCTCCATTTTTATTTTTTACTTTAAACAACAGTAATACACACTGTTCAAAGTAAAAATAAAATGGGGTGTCTATTTCAAATACAAGTATCCACTATAAGAACGGTTTAAGATATATATATATATATATATATATATATATATATAAGGTTGGATCACAAAGTATCGGGATTAGTGCTATAAAAAGAAAATGACAGCACATATTAATTCAGCATTTAATCTCTTTCGAAGTAGTCTCCTTCTGAAATTATACACTTTATCCAGCATCATTTCCATTGATGGCACAACTGCCTCATTGCATTCTCTTGGATTGCCTCAACATATTGAAATCTTGTTTCTTTCAAGTGAGATTTGATCTTTGTAGAGGAAAAAGTTGCAAGGGGGTGATATCTGGGGAATATGGTGGTTATGGGACCTGGGGAATATTGTTCTTGGCCAAAATCTGTTGCACAAACCATAGAACTGATGGAAGTTTTGTGGTGTGGCAAAACAGCCACACTCTATACACTTTCCTTCCAATGCTAAAAACAACAGCAATGAATGAGAATGTTATAACTTAGTGTTTATGTGCGACAGAGTTCAAGGTCAATCTGTGTCAAGCGGTTTACCTCTACATACTTTAACTCTGTTATTATAGAAACAATACCGATACTTTTGATCAGACCTCATATATTTAATGTAAATATTGTCCTTATATATGCCTACTGACATATTAAAACAGGAAATGTTTTAAACCTTAAAAAAAATAATAAATTAAAGTGCTAAATGCATAAATAAGACATAGCTAGCCAAAAAGAAAAAACAAAGAATACAGTAACTCTTAGTAAGTATACTTTCATCTTTTGGTGACACTTCAGGCTTCAAGTGCTAGGATATTATTTTTAATCATTTCACCCCAAACTCAAAAGCTGCCCCAGGCAGCACACACTCTAGCTACACCACTGTGTATCAATAAACTAAGCATTCCATTTGCTATCTGGCACCGCCATTTACGAGACATAGACTTTGTATATTTTAAAAACCTTGTTGATTTCAATCTTCTGGGGAATGATATGCAAAACATTTCCCCAACCCCTTTTATAGGCAAAAGTCCACAAATGCATGCTGGGATATTTTTCTTAGCCAATAAAATAGGCTGGTTTGCAGTTTGACATGATCTACCATTTCAATCAGTTTGGGCTGACTTATCAAACTCTCTGCTTTCAGGAACGCAGATGAGGCTATGCCGAATGGAGACAAGCCCGACCCCATGTACATGGGGTCTATGGAGAATTTTTGCCTATGGGCTTGGATGCACCCAACATAAAAAACTTGTGGGGAAGCTAAGGTAAATAACCTCAGTCCTGATCTGTCTCTACAAGACAGACTACAACGCTCACTTGTTTGACCTTGTTTTTATGTGTCAACACCAATTCTTAGTTTGTGAACTTTTTGCCTTCTAACCTGTAAATTAGCGATGCATATATTGTTTGCTTGATATTATTTTATTTTTGTCCTGTTCCTTTCTCTTTTTATTGCAAACTTTGTTAATTCTGTTTGTTGAGCAGTTTTATTCCTTATTTTGCATTTGACCATGGCTAATCACTACACAATCTTAAATCCTAATTACATATTTTAAAATGTCAACTACATACAACTTGATGCAGAAGCTTGTAATCTATGAAGAACAAAGTTTTCAACAGAAATTAAATCTATGTATAAAACTGAAAATAATTAACTTTCATTCTTCTTATAAATGAAGATATAGAAAACATATCCCTCCCACCGAGTAGAAAAATTTAAATTTTATGAAGAGGTTTTTTCTATAATTTCCATCAGTTCATTATAAATGGGTATTTCTTCTGTAAAACCATTATCACACATTTCTGTAAGTGTTTTAATATATTCTGATGGTAATTGATGTTGTTTAGCGCCTCTTATCATGATATCTTTATATTGGGGTGAGGGTAATCCAATATTTTGGTCAATTAATTGATATGTTCGACATTGATATAAATTATTGAAATTATCCTTAACTTGAATATAAATAGGCTTGTAAATTTTCTTTTTGACACCTTCTTGCCTGAAAATAAAAAAAGAAAAGAAAAAGATAATTGACATAGTAAAGATATTCACAATGCTGCCCAAGTCTGGATAAGTTAAATGAAATTTTTGAAATTTTGGTGATAATGTCATTTTTGGCATGAAGACAGCATTTGTATTTTTTTTTTATTTGCTTACAAACCCTTTGTGGGTTATTTATAGCTGACATGTATCTAAGAATGATGCCATTAAGTTTGCTAAATCACAAAATGGTGTCAATAAGCTTGTACAATACCTGGTGGCTACAGATTTTCAATTTGTAAAATCAAGATTAGAGCAATAAAATCACTGTACTGAATAATAAAAAAAAAGACTTGTACAATTTGATTCAACAAAGCCAGTGAATTGAAAAGGTTTGGTTTGGTGAGGTGGGTTTTCTGGCATATCAAACCTGTGGGTTGTTTAATGGCAAATTCTGTTTATATATATATATATATATATATATATATATATATATATATATGTGTGTGTGTGTGTGAAATGTGTATGTATATATATTATATATAAATATATATGCAATTTTTTATATATATTATTTATATATTATATAACAGTGAGAGAGCTAACATATTTAGTTTGATTGATGTGAGTTTGTAACCCTGGGTTTCACGCTATTTGTGATCATCAGACAAACTGATTCATTTTTAAATTTTGGATTTATATATGGTTGTGTATATCGGTGTTTTTATGGAAGTGGGAGGAAAGATTGTCGTCAGGATGCCACTCATACTTCCGCAAACATACATACACGCACGTACACTCATTGACATATGCAGACACACACATGCATGCTCACTCACCGGAGCTCACATAAACATAAACATATGTGAACAGTGTGGGACTGGGCATATATGCTCATATATGTGTCATTGCGCACATACGCACAAATTTGGTTGCTGTATGTTGGATTGTGTAGCGAATATTTCTTGTTTGTTGCGCTGTCAACACGCAGACCGTTTTTCTATTTTTTATTCACTGAATCATATTTTCTCGCATGCATGTATATACGTATGATGGGTTCTGTATAAAACTATTATAAGTAAAAATAGCTATATACGTAATGATATATAAATCCAAAATTTAAAAATTAATCAGTTTGTCTGACGATTGCAAATAGCGTGAAACATATATATATATGTTATGGTAATTTACCCATGCATGCATGGACTCTCCCAGCTATAAATAGGAGCAGGTACTGCCTTTTGGAGAGGGAAGTTTCCAGCAGTCAGTTCTGACAGTTGGACTGAACATTCTTACTGTAACACTCTCGTTTTATATTTTTGTATTACTGTTTCTGCTAATATATTTGTTTAATTCAATTCCTCTCTTCTATCTTTATTTCTGGCCCTAACAAGGCCACAACAATATATATATATATATATATATATATTTGACCTGAAAACAAATGGTTTATAGGTAGTATTGTTTTTAAAATGAGCAGATTTGGTTTGGTTTATGACAACCTCAATGGGTTATTTAATGCCAACAAGATTTTTATTGCTGGTAATATTTTTCTTTTTTTCAAAAGTGTATTGCTAGTAATAATGTATTGCTGGTAATAATTTTTCCAAAAATGTATTGCTGGTATTAAAACCTATTGTTACACTTTCATAGTTTTTGCCCATGGCTAGGACCCTAACAGGTGCTACCACACCAGGTCAGGGTGGACCCTGGAACACCAGCAATTAAGAGGTACTTCCATGCTCCACAAAACCTTCTGATCAGAGGCCTTGATGTCAGATGTAGTTGATTGTCATACCTAGGACACTGAATTGAAAAGGATCACAGAGAAAATGCATGTTGATGTTGTATATTATCCCACTTGACTTTGCAAAAAAACATTACCAGAGAGTGTTCCTTAAGCCTATAAAAAGGTGTGCATTTCTCTCTCTTCCCAAGTAGTTTCTAAACTTTTTTTCTCTGGGCCACATTTTTGGAATGAAAATTTGTGCACGTATCAAATTTTGTATGATAAAAAGTACATTTAAAATTAAAAAAACAGAAAGAGATTTAAAAGGAGATAACTATGAGTTCAAAGCCAGAACATTATCATTGATAAATCACTCCTTCAATTTGTGGACATTAGATACTATATTCTTAATACTTGATATAATGCAAAACTATCACAATGATAAAATTGGTCAATAAATATTTATAACTATTTATACTGGGACTCGGGCATGCAATTACAAGTAATCCATAATAATATTTCAAATTTTAAAATCATATTTATTTTTGGCATATGAATTTTTTGAAACTGTTTCTAAATCTTTGATTGTCTTTCAATGATTCTGCCTCACCGTCTATCCTCTTCTGCTACACCTATAAGGCGCATCGCACCATTTGGGAAACCTAGCCTCTTTTCATTTTTTTCAACACAGGACTTCAGATGTAGTTGTATATACAGTTGGAATGCAACAGCTAGGTTTGTGTGCGTTTTTCTTTCACTTTTGTTTTAACTCTCTCACATGTGTCTGTCACACGTTTATTTCTCGCACACTTACATATACACGTGTCTATCAAGTAAAAAAATTTCACATAGAAAAAATTCTCTTATAGCTAGTTTAAATGTTTTTCTATGTAACTAATTCAAATGTTTTCTTTTATTGTAATTGTATATTCACATAATTCTTTTTGTCAATACATGCAATTAGTTTCTGTTTATATTTCTGAGATGAGTTATTGTAATTATTTACACTATTTACATTGTCCAGACTGTTGTCCTCATCTTGGTTGTCATATTCACAACATTTCAGCCATTGTACGCTTTGACCTTCTTCAGGATCTGTCTATATTTATGAGAAGAGTTATTGTAATTATTTACACTATTTACATTGTTCAGACTGTTGTCCTCATCTTGGTTGTCATATTCACAACATTTCAGCCATTGTACGCTTTGACCTTCTTCAGGATCTGTCTATATTTATGAGAAGAGTTATTGTAATTATTTACACTATTTACATTGTTCAGACTGTTGTCCTCATCTTGGTTGTCATATTCACAACATTTCAGCCATTGTACGCTTTGACCTTCTTCAGGATCTGTCTATATTTATGAGAAGAGTTATTGTAATTATTTACACTATTTACATTGTTCAGACTGTTGTCCTCATCTTGGTTGTCATATTCACAACATTTCAGCCATTGTACGCTTTGACCTTCTTCAGGATCTGTTTATATTTCTGAGAAGAGTTATTGTAATGATTTGCACTGTTTACATTGTTCAGACTGTTCTCATCTTTATTGTCATATTCATGATATTTTGGCCATTGTACACCCCGGCCTTCTTCAGTTGATATTCAGAGTGGCAATAAAGTTACTATACAGTTACTTATAATAAAAAAGCAAAGCATTGAGGCAGGTGGCTTGCAGTTCGAACAGTATCAGTAATTAATTTACTATTGTTTACCATAGAATTTTATTGTTATTAACCAGAACCGTTTTGATAATAAATTTCTGGACTGTTGATTAATTGTTTTGTTTTAATTGTTATTGTAAGTAACTGTATACTGACTTTATTGCCACCCTGTATGTTGGAATTTTGAACCAAACCCTTTATTTCATCCACTGGGGTAGATTGTGCTAGTTCCACGTGTCATGCCTTTTCTGGTTATTTCCCTTTAGTAACTCAACTCTACGTGTTTTTGTTCACTTGTGATGTGACCAAGTATTGAACTCAATGTATATCACCTGGCTGAAACGCTGTCAATATGATAATAAAAATTAGGACAACAGTCCAAACAATGTAAATAGTTACAGTACCTCATCTCAGAAATATAGACAGATCCTGAAGAAGGTCAGAGCGTACAATGGCTGAAATGTTGTGAATATGACAACCAAGATGAGGACAACAGTCTGAACAATATAAATAATGCAAATAAATGCAATTAATTGTCATTTGTTTTATATTGTTTTGTGTTTCATTTTTTTTACTTGGAGTCACATTGATTCTACCATAATAGTTGCATGCTAGATATTCCAGGACACATGTTTCTATCTAAATACAATAGAATCCTATAACAATGTCAAGAAGGATGAAAAGTTTTCTGAAGCTAGAAAAGAGAAAAATCAAACCAGAGACAAACAAATACTTGAGTAAATCTTTCAGAAAAATGACAAAAAAAAAATCAATTCATATGTTCAATTTCTTACACAAATAACAAATATAATTTGGTGCTACTATAATATATCTACTAAGGTATTTGTGACCATCTGTAAATGAGGATGCACTCTACCAAACAATCCACTTATGGTCTACAGCAATTAATTCCTCAAACTACATATAATGTTATTTTAACTTAAAGAGTAGGGTATTTATCTAATTTGTATTTACAAAGGAAGTATTTATGTACAGTAACTTTTACTGGAAAGTCACTTAATACTGTAAATGACTGGTATAAATTTTATATTACAAAGTGTTTATTATGCTGCTTTGATAGTTTTTAACATTTTTCATATATGTAACAGTTGGTAAATATCATACCATAGTAAAAAATGAATAGTAGATATCATACTATAGTAAAAAATGGATGTTAGATATCATACTATAGTAGAAAATGAATAGTAGATATCATACTATAGTAGATAATGGGTGGTATATATCATACTATAGTAGAAAATGAATATTGGATATCATACTATAGTAGAAAATGGATGGTAGATATCATACTATAGTAGAAAATGGATGGTAGATATCATACTATAGAAGAAAATGAATAGTGCATATCATACTATAGTAGAAAATGGATGTTAGATATCATACTGTATGGGAAAATGAATACTAGATATCATACTATAGTAGAAAATGGATGGTAGATATAGTACTATATTAGAAAATGGATGTCATCATACTATAGTAGAAAATGAATAGTGGATATCATACTATAGTAGAAAATAGATGTTAGATATCATACTATAGTAGAAAATGGATGTTAGATATCATACTATAGTAGAAAATGGATGGTAGATATCATACTAAAGTAGAAAATGAATAGTAGATATTATACTATATAGCACCTAGAATTTTATTTACATTCAGACTAATGTCCTTAGCTTTGTTGTTACATATCATAACATTTTATTCACTATGGCTGAAAATCTGAAGATAAATCTGCAGTGTTATTGGTCCTGACCTGATATCTCAACTTCAGTCATATTCCCACTGCCAAAACAGTTTCTCTGTGCCTTTCCTATAAATATTTTCATGGTAATTGTTCGGATGAACTTCCCTCTTTGGTACCTAGACTTTATGAATTTAAGCACAGTACTAGATTGTCATCAAGGTCTCATCATTTTACAGTTGAAATGGCGAGATGTAACCATAAGTTCTAAGCTAACAGTTTCTTAATCTGATAAGTATGTTCATAGTAATTGTGATGAACTTTCCTCTTTGGTACCTAGACTTTATGAATTTAAGCACAGTACTAGATTGTCAGCAAGGTCTCATCATTTTACAGTTGAAACTGCTAGATGGATCTGTAAGTTCTATGCTAAGTTTCTTCTCTCACACCTCTCACACTATTGGAACTCTCTTCCAGTTTCTTGCTTTCTGGTCAACTTTGATCTTCGAAAATTTAAATGAAATGTCAATTGTTATATTTGCCTTCTTAATTCCTGTTCTTTTATTGTTCTCTCTACTTAATAATATTTTTCTTTTTCTCATATTCTTTCAAACACAGTAATCTCTTGTATCTTAGTGTCTTTATTGCCTTTTTCAGGATAAATTATAGAAAATAAAAAAATAAGAGGGTATGTCAATCCAGGTAAGCATTACAGTATTTTGAACAGAACCCTTTATTTAATCTATGCAGGTAGATAGTTCACGCTCCACCAGACATCTCTAGGGATATCTCATTTTGTTTTAATTTAGTACAGTCCAGTTATTGCTTGTCCTGTTTCCAATGAATTTGAGTCCATATTATCATCACACAGGACAAGAGCCTAGGCTTAGATTAAAGCAATAGTTTGTGAATTTAATAAGATAGTAGATTATTTTACAGTTGAAATGGCCAGGAATTCTATGCTAACAGTTTCTTTTCTTGCACTGTAGTGAACGAGATAATCAAGTACCCCGGAAAAAAGTTCGTGTTTTGTGTGCGATCTGCCGGGGAGGGATTGCAAAAAAGTCGTCAGCAAAACTCTTATAGCGACTTACCTCGTCAACCCAAGCGACAGCGCGTTGCGTGTATTCTGTGACGAAAAAGAGCATCCTATCCCGACTGTCGACTAATGGAAAAAATAGGTTCTGCCGATAAAAGCAGTTGGTGTTGTCGACTCGAGGAAAGAAAATTCAGGCAGTTTTGGCTACGGCGTTCGTGAGTTATTTTCCCGACGCGTTACAAGTGATTTTCTTTCTTTGTGCTGTGAAAGCCACAAATTTGCTTTGAGAATGCTTACTCTTCACCTGTGGAACTATTTTCGGGCTCCATGCTTTCCAGTCAAATTTGCTCTTTAATAAAGTAGTCTGTTTCTTCTGGCTTGTAATAAATTTCCCAAATCCGTTTCCTTCTCCTAAGAGAGTAGTGATATAAACTTGTCAAACAATTCAACAACATGTATCTCCTGTTTGCTACAGCAGTTGTATTTCCACCTTTGTCACCTTTTTATGCACTTTTTATAAATTAATTGACAGTTAAAGTTTATATATGTTAAAATAGATTCTCATGAGAGTTTATCTGATTCTGAAATCTTCTGTTTTAAATGTATGACATGTGAATCTTCTTTTTGGGATATTTTACATGTAAGACACATCTAAATCCATTTTCATTCTGGAGGTAAACCATTTTCTCTATGATGTAATGGAATAACCCAGTACCCCCATGAATGATTACACTATAGGTAGTAAGTACCTATAAAGTCAACTGTCTACGAGAGACTGCAGGAAGAGTGAGAGAGAGAGAGGGAGACGATGCAAGCACGTCCAACCTTCCAATTAGTGGTACTCACTACTAGATTGTCCTGTGTGTATAACTGTACTGTAAATCATATTGTACTGGTTGTGTACAATAAACCTTTCTTCTATTATCCACCTGGTGTTAAATATTTATTCCCTTAGCACGGAATACAACAGTGGTGATGAGGATGTTTGAAACAAACTCACACGGAACATGACACTCTAGTATTATAAAAAATTTAAAAGCAATGTCAATTGTTATTCACTGTCTTCTTTATTATTCTACTATTGTTCTCGCTACTTAGTAATGTTTCTGTTTTTTAATTCTTCCACACCCAGTAACTGTTTGTGCCTTAGAGGTTTGGGATGAATTCGATTAAGAAAAAAGAAAAAAAAGACATTTACACTTAGCATCAAAAAGAGGCAGTTGAAATTTCTAGAGAAAATAATGAGGAAAGAGGTTCAAGAAAATTTGAAACATGCAGGACATAATGAAGGCAAGAAGAAGAAAGTAAAGTAATATTTAACCTACCTAATGTGCTTATAAAAAATAAAGAAACAAATGTCCCAAAACATTTGATCCATTTAGTGTATAAAATATGTATGAAAATGTAATAAATATTATTGGATAAAAACATCAATAGATTATACTATGTCTGTCCCATAATAGTTGATCCATTTAGTGTATGAAATATGTATGAAAATGTAACAATTATTATGGGACAAAGGCAGCAACAGATAATAGTACTTCTGTCCTATAATAGTTGATAAAAATGTATAAAATAAGTATAAAAATGTAACAATTATTATGGAACAAAGGCAACAATAGATAATAGTAGCTCTGTCCCATAATAGTTCATACATTTCTTACACTAAACATGTATGAAAATGTAACAATTATTATAGGACAGAGGTAACAGCTAAAACTTTCACAGTGTACAGGAACTTGTAATAAGGTCAATAGTCAAATGGTTTTGGCAGCTGGCTTCTGTATTATAAAATAACCAATTCTCTATCATGTACTGTCTGTATGTGACTTTGCACGTGTATATGTAATGTATATGCATTACAGTTAAGCTGCCTAGATATTAAGCATAAGTTGTATACTAACAGTTACTTTTCTTGCACCTTACACTTGTGGAACACTCTTCTGGCTCCATGCTTTCCAGCCAACTTTGATTTTCAAAAATGCAATGTCAATCACTATCTATTGTCCTCCTAGTTACATTTATATTGTTCTTGCTCTTTAATAATGTTTCTGTTTTCTAATTCTTTCACATTCAGTAGTCCTTTGTATCTTAGTGACTTTACTGCCTTGTATGAGGTGAAATGATTTTTTTTTAAAAAAATGGCTGGTTTGGGAGTTTGGTGATATAGTGATTGTGAGTTCAATCATTGGACCAGGTAGTACAGGCTTAAAATCGGTGGAAACAGGACAATCAATAATTGGGCAATACTAAAAAAGAACCAGACAAGATATCCCTGAACATGAATAGTTGAATAAGAACAATCTACTTTAGTAACTTAAATTAAGAGTTTATTTCAAAATTCCCTGAAGGTTACCAGAACTGACAGATACCTGAGGAAGGCTGGAGAGCACAACAGCTGAACATCATAACAGCAATAAAAATGAATACATCAGTTTGAATGTAAATAATGGAAATTCAAACAGAAAATATTATTTTGTTTGACTTACTTATCAAGGTTTTCAAGATCTGAATGACTGAGTTCATACATAACACCCCAAACAGTGTGGCCAAAAGATTCTTCGATCGAAGCAACATGTCCTCTCCATCTCAAAGATGAAAAGGCAAATATGAGTTTGTAATTCTGAAAATGGATATAAATAGGTAGCTAAAAAAATGATGAAAAATTGCCCCAAACTTAATAAAAAAAAACTTTTATTGTCAAAATCTTTATGTTATTATTAAGAGGAAAGACCAAAGGATTTTTTGATTATTAAATTATATTTTTTAATCCATTTTAGAACTTTCAAAATTTGGGGTAAACATTCTTTTTTCTTATATCAGTGGGTGACCATAAATTAGTATAGCAAATTTTAGTGTATTATTGATTTGGAAATTCTTGCAAAAATTAAATAATTGTCAGATTTAAAGGAATTGAAATTTTTTTTTACGTTTTTTTTTTACCCTCCCTTCACTTATTTTATTTTATGAAATTTTGAGAAATTCTTTTTATAGGGCTTCATATTTATATTAGTTATAAGCACAAGTCCTTGGAGAATTTAAATCATCAATTTATTTTGTTAAACAGAACTGCCAGTTACAGAAAACCAGCTCTGATTCATAAAATTAAAAAATACTATAAAACTAAGACATTATTTAATTAGAAAAGATTTCACTTGCTTTTATGAATAAGATATATTATGGACACTATTGCCTTAAAAAAAGATTTTTTTCAATGAATAATGAGTTTTTACAAGAACCGTTTTCATTTTTTTAACATATTAATTAGAATAATTTATAAAGTTTTAAATCTTTTAAAATTCTGTATATTAATACAGAATTTTAAAAGATTTAAAATTTGTACTGGTTAAGTGATATTGCTAAGTAATTGTATAAAAAAGATACACATATTATATTCATCAAGTAATTTTTACAGATATGTCCCAAATACAAACAATTCCCAAACATAAGTCTATCAAGATAGTTGTCAGCAACTCATAAAAACACCCACCTCTGTGTTAGATAAATTAGATAGAATTCTGGCTGTCAACTGGTCAACACCTTAAATAAAGACCTGCTTCTGTGTTATAAAATGCTTTTCTGTGATATTTTAAAACTAAATGTAAGTAATATTTGCTTCAAATAAGATTAATTAAACTTTAAATCAGCTAATCTTCCTCAAATAAAGTTTTAGAAAAGTACATTTTATTTTTGAAAGATTTTAATAAAGAGAATGTTGTGATGGCTGATTTGTAAATATGGTTAACAATGGCTAAAATCAGCTATATTTAGCAAATTCCCCCCCCCCAAAAAAATCATTCCAATCAATTTAAATTCATTTTGAAATACAGCAAATTGTTTTCCACCCTACGACCTCTTTCCCACAAACAAAACATTGCAAGCCTCTCACTGCTCTATTGTTATTTCCATAGAAAGTGTTCAGACAAACTATATTCCTTAGTTTTGCTTGTTTTAACTTTTAGAGTTAAAACCTGCCATACGATGCACATTGTAATAAACCATCTTCTTTCTCTTCGTATTCCATTTGTGGGATGTAAGTTCCACTTGAGCAGTTTTCTTCTACTGAATTACTGCTTTGTTGAGCTGACTCCCAAGAGAATGCTTCCCCGATCGTTACAAGTCCTGTTCAAGTCTAGGGTCAACTTCCCCACATATCACCATTAGCTGTACCTCTTACTCTGTAACCCTCTTCCATGAGTGGCTAGCATTGGGTCTTGTATAGGGTGAACATTATTATTATTAATCTAAACTGTTTAAGAATTATCTAAATGGAATTAATTAATTCTGATTGGAAATAATTATTTGACTAATTACCATAAATATTTTATAACAATCTTATAAATCTCCTTCCATTAAGATAAAGGCAAACATTTCAGGCAGATATAGTAGAAAGGAAAGAAAAATATTTGCTGAACTGTAAAGAAGAAAATAGTAGCTTCTTCTTCTATATCTATTGTCCCTTGAGGACGTAGGCGATCATAGCTCTCCATAACTTCCTGTTCTTTGTAAACCTTAGTAATTTTTGTCTTTTTGTTCTATCACCTAATCCTTATTCTGCCAAACATTTATATTAGCTTGTTAGGTAGGTTATACACTACTTTCCTCTGTTACTCTTGCCTTCAATAAGTTCTGTGAGTGTCAAATTTTCCAAGTTGTCTTTCCTCATCATGTCCCCTAGAAATTTCAGCTATCTCTTTCTGATGCTATGTATATGTTTCCTTTTTGTTTCCATTTTCTCTAAAATGTTGCCATTGCTCACGTGTTCAGTCCATGGTATTCTCAGCATACTTCTGTAGAACCACATCAAGTCTCTTCTTCATCCGTGTGTAGATTGTCCAGCATTCACTACCATATAGGAGTATTGACATTACATTTCAGTTCAGTACTCTTTTCTTTGTTTCCAATGGAATTTCCCTGTTTCTTAATACTTTGCTTAGCTTTTGGAAAAAATCTTTTGCTATCCCAATGCACCTTTGGATTTTGATGTTGCATTTTACATCCTCTGTTAAAACACTTCCTATATACAGTGATCCCTCGTTTATCGCGGTAGATTGGTTCCGAGACCGGCCACGATAACTGAATTTCTGTGAAGTAGGGACACCATATTTACAGTATTTATTTAACGTATATTTGGACTTTTAAAACCCTCCCTGTACTGTTAACAACCCACTCATTACAGTACTCTATTAATAACAAGGACAACTGTTAAGCAATAACACTTTAGAATAAAAAAAAAAAATAAAGATTGTTACTGTATTCAACATGAAAGAAGTTGAAGTAGAATTTGAATGATGATGATGATGAATTTGCTGCGCAGTAGAAATGATGATGATGAAGCTGATGATGACTTCTACTGTGCAGCCGATAATTGTATTTTACGTCTCTTCAGACGGCGGTGCCCTTTCTATTGCTATTTTACACTTGTTTTGTTGTTCTTAGACCAGGAAATAATATTTATTATTAATATTTTAATGGGTTTAATGAAAAATTTTAGGTGTTCATATATTGCAATTTTTCTAGAATTTTCCAGAAACTCTGTGATATATTTTCCATATATATATTTTAAAAATCCACAAAGTCGTGAATCTGCAATAGTAGAACCGTGAATTAGCAAGGGATCACTGTATTTAAATTTTTGCACTTGTTTAATTTTGGTAGCTCCAATTTTTAATTTGCATATTGGGAAGTTTCTGTTGCTGACAACCATGTTCTGTTCTGTTTTGGTCTTCTCAGAGATGTTTAGTCCTTTCTTCTTGCTTTCCTTTACTATCTTCTGTAGAAGTACCTGTAGTTTTCTTTCTGCATCTGCTATCAACCCTGTCATCTACATATCTAATGTTGTTAACATTATGGCCGCCAATACTGAATCTTGGTAAACTACTAATTCTCTCAGAATTGTTTCAATATAAAGGCTGAACAAGTCCGGTGAGAAAACACATCTTTGATTTATGTCACTTTCTATTTTTGTGTATTTATTGAATCCATTTTCCATCTGTATACAGACTGCTTGCTCCCAGTATAAGTTCTCTATTATTCTAATATCTTTCAGAAATAAATCAAGCTTACCTGGTAGTTCAAGCAGTTCTTTGTGATGTACTTTGTCAAATGCTTTTGCATAATCTATAAAACATAGGTATGCCTTCACTATGGTGAATTTATATACCGTAATTCCCCATGTATAATATGTCTTCATCCATAATATGCATCTCTGAAATTGTGCTGAATGTGTGGGAAAATGCTTCTACTCATGCATAATACACACCCCTTGTTTGGCAATCAATCCCTGTAAATTGTAACTCTCCAATTTCATTACAGCCAGTGTTTCCTACTCTTATAAAAAAATGGTTTTAAACATAGAATAATAATTCTAATTTAGTTTTATGATAATTTTTATTTTATTTTAGGTACATGTGATTGTATTTGACATCCTTATGCAATTGTCAAATGTTAGTGTCAAATTGTCATATGTTTGTGGTGAGTAGTCATTTTGCAACTGAAATCGACCTATGAAATTTTTAAGGATTCTATGTAGTGGTGCATAAAAAGCATTCCTAATTTCGCTTACTATTTTTAGAAAAAATGCATATTATACATGGGGAATTACAGTATATGCATAACAAGTAACTGTAATGATAAATTTTGAAAAAATGAATTTTCTGGGCATTTTTTTCATTTGTTCTTCTTACATAAATTCACTAAAATATGTTACGTGCATCTGGATATATTAATTTTTTCTCAGTAATTAACAACAAAAATGCTATTTATTTATTAGACTGTTTAATTATAAGAATAGTGTTTAATACTTTTATTGTCAATTCTCGAGAAAGAAAAAAACTGTAAACCCAGTTTCATATGATTAGGTTTTATTAAAATTCTAAAAATAGCTTTTTAAAACAATTTTCAAGTGAGTATAGAGTAATAGCAGTGTCAAGAGAAGAACTCTTCTTTTGGCACAACTTTTCAAGGCGGGGGGGCGGACAACACAAATCTTAAACTGGGCCACATTATCAACATTTTTATAACATGATATTTCTTCACATAACATATTAATCATATTAGTATATGCTGAAAGATCAGGAGGCATGGTGGAGTAATGGATAGTGGCTCAGATTGAGGAATCAGAGAGCCGAGTTCAAATTCCAGTGAAATCCATTACATTTACTTATGTGCTAATACCCTTGGAAAAGGTATGAATCCTCTTCTCCCTCCCAGCTATAGGTAAATAGCAGGACAGTCTGGGCTCTATAGGCTTGGATGGCAACTGGTCTACTGCAGAAAGAAATGGCAGCCTAACACGGGGAAAATAATCTGCCTCATCATTCATGTATAAAAAGATACATGATCGCCTAAGCATGTATCACGCATGGGACATAACTGACTAATTGATATGCTGAAAATTTGGTCAACAATTTTATAAAAAAATAACTTTATGACTTGCATCATGAATCTAACATAGTGCAATGAATTTGTTTCAAAATGATTTTCTATTTCTGATGACAAACATATCTACTCAAAATTTACTGTTCCTTATGTTGTATTCAAAAGAGATTATGACGATCCTTTTTATGTAAAAGAAAATTAAAAATAGAAACCTTACCTCGAGTTTGACAATTTGCTTGAAAATAGCTGATTGGTTCAGGAGCTGAAGTCGTTCACGTAACAGGTTACTTCCATAAGCAAAATACAGAAATTTCCCAGACATTTTGAAATAGCTGAAGATAAAAGAAATGATTATAAATTTAAAATGGACTGAAACAAAATTGGCAAACTTGGATCTTTGTGCTTGAAAAAAAAAAAAATGGTGTCAAAAGGACAGTTTTTCCCTTGACACTGCTATTATTTTAACTACCTTCACTCCTTGGCAATGTTTATTATTTTAAAAAGTGATGATTAGAATTTTAATAAAACCTAAACATATGAAAGTGAATTTATGCATTTTTTTTTTTTGTAATTGAAAATTGATAAAAAAAAACATAATTTATTTATTAGATTGTTTGTTTACATTTTTTATGTATTGTTAATTGGCATTGTTGGCAAAATATGGCCTAATTGCTAATCAACTCAAACTTTATAAAATAGTAAATAATAAGAATTTTCTAATAGTTGGTTCACATATTTTAATAATTTAGTAAATTTCTATAAACTTATGACTAAAATACTGTTTTTATATTTATTTCTTTATAAATTGGTAAAGGATTGTAATGGATGCAGCCTGTCCTCCCCAGCATGAGCGATACAAGACTGCCTGTGCTCTGCATGGAAGACTCAATCTGCGTGGACTGGGTGACATCTCATGTGACCAAAAATCTGTGTAGCGATCTTGCTAGACACCATAAAAAGCCAGCCTTTGTTACACCGAGGGGTGACTTGAAAGGATGCTACTGGTGCGATAACTCAGCCACATATACTTACAAGCTATTTCGGCTATATTGCAAACTGTGTTGGAGGTAAAGCTTGATATCCAGCTTATATTAGAGTTTGACAGCTCAGCATCTGGGATAAATGTGGTCAAATGGATAGAAAAGGCAGAACTCATTTGCTGGATGTGTAAAGTGAAGCGACCAGAACATGTGATTCCCCTAAGACTGTCTGGTGGGCCATTTGCTCTTCTATCAGCAATTACATAAATAGGAAAAAGCAGATGATGAACATATAAAATCAGCCCTTTACACAGCATTTGTGATGGATAGGTTTGTCATGTATGACCAATTTTCTAAGTGGTGCCTTCAATCAGGGGAATCTGTTGATGTGTACTTGGCAGAACTTCGTAAACTGGCTGTATTATTCGGTGGTATCAGCAACATGGCATGTGTTTTTGTCAAGGGGTTGCCAAATTGTGTGAAATGTTACTTTGTGCTTCTTCTTGGATGGAGGTATTGACTACTGAACAGTTCACACTTGAAAAAAAAATCAGAGAGGTAACCTCAATACATTAACGACCTGTACATAAATGAGGATATTAGGTCCACATCTAGTGTTGCTGAACACCTGTTGCACTTTGGACTGACAAGCAAAATTCCAGAATGACCAAAAATGGAGCTCAGATACTTGGCTTAACTGTCTGGGGAGCAGGGAGACAAAGTTCTGCTTTGGAAGAGTGGGAATGTGCTTCCTGAAGTCCCAGAGTTGATCTCCAGGCAGAAGGTATTCTCTTTTTGTAACAAGTTTGTTGGACACCTCCCAGTCTGTGGCTAGTTGTAAGTAGCAGCTGCTGTCATGAAACGAAGGGCAAGCGCATTGATGAAAGGTTGGGACAATCGAATGGATGCTGCCCTGCTAAAAAGAATCCTGACAGAGACTATTACCAGGGTGAGGCAAAGCGAGCTGTGTAGAGATGAGTGGTGTGTTGATAGCAAAGAACTTGATGTGTGGGTTGATGCAAGCTCTTTGGCCACTGGAGTTTTGCTTGAATCATGTGGGTTCATTATCAAATATGCATATTGGTTGTGGCCAAAGTTGGACACACAACACATCAATCTCATGGAGCTATATGTTATTATAAAGGGGTAAACCTGGCCATATACTGGGAAGCTAAGAGTGTACATTTAAAAACTGATTTGTTGTGCATGTCAATGGCTGACAAGCAAAGCCAGAGTGTTGCAAGTGAGATGCTGATCAGGAAGAAGGTGGCTGCAAACCTTGGAGTTGGTTAAGGAATATGTGTTAATGGTAGACATTACACTCATCAAATTGAATCAAAACAAAGTAGATAGAAGCACCAGAGTTACAGAAAGGTGGCTGGAAGCAATGAAGAATAAGGCAGAACCTGTGCTATAGGCATGTACTGTGACTGGCAATGGTATGGAACCAAGTCAGATAAGGCAAATACACTCACACAGTGGATACCTCAGTTTAAAATGAATGATATATTTTGTCAGGAAAATCGCTCCATCTATGAGGAAAGAGGATGTGAAATCTGCTGTTAGATCCTGCCTGGAATGTCTATCAATTGATCCAGCACTAATCTGATGGCAAAAAGAGAAACTGGAGATAGCAGATATATGGCAGACTAGGGATGGATATCACCCATTACAGGGGTGCTCACTACCTGACCCTGACAGAGTGTGGGCCTACCTGTTTTGCCACTTGGTGACTTCTACAAGATTTGGTTACTGTGACCCAGTGTCTCAACTCATTTTTGAGAGATCTTAAAGAGATCTTGACAGATAATGATATGGCATTTAACAGCAGGAGCTTTAGAAATTTGCTAAATATGGGGTGTCTGCCTGGGCTTCTGATGTGCATATGCACCATCTGGTAACAGTATTGCTGAAAGATTGCACAGATCCATAAAATGGATTGCTATCAGAAAGCAATATTCAGTCCAGGAAGTAGTTTACTGTTACACATTATGCCAAAATATGGCATCCACACTGTGACTACTCAGACTAATGCTTTGTACCAGTATAAAGTGAGTAAAAAGTGCTGACAGGATCTCTCTCTGCTGAAGCCTGAGTCTGAGCAGGGTGTGTACAAGAAAGGGAACACCGTACTAGTAAGGAGTGTGGCAAACAGATGCATGAGTAAATGGAAGATGGGGACAGTGACCGGATCTGTGAGTCCCAAAGCGGTTTATGTGAGTGGAAAGCCATGCCACATGAAAGACCTCTGAACTTTTCCTCATATGGTGAGCAGTTCTGTGGAAGATAAAACCACCATGTTGAGTGATGATGAGAGGTACATACCTCTAACAAAGTACGAAGATGACCATTCAATTGATGTTGACTCTAACCAATCCAACAATGGTGACAACAATGAAAGTCAGCACATTGTGACAGGGCCACCTCAAGAAGCAAGTGAGACTGCCAAACTGCTTCTTCAAAGAAGCAGCAGATGTAAAAAGCCACCCCCCCACCTGCTACTGTGTGATATTGATATCAAGTGTTGGGGGGTGTAGTGGACACAGCCTATCTCCCCAACATAAGTGATATAAGATCGCCTGTGCATGGGAGACTCAATCTGCATGGACTGGGTGATGTCTCACATGACCGAAAATCTGTATAACAACTTCACTAGGTGCCATAAAAATGTAGTCTTTACTAGCACCGAAAAGCAGTTTCTGTGTGACAGAAGCGAATTTCAATGATACAGCCACATATTAAAGGATAAATATTACATTGCATTAGTTTTAATTGTATTATTTTTTGGAATGTTGTAAATATAAAATTATTCTTTTAAATAAACATTCCAATAAATAGTATTTAATATTTTTGTTGTAAATTCTCAAGAACAAAACAAAAATGTGTAAATTCACTTTCATCATATGTTTAAGTTTTATTTCAATCCTAATCATAGCTTTTAAAACTATAAATATTGCCGAGGAGAGAAGGTAGTTAAAATAAAAGCAATGTCAAGGAGAAAAACGTCCTTTTTCAGACACAAAGGTACAAGCTTGCCCAAAATTAATCAAATACTTAAATTTTTATTACATGAATCTTATATGACATTTTATATATATACATACACATACAGGGTGTGATGGGTAAATTCTTGCTGTTTTATATTTTTAATTTTTCGCATGTGTGCTGTTTGTTTTTGATTTTGTTGACTGCACAGTATAGTAGGATCAGTTGGGCACCATCTTTGAGAAAAAGAGCCCCGTTGGTGCAATTCACTCTGACAGAAATTTAGAAACAGCATGCTGTACTGCTTGGCATTTGCACTGGAAGCACCAATACGAACATTTCAGAGTGTTTGGGTGTCAATCTGAGGGCAGTGCAGAAGATTCAGCAATGGATGAGTCTAATTGTGATTATGAAAGTCTTTGGAGTGATCACTAGTGATGGCGGTATTATGCTTTCATTCATCTTTCTGACAGGGCCTCAGACTCAACACAGATGCTTACATCAAGTGCCTTGAGAAGGCAGTTCTGTCCTGGATCAAAAGAATGGCTGCTGAAAGACCCTATGTTTGGCAACAGGACTCTGCACCATGCCACACAAAAAGGAAAATCCAGTCATGGCTGTCAGACAATTTCTCTGACCACGTCATCCCTTACATCTGGCCACCTAACTCCCCAGGCTGCAACCCTCTTGATTATTAAGTGTGGGGTGCAGTTGAGCAGTGAGATGAACTGAAGGCAAGGATTATAGCAGCATTCGCCAACTTAAACAAGGAGACCGTCCAGAAGAGTTGCAGATTTTGAAATCATTTGGAGGCTGTGGTTGAAGCCAGTAGAGATTTTATTCAATAAATTTACACTTTAGTATTTCAAGATATTTTTGTACAATTTTGGTAAATATATCTGTTAAAATGAGATGTCAGTATTATTTTCATTTTTGCGTAACTTAGATAACAATTTATCCATCACATCCTGTATATATATATATATATATATGTGTGTGTGTGTGTTTCATTGAATAAATATATCAAACTACTATACTGCAATCAAATGCATTCTAACTATAAACAAGATGAAAAAATCCAAAAAAATGTCATAGGTACTAATATATTCCCCACTGACCCCAGTAAAAAAAAATAAAACTAATTATATACTATACTAAACAAAATTTATTGCAAGTATAGTAGCAAAGTTTTAAAATGTACTTGACCAACATTTAATGCCATTTGTATTTTTACCATCTTCAGGGATTTTCTTTCTAATGTATGTGTGAAGTAGCACTTTTGATTGACAAATTTCTCAAACATTGCTCTTGCTTTCTGGATGCTGTTTCTCTGATGCCAAATATTTCAATTTTGATTACATGACCCTTATGCATGGGTACATCTATAAGTCTGCGGCCTTAAATTTGGATCTGAAACTTTCATGGTATAATGTTTTTGTGATGTCAACGAACACTCATTGCCACTTTTGTAATGTCAATGAATAATCATTGTCACTTTTGTAATGCTCATTGTAGTAGAGACTTTGTAATCACAGATACAACTATAGTAATGCCATTGAACAATACAGGTGTCAGATGCCTTCGAATATCACTCACACTAATAGTACTTGCTTGATAATACTCACTTGAAAGTAACCACTGAATAGTAATCCGTATAGTGATCAGTATAGAGAAATAGTATAGTGAATAATGATCTGTATAGTAATAGATGATAGTGTAGAAATAGTGATCAATTAGACACCATGCTAATTCCCATATATACATTTCCTTTACTATCACATGATCTACTTATCTCAAATGGGATCACCTGTGTTTGCTGTGCAAACTAGTGTTGGTAGTGACACTTTATTCCTATATAACAAATGTTCAATTCATGAAATTAATCTTTATTGCTGAAGGAGATTATGTTGAAAAATAAATATTTTCAATGTAAAATTCTTTTATCATTAGACTATAGATTTATTGATTTACTTACATATATTTATCTAACACTTGCATGCTTTTGTATTTCAAATATACCGAACAAAGGAAGAACACACACGTTTCAAATAGACAGAGTCGGTGAAATGAAAGAGGCAGCTGAAATCCTTTCAGAATTTTAAAAATAATTTTTAGTAATGAAATGCTTTGTCCTAGAATGATTGCAGTCTAAATTAAAGAGTTTTTCAACCTAGCTAAATTCTTCTATATTCTTTTTCTTTTCATCATCTTTTTTTTTAAATATCTCACATTGTGGTAACAGTAAATCTTCCAATGATGTTGATATGTTGTAAGAACCAGAATGCAAATTTACTGTGGCTGAATTAGCGATTAAAGCACTTTCTTGACATTTTCATCTGAGTGAATTATTTTCTCTTTTAGTTGGAGTAGCATTTTTTTATGTCAAAATTGTGGTCAGTTTCATTACAGTGAACAACCAATGTTTTGTGTGTTGTTTTTTAAAATTTCTCTTTTGTGTTCATATAGTCTTTTGTTTAAACTTCTTGAGGTTTCTCCAATATATTCTTTCTGGCAATCCTTGCAGGTGATAAAGTAAATTCCTCCTTCAAGTTTTGATAGGTTTGGTTTGTAGGAGAGTCAAAATGTTAGCTGCTATCAAAAAAGAGAAGGTTATGTTCAAAGATTTTTTGGTTATGTTGCACAACTTTTTGAGGTCATGTTGATCCTGTAGTTGAAAACAATGGAAGCCACATTGAATAAATAATTTTGTTTGATATTACCTTATGTTGTGATGAGATAAACCAACTTCCCCATTCACGATAATGGACGGTCTGGTGGCCGATAAAGTACGACCACAGGAAACAGTAAAGAGAGCGACAAAAAGAAGGTCTTCGTTTACTAACACCATTGCGGTTAGCTTACTCCTGACTCTGTCTCTGTATTTTGACATACCTACATCCGATTATAAAATTATTATTGAAAACCACACTCGGGTTACTTTGTTTATTATATCTTGTACGAGATATAACAGCTTATTTATTCTTAAACATTTAATGTATAATTTCAAAGATTTAGAACCATATAAGTTCTAGTAAACTGAATATATTTAATTCTTCAGCAACATGTATGTTTTTAAGTATTATTATCTAAAAGTCAGTTTGTCAACTCAAAAACAAGGAAGTGGTTTTCTTATAGCTATGACTTATTTAGGTTGTAGGTAAAAAATATTGAAAATGTTATAAGGTACACATTGTTAGAGCAGGAAAAATATGATGGATTAGATTCATAACTTTGGCCTGTGAATAAAGAAAATGTGACTGAAAGTAATATTTTCATTTAATGTAGCTATCTTTTAATTTTATTTAAGATATGTTAACAAAATGAATTATATATAGTAATGAAATAAATATTATTTGAAATTAAATACAGAGGAACCTCAGTTCTTGAATGTCTCACATGTCGAACAAATCAGTTTTCAAACAGAAAATTTGAGATGAAAATGCTTCGGTTATCAAACAAAATTTTGGTTCTCAAACAACATAGCTGAACAGAGTTAACATGAATGGAATAATTTCTGAGTCGATCACTGTGTTGTATACATTTGTATGTTGTGCCATGCTTTTCTTTTACAGTTTTATTGTACCTAAATTTTTATCTCTACATTGATTCCTATTGGAAAAATAGTTTCAATTTATAAACATTTTGGGTTACAAACAGCCTTCAGGAATGAATTAAATTTGTGAACTGAGGTTCCACTGTATTAATATTATTTATTGTATATTACATTAAATATCATTAATATTATTTTAATAAACTAAATGTTGATGATAGAATCCTTAATTTGAACCAGAAGATGTTTTACATTTATAGGATAGAAATTAAATAAGTAATGTTTTATAAATTACTGCTATTGCTTGCTGAATTTATTATAGAGCCAAGATTATAGAGTCATTGTGAACATTTTTTTAATCATTTCACCCCAAGCAAGGCAATAAGGCCATTAAGAAGATGTAAGAAGTTACAGTGTGTGGGATAATATGTAAAAAAAACACATTATTAAGGAGAGAGAACAATAAATGAACAAAAATTAAAAAGATATAAATTGACATTGCATTTTTGAAGATCAAAGTTAACTGAAAAGCAAGAGGCTGGAAAAGAGTTCCACAAGTGAGAAGTGCAAGAGAATCTCTCAGACAATTAAAATATAGCAGTTTCGTTTTGGAAGTATTAAAATTAACAAGCCATTTCTTGCCCAAGTTAACAGATTTGTAAGTCATTCTTGAGATCAGCTACCAATCTGACCTTATTGAATTAATTAAATTTAACATCAAGACAGGAGTAAATAGTTATATCATTAGCATAGATACTGAAAAACACTATGATTCATAATTAGCTGCTTTGCCAGGGCTGCATATGATTTTTGGTTTCAGAGTTGTCCTTCTTTTAGGCTAGTTGCCAACCAAGGCTGAAGAACCTAACCTACACTACTATTTAACCTATAATTCAACTGGCATTTGGACTCGGCTCTCTATTTTTTCTATTCTAAGCTGATGTCCATTACACCACCTGTACAGTTTATTAAAATTTTCTATTATAAATTTATGTATAATTATAATATATAAATATTATATGGTATCTCCTGATGAGTGGGCAGACTGATTGCTGGAGGGTTTGTTTACGAAATTCCCTCACGACATTGATCTATACAGTATCCTACAATTTCCTAAAGAAATCGAACTGTATTCTAAAATACAACTTTAACAAAACTATAACATAAACATACATATCATCACCTCTAGTAATCATGTCCACACAAATATGCACATGCACAAAAGCTGAGTATCATCTAGCATGAATTCAATTGTGAATTCGCGGAGAGCCTACATTCTGAAAGGATATGATATTTAAAAAAAAAATATTACTGTGTATAAATTGCAAATTAATGCTAGTAAAATTGAATTAAAATATTTTAAAATTAAGTTTAAAATATTGCTAGAACTTAATGAAATTTATAAAAAAAAGTAAAGTTTATTTTAACTTCATTTAAAACATTTCACAGGGTGTTCCAAAAGTCAGGCAACAATTGTCAGAAAAAGTACAACATTTGTGAAATAATAACTAGGGAAAATTTGCATGACTGACATCATCTTCCATAATTCGACCAAAAAATTTCTTGGTAATTAAATATAAAATTGACAAGGTTACAATGATAATGCAACTTTTGGAACACTGTGTATTGGATGAATTTTATAATTTTAACTACATTTTTTTTAAAACTGAACTAAAAATTTTTTTTTAGCTCAATTGTAAAATTCATCAATTAAAATCATCATTTTCTTTTGTTGTGCATTGAGGGAAGCAGTTGGGACCTGTTTCTGTTGTCTTAATAAAATTACGAGGCACTGAAATAATTTAATTTGAGTACTGTAAAAAAACAAAAAAAACAACAACATTTTTTGGTCTTTCTCTCAGAGCAAGGCCTTTTTATTGCCCCCCCCCCGGTTCCATTGACCTTTGCGATTGCCTCAAATGTGGGTGAATCGGTTCTGTGTGCTATTTCTGTCTATATCGCCTTTCTGTGTAAAAACAAAACAAAAAACAAACCACTACCGTTGTAAACAAGAATACTTCCTTTGAAATCAAGTCAATATTAGTGACACCACACGCATTATTCGATACAGGACCAATTATTTCAAATACCATTTTACTGAAAATATTACTTATTTTTAATTTAAAATATTTTTGGACTTTTTTTTTTATCAACAAAACTCAAAAACAAACCGTTGACTTTTTGTCAGGTTATGTAAATAACAGACTTAATAAATCTAAGAGTGGGCCTAAAAAAATTATGTCGTCAGAAATATAAACGAAGTTAAGCAAAAGAAAGAAAAGGCTGAAAAAAAAGCCGAGAAAGTTAATAGAATATTTTAAAATTAAATTTAATAATAAAAAAAATAAAATGAAACTGATTTCAATATTTCATGTATATTGTATTTTTGTTCATGATTATTTCTGGTTATATTCTGATTTTAAAAAACAAAAATTATACACAATAATATTTGCATAATGCAGGCTTGGATTTTTTCCCCCAAAAGAATGAAGCGATTATTAGCGAAATGAATAAAATAAGCCATTGAAAAATCTTGCCTGTCCTTTTCGGAAAAAAAAAAAAAAATCTGATCAGTTTAACAATAATTCCAGATTATCTCCCCTTGGTCACGTGATCTTTCAAACGAGCCTCGATCGCGGCCTTTTTACGGATTGCGAGCACAAGGTAGGTATCGAAATTTTTGTGAGTCTTCTATAATCGATTAACATCTTGATTGTATCTCATTAACTATGCTATATGCATGTTTTTTTTCCTAGAAAATCACACCGTTTACTTATTTTGTTGATTAATTTTTTCATATTTTCGTCGTAATATCGTTAATTTAAAAGATTTTGATCAGCTAAAACGTGGTCACGTTCTCTTTCATTTCGGCTCTTGCTAATGGCTTTCTTCAGTTTAAACTTGTTTCTAATTTCCTGTTTTTTATTTGACTTAATCGAGGTTTTATTTTAAGAATAAATTCATCGTTAAACGAAGATTATGCTTCTTATAAAAATGTGCATGATATTTTTTTCAATGTAAGCCAATATTTCTTTTTTTTTTTTCACCCTTATTTTTTCTAATTTTTTGAATAGACGATATAACGATAGATTTCTTTGGTATTTCTCAAAAAAAAATCTGTGATGAAATTTAAAATTATATTCAGTTTAATGGATTTTAAATCTAAATGGTGTCTCTTTTTTATTATTTTAAAGAAAAGTTAAAAATGTGTTGTATTCATGAGCAAATTATTAATCAACTTTAATGACTTGCGTTCTTAATCTACATGGTTGTAGTAAACATGTATGACAGACATATTTCTTGGCTGCAAATTTTAAATTAAATGCTGATTTTTCTCCAGAAAACAAAATCTTTCTATTCAATCCAAATTTCCTTTTAAATATTCAAACTGAATTCGGAAATTAAGAGCGGAAAAGCGATCGCCGCCATTTTTAGACCCCCTCTTTTTTTTCCCCGGCGCCACGTGCCACAATTTCTTTTCCGGGGGTCGAACCTGAAAGTAAATTCTGTTTACGATTATTCGTGTGTTTCTTTCAAGTATATATATATATATATTTGAAAACCTAATTCCAGTAATAAAAAAAAAAATCCCTTGCAAAAAAATTGCTAAAAGCATATTGGCTGCATGACTTTTTAAGGGGACTTAACTTTATTGTTTCAATGTCTATAAAGAATTTTAATTTCAATAAAACTAAAAGCAATTTCAGGATCTGAAATTAAAACTTATTGAAGGACAGGTTTTAGAGTTTATTTCTGAGTGAACCTTTTTAATTTTGACGTAAATATGACTAACCCCTCAGTAATCGTTTTTCCTTTTTTATTATTTTATGAGAAATTAACTTTTAAATTTTTTTTCCCCATTTTCAGTTGTCAAAATGGTGCGTATGAACCCACTTGCCGATGCCCTGAACACCATTGAAAAAGCTGGTAGAAAGGGCAAAAGACAGGTTATGGTTAGGCCATGTTCGAAAGTTACATGCAAATTTTTAATGGTTATGATGAAACATGGTAAGTTTTTATTTTTACCCTTGTAAGAAAAATGAATCCCATTCTAAGACATTCTGAAATGCTTATCAAGATTCATTTTTCATATACTTTTGTTATTCAGACAAGGATGCTCATTTTGTTGTTATACTAGTAACGTTTCGACCATTGTAGCTTATCCCGGTTGTCTGATGATTCCAGATTTTGGAAATTCTACGATCCATAGGAATTGATTGTTCTGCTTAGGTCATCTGTTGTATCGCTTTTTTTACTCTTTTGCTGTACCAGGCTGAATTTACAGCACTGCTAGAACCAGGAATTGCACTTAAACTGCCAGAGAACCTGATGACTTGACCAACGATTAAATCCCCTAGGCCGAAATGTTGTGTGTATGACCACCAAAATGTAGTGCTCAGAATAAAAAGGAGGTTGTTAGACTAGCTACCTTCATGAGATTGAAAAAAAAAAATTTATCGTCTAAGTGTTTTTTATAACATTAAATTTTGATTTAAAAAAAACTAAACAAAACAAAAACCTTTATCACTGGAAATAGTAAAATAAACTAAACAACACTTATATTTATTACTCCGCTCCCCCCAACTAGTTTTATGAAAACAGATTTTAGTGATTATTAGTTAAAGGCTTTGAGGAAAGCAAAGCATGTTTTTTACCCCCTCTCACCACCACCTGAAAATCAACTCTGAATTGTAACATACAAAAAAGTAAAACTCAATAAAACAAAGATTTAATAATTTCAAATGCTTTTATTTGCTTTCATGGATAGGGACAATATTGAGGCCTTTGTTTTTTTTGTGAAACAAGTGTGAAGTTAATTTAATTTTTCAATTTCGACTGAGAAGGGTACCTACAAGTATTTAGTATCATCTTATGAAATTTATGATCTTATTTTTATATTAATTTCAGTTACGACATTTTTCCATAAATGAAATATCAAAATTAATAATAAAATGAATGGAAATACAAATAACACAGTAAAATGTAATAAAATAAATTATAGTATTTTATGTACACTTCTGATAAAATTTCATAAGAAAGTTATCTAATTACGAAATTTAATCTCACTCTCAACAGTCTCATTTTAATTTTTTTTTTATATATTTTCCATAAAGCATTGTAAACAAAAGTGAAAGCTAGGTACAAAAAAAATTAGGGTGCCAAAATTTTTTTCCTCAAAAATAATGAGGTAAATACTTTGTTGACTTAAATCTAAATCACTTCAGTCCTCCCGTATGATAAATTTTCCTCATGTAATCAATCATCACCCGTTAAGTGACAGGAAATGTTATGACCTGCTTTATTTTATTCTTTTCAGTGCAAAAACTAAATAATGCTTGTTTCAAAATATTTTAAATAAAGATAATTTCTAATTTTCTTAAAATAAGCTTTGAAAATGAAAAAAATTTGATTTTTAAAAGAATTTGAAACAGATTTTTTTTCCCCTTTTATAAAATGGAGAGAAAAATGGTTGACATGATTGATTATCTCAAAAAGATTTTTAACAAATTTCGGATGTGCTAGGAACTATTAAAAAATGTAAAAAAAATAGCCCCAAAATACTTTGATCTTTCCTCTTAATAATAACATAAATAAGACGATAAAATTTTGTTTTTGTCAAGTTTGGTGTCTTTTTTATCATGCTATGCTCTTTTTTTTAGCAAGACACCAACATCACACCAAAAAAATTATTTTCATAATTGTAATATTTAAGCAATTATAAAAAGGACTAATGATAATATTGAAAGTAATTGTTTTTTTATATACATATTCGCATTTTGATACAATATGAAAATGTGAATCTTCCATCTCAGCTTTTGTGGTGGGCCAATATCTTGTATTCCTTTTAAGAAAAATTCAAGGCTAATTATATTTGGGAGAATATAAACACTTTTTGACATGTCATTGCAATACACATTCTAAATATATTATATCTTGGTTTTAAATTGATACAGTCATATGTATGTACTCAAATTAAGTTTTTAGAGTATGCATCTAACAACATTCCACCTATAAAAGTAGATATCTCCATTAAATTTGATACCTAATTGGTTAAAATTAAAAAGCCTTCTTGACGCTTTCATTTTAGCTTTAATTGAAAGCTAAATGAAATTTGTAATTTCCAGTGAGCAAATTACTCAAAGAAATTATATTGATTAGAACTTCAACTTTTTGGTTGCTTTCACAAAATCAGCCATCCATTGACACATTTTGTAAACAAAAGTTGATTCTTGGTTTTAAAAATCTTCCAAAAATAAAATATATTTTTCTGAAATTTTATTTGTGGAATAATACATAATTTGATTGGGGGGAGGGGGGTATTTTTAAGTTTAAAATAGAAAAATGGATTTTAAAACAGTTGTGTTGATTACATGCTTGTCACTTGTAGATCACTTAACAGGCACTGATAAGGTGTTGACATGTTTATTGTTCCACAGCAACTTTATCTGTTAAAACATAATTCAAGAAAGCTCCCTTTTATATGTATTAGGTCCCTTCACTTTTTCGGCATAAATTTTCGATACCTAAGGTTTAAAATTAAATCTTAAAAATGGAAAATCTTTCAAGATTTCATTTTAGCTTTAATTAAAGCTAAAATGAAATCTTGAAAGTTTAATAATTAAAGTATTAAGTAAAATATTCTGGAGTATTTCAGATAGAAATTAGGTTGGAATGTCAAATTTAATTTTGATTTCTTAAAATTTTCTTAAAAGTGGCCATTTTCTTAATTTTAAGAAATTTGTAAACAAAACAAGTTTTTCTATTTTAAAATTTTCAAAAAATAAATATATATTTCTGACACGTTATTTTAGTAAAATTAGAAAATTTAAATTAATCTGATTTGAAATAAATATCACTTATAACATTAAAAAGTAATATACAACCAATTATTAACAATTGGTCCTGTTCATCTGATCCAGTGTTTGATGGACTGCTGATAGATGAAGCGATGACTACTATGGATGACCCAATTCTCAGAAATCTAAGTGAACACATATTTTTGGTTTTTAACTACCTAGTAATTTTTAAAAATGAATATATTTTCTGCAATTATTTAATATTTTATTTACCTTACTATAAAATTTTATTCAATTAATTTTTATAATTTAATAACAAATGAAATACCATGATTACTCAATTGAAATATGTTCCACACTAATGTAAATACATAAAATATTTAGTGAAATAGTAATTGAAAAAAGTAAAACTTAGTTTAAGCTTTAAACTTTTAAAGCTGGATAGAAATTTTGAAAATCTGTTGAAACGTAACTGAAGCGACATAATAAAGGGACAAAACTTTTAGATCATAATGATAGCAATTTCAGTGTACCATACATGGAAATAATGAACGTGTTAAGTAAATAGAATAGCACAACTAAGTTAATTAATCTTTTCAATTTTGGATTTGTAAATTTTGTTTCCACTTAATTACTATATCACATCCATGAAATAGCCCAATACAGAATTTTACATGATTTAAAACTATTATAAATTATAATTAAAAAATGCAAAAATTCTTGTAAAACTTCATTATTCATCAGAAAAATTTTATTTCTTCAGACAATAATAACTTTAATATTACTTACAAAAGCAATTAAAAGCTTTTCTAATTAAGTAATGTCATAGTTTTATTGGATTCATTATTTTTCAATTCAGAGCAGATTTTCAGTTACATAGCTCAAATCTGAAAAAAAAAAAAAAAAGGTGATTTACAATCTTCAAGGACTCCTGCTTTTGACAAAAAATTTTTTTTAGAAAATAGGTTTTGTGCAAAATTTCATGAAATTAAGTAGAGTGGGGGTAATATATATATATATATACACACACACACACACACACACACACAGTGTAACCCGGGTATAAGAGAGTTGTTGGGACCAGAGAAGAATTCTCTTCTATCCGGGTTTGGTCTATTTTTATACATTAATTAACACAGGCTCTAATTTGGGACCAGAGAAAATCTCTTATATCTGGGTTGCATATATATATATATATATATATATATATATATATATATATATATATATATATATAATAACCAAAATTTTCTTTAAAAATTTAAAAAAAAATTCATTTGTGAATAAGTCCTGAAAATTTCATTAAAATTGGACTATTACTTGATTTTATACAAGAATTTCCAAATCAGTGTGTTTTCAAAGGAAAAAAGTGCAAAAAAAAAATTTCCTGCCACTGTGATGACGTAAACAATTTAACTCATGAAAGAGAATTATTTGATTTTTGCAAGAATTTCCAAATTGATGTTTTTCACCTGGAAATGGCACTAAAACACTAATCGTAACTATTACGTCAAACAAAACTTCAGATGTGCTAGAAATGATTACAAAATTTAATAAAATATCTTGATGAAACTTGTTTTTCATTAGGGCTTTTTTCATCATGCTATACTGTTTTTTTTTTTTTTTTTTTTTTGCAATAAAGTATTTTAGAATAGGTGCCTCCTAAAGAATGCAATATGTAACTTTTAATTTTAAAAGTATAAAATCTTAAAGCTTTTAATTACATGCTAATAAACTAAATTTAATATTTCTAAAATACTTTACTGTATTTGAAAACGAAATTAAGTTGGTTTGAATAACATTTTCTCTTTCTTTTTTAAGCCCCTACAAAAGAAAATTAATAAAATTACATGTGGATGGGGTGTAACAGATGAAAAATACTTTTACCACAATTTAAGAAAAAAAATATGGAATTTCATTTGAGAATAAGTCCTGAAAGCTTCATTAAACTCTGACAATTGATTTTTGCAGAAGAATTTATAAATCAAATCATTTTTTTTTTTTTTTTTTTTTTTCTCTCATTACCAAAAAAAAAAAAATGGTGATTAACTGTTAGGTGATATTACTATTAAGTAAAAACTATATTCACTGATCATAAATAGAAAAGGCTTATTACAATTCAAAGCATTTCAGTATTTTAAAAAGTCGAGCTTGCTGAGTAGTTTAAAAAAAAAACTGATCATGTATTAGGTAATTTTTAATTATAGGCCTTTTATTTAAAAATACCAAACAGAAGGTTATCAAATGCATCAACAATCCATAAAACACTCACCCCCTTGATTTTTTTTTTTTTTTTTTTTTTTTTTTTTAATGCTTTTTGGCAATATTTTAGCTAAGTAATATGTTACAATTAGATTAAACTTAAATCTGTTAGTCTTTCACAGAGTTTCTGAAAGTTTTTATATATATATACACACACACACACACAAACTTCATATTTTGATCACTTTAGATGTAAAAAGTTATGTACTAGGAATTTGGTATATATTCTATTATAATCCCCTGTTGCCTATTAGAAAAAGATGCATGATTTTTGGAATCCAAATCCATATGAGACTATTTTGAAAGGTTTGTGGGGGATATATTTTACTCTTGTGTAGAAATTGTTTTGAGCTGTAAATTTGTCCCCTCCCCCCCTCCCCAAATTGACATATTGCAATTAGATGTTCTACAAATTTCTGAAAGTGAAATGACATAAAAGTAGTCTTCATAAAATACAATATAAACCTTTTAGGCACTGCAACCAGAATTTTTTTTTTCTTTTCTCATATTACTACAGATTATGCACTTCAGACCATATATATAAAAATGATCTTATTAAATTTTATAAAAATTAATAGAGGTCCCAGTTTACTATGTAAATTTGATCACCCCACAGAAGCCTAAACAAAATGTTTTCATTTTTTTTATTAATTCATGATCTGGAGTGCTTAATAGTTTTTTTTTTGAAAAAAAATTTTTTTTTAATAAATGATTTAATGCTATTTAGAAGTGGGCTGTATGAGCTAAATAGGTGAATTAACAAAACTAGCTGGACCACCTCCTATTAAAATTTAATAGTGGTGGAGACTTAGTAATATGAGGAATTAAAAAAAAAAAATAGAACATTTCTAGCCATTGCACAGCTACATAAACTGAAACATGGGAATAAGCAAATGTTTGTATTTGATTGTTTTGGGTTGTTATTTTGAAACAGAATTAAGCTAATGCAAATATTTAGCACAGCCATGTTTAATTATTAACTAAAAGAAGCTGTGAAGTAAAAATTATTGAATTCTAAACAATGGTTGAAACTTATCCTCATCTTTAATTGTTATAGTCACAATATTTCTGTCATCCCAACATCCTTCATGTGTCATATTTTGTTGTAATAAGTCAAAATATAGAATGGTGATTATTATTTTTTTTTTTTAATTTCTTTTCAGGCTACATTGATGAATTTGAGATGGTTGATGATCACAGAAATGGGAAAATAGTTGTCAATCTCAACGGCAGACTTAATAAGGTAAGATGTTTGTATTTTTTAATTCCAAGTATATGTACTTAATGGAGGCACAGAGTAACGGTTACTGACTTGGGTTTAGGATTTGGAGAGTAGAGTTCATTACATTTACTTATGTGCTATATATAATACCCTTTGGAAAGGTATAAATTCATCTATCTATTTTTCTCCATCCAGCTATGAGTAAAATAGCAGGATAAACTGGGTCCTATACTTTGGATAACCCCCAGTCTGGGAGAAGGAAACTGAATTCAAATCTCTCACATCTCCCAAAAAAAAAAAAGAAATTGTGTCCTGTATCACAATGAAAAATAAAATTAGGTCACGTAAAAAAGCAGTATATCATGAAAAAAGGTCCATAAAGTTTTGTCTCAATATGTTTATGTTGTTATGAAGAGGAAAGACCAAAGTTTTTTTTTTTTTTTAATTTTTTACTCCTTTCTAGCACGTAGAGTATTTTTTTTATTTTTTTATTTTTTTACAACTGCGCATTAAGAGAAAAAAAGGTTTTTTATTTTGGGCTTTTCCCAAGGAAAACACCCATTAATTTAGGAAATACTTGCAAAAATCAGGTAATTGTTGGATTTTAATGAAACTTTTAGGACTTATTCAGAAATGAATGAAATGATTTTAAAAAAATTTATATATATATATATATATATATATATATATATACCTTATTAAAAAGAGTTTTTTTTTTGTTTAACATGTTTCCACCCACTTACATATTTTCATGAAATTTCGAGAAATTAAATCTTTACGCACAGGATTTGTTTTATTAGGGCTCTTTATAGAAAGTAAATCACCAGGTTTTTTTTTTTTTTTTTTTTTGTGTGTAAAAACAGTTACAGTTTTCATAGAAAATCTGTTCTGAATTATAAAAAAAGTATGACATTAATTAATTAGAAAAGCTTTCGCCTGTTTTTGTAAGTGTTATATTAAGAACATTTTGTGAAGAAATGAAATTTTTTTTGATGAATAATGTATTTTTTATAAAAAAAAAAAATTTTTTTTTCTTTCCTTTTTTTAAGTTTTTTTCATTAACTTCTTAATACTTCAAAAATTATTTAAAATTCTTTGTTGCTTTTAAACACATAATGCAATGATAACGTTAATGAAAAAGTAAATTTACAAATTGAAATTTGAAAAGCACATATGTTGTTTGTACCCGAATATTTTTAAAAAAAATTTTATTGAAAAAAACTGTCATAATTTCTACGTACGGGAATGTATACATGACATAATCCTTAAAAATTTTAAACAATTATCTAATTAAGTATGAAATAAAAAATAGATATTACATAATTGCTGAATAAAAATGTTAATATTTAAAAAGTACTAGTTAAAATGAAAAACCGCGTTCGCTTACTTTGCAAAAATTGTCAATTTTGCTCATCCATAGTAATGTCATCACCTCGTCACAATCGATTTCTTTGATAAATTCAGACACATCGTTAAATGTTTGGATACAAACTTTTATGCTATAAGTAAGTACTGTTTGTTTCATATCAGATTAATTTAACTTTAAATTTTCTAATTTTATTCAAATAACGTGTCAAAAATATATAAATTTATTTTAGGAAGAAGTTTAAAATCAAAATGTTTTTGTTTACAAATTTCTTAAAATTAAACAAAAAATCAAGCATATATTTGACATTCCAATCTATATAATTTCTATCTGAAAGACACCAGAATATGTTACTTACTGTAAGTAATAAATTTAATGCTTTAGCTTTCAATTAACAACATATTGAGACAAAACTTTGTTTTTGTTGATTTATTAGCCTTTTTCCATCGTGATATGCTGCTTCTTTATGTGACCTAATGGAGGTACCTACTCTTTAATATGATAGATATGGAAAAAAACTCAGGTTAATTGTGACATTGTTTCACTAATCTCACTTTTTTTTCCGCAACTTTTCATTTTCAGTGTGGTGTTATCAGTCCTCGTTTTGACATAAGATTGAGTGAATTAGAAAAATGGACAAATAATTTGCTTCCTTCCAGACAGTTTGGGTAAGTAAATGTTAAGTTCTTAAAATTTTAAATAATGAAAAACTTTATTATAACCATTGGTGCTTTCATAGTTTTATCACTTTCTTTTGGTTGTGATCATGGGCACATCTTTCAAATTTTATTCATTTTTATTACTGGTTTTCTCGTCAATTGTCCAGACAGGAAAATAATTTAGTGTTTAAGTTTTTACTGAATTTTAGTAATATACTGAAAAAAATACATCTTAAATAAAACTGATGAATAAATAGAATTGATAAACACATTCAATACTGATTATTGCAGTTACAGGGAATGAATTCAAGGAAAACATCATACCTAATGATTTTCAAAAAAAAAAAAAAAAAATTGCCTACTATTTGTGCTTGACCTGTTTCCAGTAAGCAGTTATTCAACCTAATTACAGTTGACAGTCATTCAATTTGTAGTGATCTGATTATTCAATGACTTCTGAGATGTAACTTGTCGAAAAGTATGATCAGGTTGTATCACTAATTTTAATCAATTAGGCTGCTTCAGTTTAGTCAATAGTTTTATTCAAGTTGTCTTCCTTCAGGACTGGACCTGTTATATGGTAACCTGGGCCATAAAGATTTTTCCTTTATGATCCAGGAAAAAGAAACCCACAATTTCATGTCTATTCATTGTCTCTCAGAAGACATAATTCATTCAAAATTGAAATGCTGGCTGAGTACATGAAACAATGTTGCCATAATGTTGAGCTTGCCTTGGCAGATAAATAGATGTGAAGAGTTGAATATATCAAGTTTTAATACATTTATTGATGCTTTATTATTCACTATTTTCAGTCTTAATAATGTGTTATATTCTAAAATCAAACTTCTTCATTTTATTGGAAATTTAGCTGCTTTAGAGAATTATGGAAAAAATGTTGATGTAATTGGTTACATGCAAATGTGTCCATCCATATAATCTCTGCTTTTAAAATACTCTGATTATCCTACAGTCTTTTTTTTTTTTTTTTTTTTTTTTTTCCCTTGCATACTTTTGGCAAATTTCATAAAAAATTTTTAATGTTCCTAGCTTAAGTTGAGTATTCGCATCCTTGTGTACGACTGGCTCTTGATGGGTCATTCAGGAAGGGCTGGATGCAACATAAAATGATAGATAAAATACTTGGAGAATATATTCTATGTATATTTACCTTTAATATCTATCAAACATTTTCTTTATATTAAATCTTAAATTTTAATTTAAAACTTTTAATAAACCAAGGCAAATTAAGACTATTAGATTTGCTAATTTCTCAAAGGAAGCATGGTTGAGTAATGGATAGTGGCTTGGATTGAGAAATATGAGATTAGAGTTTGAATTCTAAGTCAATTCCATTTACTTATGTGCCACCCTTGGGAAATGTATGTCCCCCCCAAAAAAAAAAAAAAGCAGGATAGACCAGGTTTTATAGCCTTGGATGGCAACCTACTACAGGAAAAAAATCTGTCTTGTCAGTCATATGTTGGAAGATACATGATCGCCTAAGCATGTATCATGTATGGCACATAACTGATTGAATTTCTCAAAATTATTGAATAATGATATCTGGCTTAAGTTGGAAATGCTAATTCCCCACACCCTACAGTTTCTTAACTATTACATGTGTTGATGCATTAAGATATATTTCCATATTAGTTGTAAAGAATACAGAACATATCATTATGGGGTTAAATATTGTTGGTCGATACAGAATCATGTAATACAGGTGTTTTCAGAACACTTATTCAATAAGTTTTAATAATTTGTGTAAAGTGAAGTCTGGCATTTTTATATTTTTTTTCTTCCTCTTTCTGCACTTTTGACAGATGTCATAAATTTTTTAAATGTTCAGTTGAATTTCTGCATCCTTGTGTACGACTGGCTCTTGATGGGTCACTCAGGAAGGGCTGGATGCAACATAAAGTGATGGATAAAATACTTGGAGATATATATATGTATATATTTACCTTTTGATATCTATCAAACATTTTCTTTTTAGTAAAACTTAAGTTTTAATAATCAAAGGCAAATTAAGAATATGTGTTCTACAATTTGCTAATTTCTTTCAAATTTAATAACCACTTTTTTTTTCTTTTTTTTTTAAGTTTTTTGTACTTTGATATAAAAATTCACCGCAATAAAATTGTTCAGATTCAAATTTTCGTTAAGATATATTTGGGTTGTTCAAATATCTTAGAAATGGACAAGTAGCATAGATTTTATTATAGCTTTTAGTAGCTTTAAAGATCTCAAAAATTATCAGAATATAACTTTAGCTTGTGGTTTGTCTGTTACTGCTTAATGTCTATCTTATGTAAGATAAATATTTTTTCTTGCCGACCAGATGTGCTCACATGAGTAGGGTTCTTTTTAAAAGAAAAATTTAAATTAACTTAATATTGTCTAGATTATATTTTAGATATAAGAACTTGAACTGATTTTATTAGCTTGTTTCTTTGTATTTTGAGGGTATTAACATAAATAAATTGTTTTTCAGTTTTTTAGTGTTGACCACTTCTGGAGGCATCTTGGACCATGAAGAATCCAGAAGAAAACATCTTGGTGGCAAAATTTTGGGATACTTCTTTTAAGAAATGGAAGTGTAAATAAAAAGAAAAAAAATCCTCACACTAGAATTTTGTTTATTTATTTTTTTAAAACTCGCTGACTAGGTTGTTTTAATAATATGCATCTTTACTACTTCTTATATATATATATATATATATATATATATATATATATATATATATATATATATATATACACACACACACACACATCTATCTTTTATTTGGCATTTTTATGACTTAATTTAGATCATTGGTACAAAATATTCAACATGTTTCTTATCACCCAGTTAATGAACACCAGACGGTATTTGGTCAACATAACTTGTAACTGTATCATCCAAGGTGAGAAAAATAGTTTAAAATAAAAGAATATCAGCATCTTTATATTCTATTGCTATTGTGGGAACACCCCTCCTTGTCTGCCAAAGAGTTGGATTCAACTCAACACATAGTGCTATAAGCTTACTTGACTATAAAGTCATCTAATAATCTTACCAACAGATAACTCTTCTCAAGTTTGTCTCTTGCAATCTTTCATAGGATTTTCACACAGCTGTATGTACAGCACATATATTTGTACATGTCTTCATTCCTCCTTTTATCTTGCTGTTCAAAAGAAAACTAGTTAAATATTGGGTGTTCATGAGAAATATTTTTTTCTTGTATTTCTATTGAGAATGCTATCCATATAGGTAGCAAGACAAAAATTCCCAATTTCTAAAATTTATGATGTTTAGATAGCTATATAAAGTCATTGTAAATTGACTCTGCTTTTACACAAGCCAAAATTTTGAAGGTAAAGGAAATAATTATCAATGATAAAGGGAAAAACTAAGGAAGAAATGCTTTAAATTTGTATCTACTGAAATTTTGTATGCAAGCATTATTTTAAATTGATAAAAAGGTAAGAATCTGTTTTAATTAAAATACGTTAACATTTTATTTACATTGTTCAGACTTGCGTTTATCGTAATATTCCCGTTTCAACCCATTGAATAAAAGTGTTGGCTGGATTCAGTGACTTGATCCAAAGTTCAATACCTGGCTATTGCATTAATGAACAAAATCTTATGTTAAAGGGAGATAACTGAGAAATCCGAGAGGTATTGCATGTGGAACAATAACAATCTACCCAGTGGACAAAATAAAGGTTCAGTTCAAAATTCCAATCACCTGACCAAAACGTTCTGAATATAGCAATAAAGATGAGGACAACAGTTTGAATGATGTAAATAATTAACTTATTTTAAAATGAAATTTTGTAACTAGGGATATACTTTTATCGTATGAGGTTTTGTTTTTCATAGAATCCATTTATAATCTGAATACTCAATATTTATCTGATGAGTATGGAAGAAATATTTGGAGGAGTGTTTCTGTAGAAAAAACTATTTTGGTAGGGATGAGAAACATGGGTTAAGCAGGTCTTTCATTGTTTAATCAGTGAAAGTGATAGTTATCAAACCAGGTGAGTTCAAAGGTTACTTATTTCTAAGGTATATATGGGCAGTGTAATGGATATGGAAAATGAAACCAGTGAGTAGAGTTCAAATTCAGATCTGGTCTGTTGCATTCACAGAAATACCAAAAAGCAAGGTTTATAACTAGTCTATGAAAACCTGAATTCCAAACTGGAGAAGACAATAAAATTGGTCTCTTTGCAAGAAAAAGAATTTTAGGGAAGCCATGATCACCTATGTTATCAAGAATGGACCTCTCTTTTTTTTTTATTTTTTTTTAATATGTTACAGTTGGAGTTATAGTTGAGTTGGGTTGGAGATCGAAAGCCTCACAGGAGCTGACTATGAAAGATTTCCACGCATTCAGACTTCTAACCGTTTTAACGAATATCGCCTGAAGATACCAAAAAGAGTTTATTGAAAAACAACTTAAGATATCAAGACTCACCTGGGAATCCGTAAAGATTGCAGTCCTGTATTCAGTAAACAGATATAAAGATACTTGTTATTTTTTCAACACATTTGAACCTTTTGAGTTTCATTATTTTTCTTTTACATACACTTGTGCGGTATCACCTTTGCCCTGGATTCAGCTTGCACTACGGCCCAACGCTTGATTGATTTTGTTTACCTAAGATCAAATCACAATGTGGGTAGGTTAGACTAGAGATCGAAGCAGTTACTTCGGTAACCAGACTTTGGAGGCGAGCTGGGAATGGCAAGGCTGATATCAAATCTAACCAGACATTGACCGCGACCAAGACAACCAGAGGGGTCAGTGTCACATATGGTTCTGTGGTAAACCAGACTTCCATCCGAACCAGCCAAGGGTTAGATCGTCACAGATGGTGCTGCAGTCAGCCCAGGGTTAGAGGCATCACAATTGGCGGCCGTGACCAGGACTGACCGGTGGCGCCGCGACCAGCACACGACAAGACCCAGGGAGACGTCACATATACACTAAGTGACAAAAATTGTGTACCTAATTTTCTGACCCCACGCACTTTATTTTTGCGGATTTCATTTTTTGATGAGGGGGGAACAAAAAAAAAGTCATTGAATCGTGTGCTCTTTTTTGTAATATTGTCTATTGTTTGTATTGTAGTCTTTATGCAAAAGAAATAATAAAAAAAACATGTAGCACATGCGCCACACAATAGCAACCTTACATTTTACTTATTTCGCACCAAATAATATAAAGTTACTTATCGCAAATATTTAATTCACCCCCAAAAATTATAAATTTTAAGTCAGTTTTTTTTTTTTTTTTTTTTTTTAAAGCACTCATTTGAAATTATGAATTTTAAATCAAATTCCAACCATTAGAATGAAAAATTACCAAAAATCAAGGAGTCATTCACATTTGTGCGGTTACGAAACCCAACTGCAGTGCAATGGAAGGGTCTCGCCTTTGGGGTGAATTAACAGAAAACATCCGAACAAAAGTTTTAACTTTTATTACTTGATTCAATGTTTGTTGATTGTTATGAATAAGAACCCCTCCACCTTTTAAAATTATATTAAAAAAGAAAAAAATATCAATATTTTTCGATTCTGACAATTCTCGAGAAGGTCTCTAAATAAAAAGAAAGCTAATCTGGAAAAATTATTTCTCTCAAAAGAATTTTTTTTATTTTATTTGAACCAGTATATATTTATTTTAGTGTCTAAAAAAAATGGAAATTAGTAATATTTCGATGTTCAAATACTGGTATTTTGGTCATATAAATAAACGTTGTTGCGTCATTCCTCAACATATCACGCATATTGAAATTGGTGAAGGACATATATCGATGCCCCCCACCCCTACCCCTACCCCTCTTCTCCACTACAGTACACTTACCTATTCACCACGAGAATAAAAATAAACAGTGGCAATCTCCCACTATGAAAACGGTTATCGGTTCGCCCACTCGAACTGAATGTGGTACATGGCCGAATTTAATATGGGATCCTAGGCGTATGTGAACTACAGAAAAAAAAATGCTTAAGAATCCCCCCCCCTTCTCGCTGGGCACTTTATAATTTTTGGGACACCTCAGACACCAGTTAATGACTCGAGCCTCATTCCCCACCTAAGGTTGGGTAAAGCACGGTCCTAAAGCTCGAACGCATAATTTTGTACCCACCCGCCCCGGCAGAACTAGGTATAAAAAATTATTGGAAAGTATGTCATCGGGATTGTTGATTTCTGACAATTTTTGCATGCCAAACACTGGATTACCTCCCTTACATTTCAGGAGAATTTCACGGCTGGCTTCGTTTTCAGAAACATCCATTTGAAAGCAGAATAAAATGAAAAATAGTGACTAATATAACTTATTACAATTAATTAATCTCTGAGAAAAAATAAAAGCAACTTAGGTTGTCGTATCTAGAGCCACCGAGTTATTTATCAACAAGAATTTTTTATGAATTCATATGCTACAAATATAAACACGTGTTGAGTGTACGAATCCATTTTGGAATGTTAATGACGTCATAAATTTAAGTGGTGACGTCACGCATAAAACCATTTTAAACACGTTTTTTACTTTTATTAAGAAGCTTTTTTTTCTAATTATCAAAAGGAATTCAGTGTAATTTAAGATAGAACAAATTAATTGAAATTTAAATAAAATCAATGTTTTTTCTTTCTTAATTACAAAGATATTAAAAAAATGTAAGAAGTTTAAACAAAACTAGCTAAATAAATTATTTTACTTAAAGACCATCTTCAAGTCGGCATTCTAGCTCTGAAATGGCATTTGATTGGCGTTAGCGCACGTTTAATCTTGGCAACATCCCCCTCCACAAAAAAAATAAAAAAATAAGGTACCGGCACATGTTCTCAAATATACACCAAACTCTGGGAAAGAATATGCAGGAAATCGAATTTACACAAGCCAAAAATTATTCTTATCAGATTTAAATTCCTAAAGTGACACAAGGTCAGTTTAGTGTTTAACAACGACAATCAATACATTGGAAAAATTAAGCTAAGTCCCCTCAGCACTTTTGGGGGACGCCTCAGACGCCGGTCAGTAAACTCAGCCCCTTCCCGAAGGAGTAGCACTACCTTGTGGGATGGCGGGGGGCATCTTGTGGTTTGGGCTTATTTTTTAAAAATTTCCCGGCATGTGCCAAGGAAGTATTTTAAATGTATTGTAGAGGGGTAGAAATTTTTATTTTCTACTATTGTGAACTTACTGGCCATGTTGTTAATTTAAAATTGAATATGATCATTCATAAATTTTTTTCTTCAGTTAATAAAAATTTAAATTTTTACTTTAAATTCTTCTGACTGAAAAATACTTCCAATGCACGACTTTTCAAATCCAAAGAATGGCTCAGAATATGAGGCTAATTAAAGAAATATAAAGGTAAAAGAGAACATTCATTATTATGCGAAAATTGTTTAGAGGGCGATGAATTCAATAAAGATCATTGCAGGAAAATTAAAACAAGTACTCTAATTAATTGTCTACTAATGACAGTAAGTAATTATTTGCGTTTTTCCCCAGTAATTGTTTTCTCTTTTGTAAAATTACCTGCGTATTGCAAATATACTTTTTTTTTTACTTAGTTTTAAAAACTTTTAAATCTCAGAAAATAATTTTAAAAAAATACTGAAATTAGTAATTCTTTTTTTAATTTTATGCAAGAAACATAAAAAATGACTCGTTATATAAGTTTCTTCATAAATAGTTCATGGTTTCCAGAAAAATTAAATTAACTGAAAGATTAAGTAATAAAAAAATTGAGGCATATAAGACAGGATGGCCCACTTTTAAAATTTTTATATTGCTTTTTTGTTTTAAAACAAAAAAAAAAATGAATGTTTAATTTTGTTTGATAGTGAATGAAAACTGAAAAAAGTTTCTGTGATCAAAGTACAAGAAGAATTGTTTGTCAGAAAAAGAAATAAAATATTTTCACAATGCAAAGCATAGTGTGTAAACACTGAAATCATAACTAGTTTCTCCCCCCACCCCGATTGATTTTATTTTATTTAATCGACACATTTTTCGTCCACCACCTCCCGCATCTGTTTGTACTTTCCCTGCGCCATGTGATCTTCAATGGGAACCTGACAATCAGAACCAGTTTCACTCTAGTAAACTTTTCTTCTATTGGTTGAAAATTACGTAAAATCTATAAATAAATGTTGCACCATATCCGCTTTTGATAGCCTCACCGTCAGTAGCAGAAAAGAGAAACGAGAAGAAAGGAGGTAAGAATAAATTGGTGAGTTTTTCTTATGTCATAAAATCAATATTAGAAATGGTGTAATTAAAGTTCATAACTTTTTTTTAACTGTAAGAATTGCGCAACATTTTTTAAATACTAAAAACGTAACTTAACTTTTGTTTTACTTTTCTTTCACTCTTAAAAAAGCAATTTATGTGCACTCATCAACAACCGGGCTGAAATAAATCATAAATGTCAAACTCAAAAAGTTTCCTAAAATAAAGTTTTAAAAAATAAATGAAATGTACATAGTCTTTTTTTTAAAGTGCTAATTTCTTTTCTAGTAATTTGAAAGTATTTTCCTGTTTATAGCGGAGCGAAAAATATAATTTTGCATTAAAAAAAAAAATTCCGCATTAAAAAACAAAGAAACAAAAATTGTAAAAATAAATAAATAAAATTGTAACAATTTATAATTTTTATTTTTTTAAAACTTCAACTTCTAATTCTGTTTTTTTTTTTTTTTTTAATTTTCGTTTAGAGGCCAAGAAGGCGGAGTTCAGAGGTCGTGTTGTTAGTGTTGGCGAGAAAAGAGAGAGACCTCCTCGAAATTAAATTTGAGGTGGAGACAGAAGCCTTTTGCAAAAATCAAGCCATTACTATAGTGGATAGTGAACTATTCATGACCCAACACACACAAGAGCCCATCAGCATGATCAACTGTGAAGAAAAAAACCCGACAGAAGAGAACTCCGCCCAGTGCCTTCCACTACTTTTAGACGATTTATTTAGTCCCAGTATGGTTGATGACTTCTTTCATGAGATTGAAGACGTTGGAGGTACAGGAGAGATAGAGCAGTCGACTTTGGACTTTCCTTGTTCCTCGACGTTTGGAATGGAAGACAAATGGCCTATTTAACACAGGTAAGAAGTGCAGCCATTACTTTGACAATCAATAAAGCATGTAGGTAATTTTTTTGTGTGACACCCACACGTTAGGTTAGCGATGTTTTGAAAAGAACAAAACAGTATTCAGCATTGCCATAGAAACAATGATCAGTGTTTTGATTGTTGCTATATGACTCTGTTTTGTTTTGTCTTGTCCTATTTACGGTGCTAGGAAGGACGAGGGTGGCTTCAGCCGACTCACTCTTTTGGTGGAACTAAACAAGCTGTTTTCATATCTTCAATTAAAAAATCTATGATGATCATTATTGAATTGAGTTGGGTAAAAATTTATCTAAGACTAACTGCCATTAATTTTCAGAATTACTTTCTTTTTTGAACTTCTAAAACTTTTTGGATCAATGCGTGAATTAACTCTTTTTTTTTTTTTTTTTTTTAATCAATGGAAAAGACGACTGATCCTATCGATTATAGAACTCTACTGCAGCACCTTCCCCCTTGCACTAACGAGAGAGGGCCGCTGGAATATTGACGCCAGCGCGATAGTGGGGACCGGTCAATGTTTGATACCCACCCTCTGTTAAAAACGACCTTGGATCATATTTCGTCAACTTGAAGCTTAAAAATGAGTCCTACGGAAAAAGTATTTTTCGGTTTAATTCCAGAAAATAAGTTTTAAACGAAGCCTAAAAAAATGTTTAGGATAGCTCTTTAAAAAAAAAAAAATTCATTATGAGAGTTCAAATAAAAAAAATAGTCCATTCCTACTGCAGTGAGTTAGAATCCTTACTGGGTACTGCATCTTTTGGCCTTGTGCCAGATTACGTATCAAGAGAATGATAGAAATTGAGTAGTTTGTTAAACAATTTTTTTCTGTTTATCTGCTAAATTTAGCGGAGACCCATAAGGACAAAACAGTGGATCAGATAATGAAAACTGAATTTACTACTGACTTGCAATTCTTACTTTTATGTATATGAAATGTCTAGATAGTGAGGTGGCCAGATATTGGGGGTGATGTGGTCACAGAAATTGTTTAACAGCCATGGCTGGGTTCTCCTGCTTGTGTGGCATGGTATAGTCCTGTTGCCAGACATAGTCTTCCAGCAACCACCCTCTTGAACCTATGGCAGCACTACCTCCTCAAGGCACTTGATGTAGGCCTTTGTGAGGCTCTTGCCAACAAATTCTTATCAGAATGACCAGAGTGAATTTTCCAAGTTGGCATGTCTTCATAATCACCATTAGACTCATCCAACTCTTTTCAAATCCTCTGCACTCTCCTCAGATTGACACCCAAACACTATGAAATGTTCATATTGGAGCTTCCAACATAAATGCAAATCAGTACAGCATGCCATTTTCAAATTTCTGGTGGAGTGAATTGCATCATGGCGCTCTTTTTCTCACAGATGGTTCCCAATAGACCCTACTATAGTGTGCAGGGGAAAAAACAAAAATAAACTATGTGCATGAGTGAAATTAAAAATATAAAATGGTGACAATTTATCCATTGCACCATATGTATATTTTAATATATATATATATATAATACTCTCTGGTGAATGCATGATTTTCATGCTGTTTAAATAACATTAAACAGAATTGTGTATAGGGTATTATGTATATTTTTTTTAATATATTAAATAGCTCTGTTATTTAACATTGAACACTGTTTTTTCTTACATTATTTATATATATATATATATATATATATATTTGTATACGAATGCTTGCACGTACATTTACCTATATTTATCCATTTGAGTAATGGATAGTGGCTCAGATTGAGGAATCAGAGAGCTGAGTTTGAATTCCAGTCGAATCCATTACATTCAATTACGTGCTAATACCTTTGGGAAAGGTATGAATCCTCTTCTTCTCCCTCCAGCTATGGATAAATAGCAAGACAGACCAGGTTCTATAGCCTTGAATGGCATCTGGTCTATCAAAGAAAGAAAGGGAAACCTACTGCGAGAAAAAATCTGCCTTGTCGGTCATGTATTGAAATATACATGATCACCTACATGTGTATCACGCATGACACATAACTAATTAGGAATACTTGGTGTTGTAATGGATAATGGCTTGAAATCATTAATCAAACAGCTGAGTTTCAATTCCTGTTTGTTTCATTATATTCCTTTGCATGCAAATACCCTTAGGAAAGGTATGAATCCACCTCTTCTCCCTCCATCTATGGGTTAATTAGTAAGATTTGTATCATTAAACCATTATTATCTCTGCCCCCCCCACGTCAAAAAAAAAAAAAATTTCTAACTTGAAATAACCTGCAAAGGGTTGATAAGACAGAAAACGAATCAGTCAAATGAAAACTTTTCTTAACTAATGTGTTTCTTCCTCTGATAAACTTTATCAAAGCAAATGTAAAGATGTCTTATTTTTAGTGGTTACACATTTGAGTAGACATCTCTTATTTTTTTGAATGGAATAATTGGTGTCTACTGGCTTGTGTATTTTAAGAGTCTTATAAAGGGTGTTTCATTAAGACGAATCAAAGTCAGAAGTAAATAAATCAGTGTTATTGGTGAAAATTTATTTATTTCTCTATTGGATCATGTTATTTAAGTCATGGTAATTATGTGTGAAAAATAATATCGCCCAAATGTCTGCACATTGATGACATCTCTGCATAATTGCTCCTTGATCTGACCAATATGCCTTATTATCTCATCCTTCAGTTGTTGAATTGTTGTTGTCTTGTTGGTATAGACCAGGGGTTGGCAACTCATTCGACCCCACAGGCCGGATCGTGTTATAATGACAGGTCGCGGGCCGGATGAAGGCCATTAATGAAAAATTAAGGAAAATTACATATGCAGACCCCTGTCAACCTAAACATTTAAAACCATAATGAAAATAAACATTTAGAAATCAGAAAAACAAAAGAAAATCTAAAATTAAAAAACACCTAACAAAAATTACTTTTCCTCAAGGAACGTCAAAATATTTCAAAGTGAAAGGCATGTATGTATAATGCGCATATGTTTAACTGTCTTTAGATTTCTGCTACCTCGCATATCAGTCCCTCCCTGGCCTCTTTCACTTATCGTTTCTTTCGCTTCTGTTATCATTTAATGTAGCCAAGGGTCATAACAAATATGTATCCATTATTTGACATTAAACGTAAGCAATGCAACTTGGTAAAATAAGTCTCATGAAAGATAACTGGCAGATGGTCTAATATTTTTAGTGCACTGAGATGTGTAGACATTCTATGGAAAATGACATATAACAAATTTCATTTGAAGGTCATCTCTCATGTTAAAAATAGTCATTGGTAATCAGGCTTGTGGGCCGGATCCGGCCTGCAGGCCGTAGGTTGCCAACCATTGGTATAGACCTTACTTTTGAGATGACCCCAAAGGAAGAAATCAAAAGGTGTCAAGTCACACGATTGTAGTGGCCAATTGACTTCATTGTTTTGAGAGATGATGCAACCTGGGAACGTCTCATTGCATTTCTGCTTGAACGTCCATTTTCATAATAGGTTTCGATAACTTTGACACCTTGTTTGATTGTTAATCTTTCCATAGATGAAATTGCCAAAGACTTAAGTTGTTAAATCTGAAAGAAAAAGAAAAAAATCATTAGACGCTTAAACTTAATTTACATTTAAAATCAGTCCAAGTTATTATAACACTCTTTATAAAACAACTAAAAAAATTTAAAAAAAAAAAAATCTTGTTTACAGATTACTGTGACAAAGTTTAATCTAAATATGTTATCTTTTCTAATACAAAAAACATCAAACAATGTTATCAGTAGGCAAAAGATAAAAATCACATGAAAAAAAAAAAGATATACAAAAATGCAATGTCATACTGTTACCTGATAAACTTCATTATCAATTAAATCATTTTGATAAGTCATTGTAGTTTTTTTTTTTTTTTTTTTTTCAAGAAACACACCTATTCTTTGCTGGTAAACTTAAAAATATAAAAGTACAGGGTGCGATGGGTAAATTATCGCCATTTTATATTTTTAATTTTGTGGATGTGCATTGTTTGTTTTTGATTTTGTTAACTGCCTTGTGATGCAATTCACTCAATCAGAAATTTGGAAACGGCATGCTGTACTAATAATCAAACTTAGCTTTGATCTTACAAAGGTCATGAACTGGAGGTTTTTAAAACATTTTCAGTGTCTCTTCTTCTACAGGATGCGATGGGTAAATTGTCGCCATTTTATATTTTTAATTTCGAACATGCATGTTGTTTGTTTTTGATTTTGTCAACTGCACAATACAGTAGGGTTAGTTGGGCACCATAGCAGCATTCCCGATATTTTTTTTTTATCAGACCTCATATAGCATCAAAATAAAATGATGTAATGTGTAATCCATGGAGAATGTTCTTTTGTTAGATGAGCAATGTGAAAGTTTTAGCAGAAACAAAAAAGAGAGGACTGAACTGTTATGTCCTATCAAGCTTCCTACACGGCGCTGAATTCTAGATAATTTGTTCACAGCAGAAGAGACTTGAAGCAACAGAAATGTGGTTCTACAGAAGGATGCTGAGAATACCATGAACCGAACATATGAACAACAAATTTCTAGAGATGATGGCAACTAAAAAGGCACTTAACATGAGGATGAGATAGTTGAAATTTCTCTTTCTCAGTCTCTCTCTATATATATATATATATATATATATATATATATATATATATATATATATATATATTTATTTATTTAAAAATTTATAACATAAACATGTTATAAAATCACTACAAAAATAGCCATTTTGTTTCAACACTCCCGGTGTCTTATCAAGTAAAATGCAAAACAAAATGGTAATTTTCTAAATAAATAATTATATCTGCTCTACTTTGTATTGAGCACTCTTTTAAGAATAGTAATTGTTGGTTATTGGAATTCATTCCTTATACACCAATTATATACTTGGAGATATATGTGTGTGTGTGTGTGTATATGGATATACAGAGTATGATAGGTAAATTGTTGCCATTTTATATTTTTAATTTCATGCATTGTTTGTTTTTGATTTTGTCAACTACACAGTATAGTAGGCTCAGTTGGGCATTGTCTCTGAGAAAAAGACTACCATGACGCAATTTGCTCTGTCAGCAATTTAAAAATGGCACACTGTACTGCTTGGCATTTGCACCAGAAGCTCCAATACAAACATTTCAGAGTGTTTGGGTGTCAACCTGAGGACAGTGCAGAGGATTTGAAAAGAGTTGGATGAGTCTAATGGTGATTACAAAGGTATGGCAGCTTGAAAAACTCAATATGATCATTCTGATAAGAAAAGAATGCACAAATTTGTTGGTGAGGGCCTCAGACTCAACATGGAAGTCTACATCAAGTACCTTGAGGAGGTAGTTCTGCCTCGGGTTAAGAGGGTGACTATGTCTGGTAACAGGACTCTGTACCATGCTACACAAGCAGGAGAACCCAGTCATAGCTGTCAGACAATTTCCGTGACCACATCATTCCTTACCTAACTCTCCAGAATGCAACTCACTTTGTGTCTAAATAAACAGAAGTATAACAAACTCAACAGGAACCGGAACTTAGGTCTTGGATTAACAATTTTGAGCCATTATCTGTTATACCACCTGCATATCTAAGCTTACAGTACTTGGTGTTCATAAGTGGCCAACATGTGAACCAAAGACAAAGAGGCTCAAGTCAAGATATTGCTTTCTCCATTTAGTTGAACTACTGAACAATAGATTCCCTAATCAGCATCTGCCTCTGTGGTGCAGTTACTTTAACATGGAGTGCAGGCTCTCTCTCAGCCTTACAGAATTTCTCCCCCTGGCTCTAGCGAAGCCTGGTCCTTCAAGAATTGCCTCTGAACAGCTGTTGGTCACTGTAGAGCCAACGTTCAGAAATGGGGTTCTGCCACCAATGATGATGCCAACTGCCAATGTGAGCAATCTCTAACTATTGAGCATCTTCTAGTTTGCCCCAATCTTGAAGATTCATGCACACTTAATGACTTTGAGACCGTAACACCCCAGGCAAGGCTATGTGTGCAACACTGGATAGGTGCAGTGTGGTAACCCCATACGATGGTTGCATGCTGGAGATGACATTTAGTTTAGTCTGTACTACCCTATCAAAACTAAAATGGCAGTGCTCATGAGAAATTGCCACAAGTGTCTTTATTGTCATTTATTTCCAGTAAAAGACATTTTCCTATTTTTCCCCAAAATGGGCCAGTAAGGCCAGGCAACAATGCAGCAGTGAAAATATTGACAGATTATCCAAATTAGGTATCAACAGAAATCTTATAAGACAATGACAACCAGTTGATAGAAACTGACTGCAAAAGTGGTGGACAGAATAGACAAGACATTAATCATTATGATACTGAATAAATTTATTTACAATATTCACTGGTAATAAAGCAATGAAAATTTATAGCAATGTTGTAATATAGCTGAGAAGTCAATCTTTATATATTAATATCCAGAAAGAGTTGAAATTTCTCTGACACATAATAAGGAAAGAAAGCTTGGAGAATTTGACACTGGACATATTGAAGACAAAAAAGACAGAGGGAAACACTCAGCAGTGTAACTAATCAGTTTATGTAAATGGATGTCAGAACAGACTGGGGAAAGAGCTTAGAGCTACAAAAGATAGGAAGTTGTGGAGAGCCAGGATCGCCCACATCTTGAAGAAGAAACTGCATATAAAAGAAATTTAGCATAGTTTGTATAGCAGAGGATGTGAACAAAAACCAAAATGCCAATCATCATAAGTGTCTTTATAGTCATTTATTTTCAGTAAAAGGCATTTTTCTAGTTTTCCCCAAAATGGGCCAGTACAGCCAGGCTATAACAATGCAACAGTGAAAATGTTACTTTCTTAAGAGAAGCCTTCATAACAAAAATTCAGTATGAAAAAATATGGCAATAAAGATGAGGACAACAGTTCAAGCAATGTAAATAATTACAATACCTTTATCTAGGATTTATTGAATTACAAGGATAAAATGTTATGGATTTACTATCAGAATGTTTTATTTTACAGGTCCTGATTTAATGTCTGATATGAATTCTACAGCTGACTCATTCTCCTGGGATCTAGAAAACTTGCTGATTCCTGAGAATATCAACACTCTGTTTGCCCTCTCTGAAGAGGTAAGAGTTTGATTACCAATAAATGCAATAAAGAGATTAAAATAAAATCAGTGTCAATGACAAAGTTATCTATCTGTTATATACACAAAATGGGCAGAAACACTTTCAAAGCAATGCTATAAGTTAACAAGTTTGTTACTTTAATAGCGATGTTATGTTATTACTATTGTTATATATAGATAAAGTTGAAAGGAAAACTTATCTTAGCTGACATGTTTTGTCCTCTGAAGGACTTTATCATTTGCCTTGATAAGGTCCCTCAGAGAATGAAACGCATCGGTGAAGATAAGTTTTCTTTTTGTCTTTATTCATATTGTCCTTTTACAGATATACTCGGTCTGATTATATATATATATATATATATATATATATATATATGTATGTATGTATTTTGAGATATGTCTCATTAAATAATTTAGACAAGTATTGTTTAATAGGATCCTTTCATATTTATAAACAACTTTCCTTATTAAAGGAAGAAAGTAAGTTACCATGTTGATGCATGTTCATTTTATTCTGAGTACTTTTAACATTAGCATGTCATCATCAGGGTCTTGTTTATTTCTAAGACAAAGTTGTGTTCATCATTTTTCTAAGATAAAATTGTGTTCATCTGAAATTTTTTTACTTGTGGAGTGAAAAATGCTAAACTTGTGTACTGTACGATTTTTAAATTTTATGATGTTAACATACACGTATAGTAACATCAAAGGAGGTCTCTAAGTTATTGAAATGTGCAACTATATATATATTATAAATTAATTGATTTAAAATATGGTTATTAAATCAGTTTATAATATTAAATCAATTAATTAATAATAAATAAATATAATATTATATAAGTATAAATAAATAAATATAATATTAAATCAATTAATTTATAATATTAATGCTCTGTAAATTTACATTGAGCACTATTTTGTAAAAATAAAAATATCTCTAAGAACACCAGATTATATATCTTACTGTTCTTTCTTTTTATTTATATATATATATATATATATATATATATATATATATATATATATATATGGCAGTGGCTGGCCACTTGTATCTGAGGATGCCTGTCTACTGGAGTGGCTAGCTAATTGCTCAAGCACATTTGTATTTGTTCCACACCAATAGAGTCCATCAGTGGTTTATACTGCAACTATGCTGAGCAGACCTTAGTTACAGTTTCTGGGAGAGAGCACATTATCTAGCATGATCAACAGTCAAACTCTTGGTCACAGTGACTTGTGACTTTGTGCTAGCACAACCACCGAGGGGTCCCCAAGGGTTCTGTCTACCTAATTTCACTCACAAGACTTGGGTCAACTCATGGTATGGTTTTCAGGCCCTCTCTTAAAGGTGCCACACTCTGGGATCACCTCCTCCAGACCAATAACTTCAAGAAGTTACCTTCCTGACAAATCTACCCCAGTGAGATTCAAACCTGGGTCTCATGGTTAGAAAGCAAATGTCCTAACCACTCGGCCACATTCCCATATTATAAATATATATATGGTTCATGCTTTTATCTTTTAAACAAACATGGATTAATTTTACATGTGAAAAAGATTTAATTCACCCATTTTTATGATACTCTCTCTATTATCTGCCTTTTGCTCTATTTCTCCACAAAGAATGAAGATTTTTCCTTTTTAGTAATTTTTATGATTTCCCATTTCAAGCTGCTCATTGTCTTTGAATATTCAGCCATCAAGTTAATGTCTTTTATTTTTCTGTAGAACTTTCCTCACTCACTCTATTCATTTATATATATATATATATATATATATATATATATATATATATACACACACGCATATAGTATATCTAAAATACTTTTACAAATATTGGGGGCTATAAACATGGACAAAAGTCTATATAAATATATGTCTGCAAATTCTTTGTTTTTGAGTTAAGTTTAAAGAAAGTTTACGGTAGATGGTGCTGTGTTGCCATGTAGACTAGGTTACATTTATTCCATTTAACAATCGCAGGATATTCATATGAGCAGGTAGATATGATTTTTACATACCACCACGCAAATGGTAATGGATGTGAGGCTGCACAGCTGTATCAGATTGCATTTCCATACCGAAGGCAGCCAAACCATCCAACCTTTGCTGCTGTTTATTGTCGCGTTGCTTAGACAGGATCTGTGGCACCACAAACTTAGGATCAAAGGAAACCAAGATCCACCCATATGCCTGACTACGAAGAACACGTTCTACATAGCCTTTTAGTCATATGTTTATATGGACATTTTACCTTGTTTTGGAGTTAGGAACCCGACCCCAAGCTTGTAAAAGTATTTTTATACACCCCGTGTGTGTGTGTGTGTGTATATATATATAAAAAGTGAACATTGAAATCAACACTCAGAGGCAACTGGCTGTTTCATGCTAGACGCAATCACCAGGCCATGAGTTTGACGATTGCGTCTAGCATGAAACAGCCTGTCACCTCTGAGTGTTGACTTCAATGTTCACTTTTATATTTACATACACTTTATCTCTGATATTGAGCACTTGATCCCATAAACATAGCACACCTTTAACTATGTTTCTTCATATATATATTTATATATACACACACAAAATAAGTTTGATTTAAAAGAACCGACAAGGTCTATATGTTTAATTTTTTATTGAATTTTTGGATAAGATGTTGAGTATTGTGCTTGAAATTGTGGATATTGTGCTGTTATTTTATTCAAGTACTTACCAAATTGAAAATTTCCGCCTTTGAAAATAACTTGAAATGTTGAAAGTAATTAAACAAAACAACAAAATATGAACTTCAGACAGTTTATTATGCAAGTTAGTTTTTGTAATAATATTGATATAAACAAATTAGTTTTTGTAATAATATTGATATAAACCAACAAATATTGGTATAATCTTAATGATATACTGATATATTTTAATATACCATGTGATGTTGAAATTATATATTTTTATTAAATATATTTACAAGAATTTATTTTGGGGGTGTGAGATTTTATTCTGCGAACTGAGGGTTGTTCATCATGGAAATAACTCAATATAATGGTATAGGTAGTAATATTTATTTTTATGACTTGCATAATAACATTTGACAGTGAAGTTAGTAAACATTTATTTATACTTACATTTAATGGAGAAAAATTTATTTATTAACAGATTGTGACATCTATTAGAGAGATGAAATTTTTATTATTGCATTATCCCAAAATTTTAACACATCAGCAGATAGCTATTAATGTCAACGACTGAGCACAAATGGTTATTAATTAATAAAAATCAGTAATTAATGTATAATATTATCCATAACTACGTGTACAAGAATGTTGTTTTTGATAAAAGTTAAAAAAATAACAATAAATATGCAAAAAAATGCATATATTGTCGAAAATTCCTTTTTCCACAATATAGATATTTGTGCTATGTTATAATGCTTAATAATTTTTTTTTAAACATTAAAGTATATTTAATCACATCTCCTTAATAGCAGTCGTGATCAATCAGTCCAAGAGAGTTGAGTATTCTTATTGGGCTATACATGCAAAGGGAGATAACTCCTATCAGTAAATAAACCATTATTACTTTTCCTACTGAACCAGAATCTCGTTTTTTAAACATTAAAATATATTTAATCACATTTCCCTAATAGCTGTTGTGATCTGTAAAATATTATGATTTATAAAATGTGTAATTCATCAGTTTGAAGAAAGCTTTGAATCTACTATTGTTTAAATTAAAAAGAAGGCATTTATTTAGCAAGACATTTAATTATCCCAAAAATGAAAGGAAGACATTTTTGATTTAATTATGAAGATCTTAATTCTTATGTTGTTTTTCTTTTCTTGCAGGCTTCAGTCCAAAAGCAGTCAACCCAGGCAGAGAATATAATTCATAACGAATCTATAGAGCTGCAGCAGCAGCAGCAGCAATTAGTATCACTATCAGAAAATATGACTGCAATTATTGATTCAATATCTGCCGATATAAAAATGAGTACAACTCCTCAAGAACAATTACCAATCAGTAATGATAGCAAAAGTGTTCAGTCTTTACAGCAATCAGCTACCTCTTCATTTAGTGACAACGTATCTGTTGTAGAGAAATATCATGAGAGAAGACAAAGAAACAACCTGGCTTCTCGAAAATCCCGAGAAAAACGTAAAAAGAACAACCATAGCATTCTTTTGGAGATTGAAGAACTCAGTTCAACCAATGAAAAACTGAAAACAAAAATTAAGACATTAGAGGAAAATTTAGAGAAAGTAAAGGGAGAATTATTTGCATCAATTGTTGCAAAGAAATCAGCCTAATATTTGCATTTGAATGACTTATTTTTCCCTGACTGCAGCTGCTGTTTGAGACTACTAAAACTATTTCCTAATTTTTATTAGAAACATCTTGGACTTTAACATCAAATCTAAAATTATCCTAACAAAATTATGTGTGATTATGTTGAAATGATAATTTGAGAAGGAAATTAAAGGTTATTTATAAATTTTAAATCGTGAATATTCAAGTGGCATATCATGGGTTCTCAGCACTGGGGCAAAAGCACTTTTTCCAATTTCATCTCTTGGTTGAGAGAATTTTTTTTTATTAACAGGCATTGTGCCAGATGAAATTTTACACACCTTCCCCACACTGCCCTCTCCTATTTCTATGCATTTAAACTGAGTTGCATAATTGATGCAGTTTGACAACTAGCCTAGAAGCCACCCTTTGGGCGAACTTTAGGCTACCTCCTATGGAGGGCTTTTGGGCCTTCAACCTTTTATCTTCAGTGTCCTATATATGTAAAAGTTATAAGAATTTAGAAATAATACAATTATTTTATCTTTAATCAACACCTCAATTCAGCATTATCCTTCTTCATGTATGCAACTGATCTCCGTAGTTGGTTTACATTAATTTTGTGCGCAATTTTTATTTTCTTTTAAAATCACCATTCTTTATGATCCCTTCATATAAAGTCAAGCTTAAAAGACATTAAGGAACCCAAACTATGTAATATTTCTAATACATCACAGTACATGTGTTAGAAAAAGAAAAAAAAACATGAGTCACATACTGTGCCCCGCTTAAGTTTTAGACAATTGCAATGAAAAGTGAAATTAAAGTTAAACCTTTAATAAAGAATTTTTTTTTTTTTTAAAACCTTTCACTCTGTTCAATATTTAACTTTAAATGAGTTATTTATTTAATTTTTTAATCGTGAGTTACTTTAAGATCAATGAGATCGAAAAACGGATGGACCCATGTACACTGCACTTTATTTATATAGATGAATTTAAAATGTTTTTGATGTAGAATTCAATATTCATATGTATTTGCGGTAAAGCAAAATTTAGTTTTTGTAATGAAATATTAGCAAGTCTAATGATATCCTGCCTTTCAGACTTGGTGAAAACAATTTTTTTCTGATTTTGATTTAGTCTTTTCAAATGATGATGGAATAAATTTTTATAACAAAAAATATAATGTGTTATGGGATATCTGACATTGAATATATCATTGTATAAGAATTGATTATTGGCATATTTTGAAGAACTTGGAACGATAGTTATTGTATGAAATATTGTAGGAAAACTGTTTTTTGTTGAAAACAAGATTTTAAAAATATGCAAATATTGTTACATGTTGCTTAAATATTGATTTTTGGTAAAATAATTACAAGTTTATATATAATATATATGCACACAATGTTTAGTGTTATAAATACAAAAATTTTATTGCTGAAAAATTTTTGTTTCATTTTTTTAAGAATAAAACAGTTTATTTTCATCTATTGTTGATTATTTTTTTTCTTCAATGACAGTAAAATTGATAAGTTGATTAATGCTTATAAAATATTTTAACATGTTTACTGCCACACATCAAAGGTATATATCTCCTGCAATGTTTCTAATTTTCTTTTATCTGTATCATGTTGTGGTATTGAGGAAAATAAATTTTAATAATACATAAGTAATCTTTATATAACTTATAATGGTAACTCTCATAAAAACCCTGGTGTCATTCTGTAAGACATTGGTTCTCAACATTTTTCCCCATGACCCCTTTTACCATATGTCAAAATGTCATTCCTCCATTTTTAAAATTATCTGCCTGAAAATGTGCATTCCAAATAATATGATATTGAAAATCCTTTATTTTATTCCATATTAATACATTTACCTTTACATAGATTTTTTTTTAACGGTGGAGTTTCCCCATATTTAATAGCAATTGAAAATGCTGATAACTGTTAAAACTTGAATAAAAGTTATTTTATATCGTTCGGCATCAGTCTGTCTTGGGAGACGATGGAGTAGCGAGGGTGCGCTATGAGCCTGGCCGGGATGTATGGAGAACTAGGGCTGTCCGGATGTCTAGTTCCCCCTCTCGGCTTTGCTAGCAGAGTCCAAAGGAGAGGATGAACCAATACAGTTTGGTACCAGCGTGGCTGCAAGAGTTGCCAGAAGGTAGCACAGAGTGATGTCCATCCGCCTTAGGGGCTCCACTCCGGATCTGTGTAGGGTTTACTCCTTAACCTTTTCTTCTCCCAAAGATTTCCATAAGGTAGTGGAGCTATTTAACCTATAGCTGGGGTTTGATTCATGGACACGAGGGCGAGTCCACACACCGGTGGGCCTTCATGCTGCATGTTAAGGGAGCCAAATTCCTCCCCCGTCCACAAGGTGCTCTGTTGCCACAAGGAGGCACTACATAGGGCTTGTTGATGGAGAGGCTATATACATATATATGTATATCTATATATATTTTTTTATATATAGATAATTATTTAATAGACCAAACTGAAGCATACTGCAATTAACAAAAAGTTAAAATGGGGAATTGTAATTTAATACACAAAAATAGAATACCAGTGTATTATAATTCAATAATTAAAAAGTTCAATAGAATGCTAGGCTATTGTAAATTTGTAATTCATTTTATTCAGATGAATATTGCAGTGAATGAGAAACCTGTGATTGTTTTTTCTTAGCCAATTCTGGAATATATGGAGGAGTGCTTGACAGGGTACATAGCAGGTCAACCTCCAATCTACTACATTGTTTCATTTTAATTTGCAACAAAATTGAAAAGTCTGACTCCCAAAGATATATTGGCACAAATGGAAGCCATGCACGGATTGCTCTTTCTGCCACTTTTGGGTAAGAACTGCACATCAAGGACCAAAAATTCTGTGATTGATTTCTCATTGAACATAGCTCTTGCTTACCAAGCAGTTTTCAGCTCTACAAATTCAATTTGGCAATCATCAGGAACTTTTTCAACTGACAATTTGAATAGATTTCACTCTAAATCCAACTCATATTTGTCAGATGCTGCAAAATTTTCATTTTTTGACAGCTCTGGAAGTATTTGGTCTTTACCAACAAAAAGAATGGATGACAGATTCTTAATCACTAACATTTTTTTATACAGTGTAACCCGGATATAAGAGAGTTGTCGGGACTGGAGAAGAGGTCTCTTATATCCAGGTTTGGTCTATTTTATATACATTAACACAGGCTCTAATTTGGGACCAGAGACAATCTCTCTTATATCCGGGTTTCTCTTATATCCCGGTTTGGTCTATTTTATATACATTAACACAGGCTCTAATTTGGGACCAGAGAAAATCTCTCTTATATCCGGGTTTCTCTTATATCTGGGTTTGGTCTATTTTATATACATTAACACAGGCTCTAATTTGGGACCAGAGACAATCTCTCTTATATCCGGGTTTGGTCTATTTTATATACATTAACACAGGCTCTAATTTGGGACCAGAGAAAATCTCTCTTATATCCGGGTTTCTCTTATATCCGGGTTTGGTCTATTTTGTTTAGGTAACACAGGCTCTAATTTGGGACCAGAGAAAATCTCTCTTATATCCGGGTTTCTCTTATATCCGGGTTACACTGTATATTCAATTTTCCAGCATGCTCGTGAAAGCTTTCAAGGTATCCACAAATTTTATGATATTCATATTCCTTCCTTGCATCTGAAGATTCAGTTTACTCAGCTGTTCAAAAATATCAACCAAATAGGCAGGCAAGGTGAATGATGTGTTTATCATCATCCAGCCAATCAAAAAATTCGATTTTGCCCTGAACTTCAAAAAATTGTTTGAGCCCATCTCTAAGCTCAAATTTTCACTCAGTTAAATTTCTTGTTAACAGCCATCAAACATTTGTGTGGAAAAGAAGCAAATGATGGCCTGTATTCAAGTTAATGCATAATGCTTGACAAGTTATGAGTTGAGAGCTCTTTCTTGGACAAAATTCACAATTTGAATTGTTTGATCCAAAGCTTTCCCCAGTGGTGCTGGAAATGTTTTTGAGCCCAGTGCCTGACGATGGATCATACAATGAATACCTTTCACTTTTGAAGCTTGTTTTTTCCCCACAAACTTGAAATCCTGATTTTGTCCCTAGCATAGCTGGTACTCCATCTGTACAGCACCCACATATATTATCCCACAAAAGGTTTTCCGATTCAAGGATAGATGAAACCTTTTGTAAAATATCAGAGGCCTTGGTAGTTGTTCCAAGAGAACAAAAGAGAATTTCTTCTTTAGATGAACCTGAGTGCACATACCTTGCAAACACCAACTAGGAATACGATGCCACATGGAATTGAATTGAAAATATGCCAAATGCTGCAGACTTCATGTGCACAACTTGTTCCTTGATGTCACTGATCCTTCTTTCAATTGTACTGTTTGATAGTGGAACCATTGCAGTTTTTTCTCCAACCCATTTCCCAACACAATTTCCACCATTTTGAGAGAGCTAAATTTAATTTGCCCTTTCTCAAAAGATACATTCTTCTAAAAAACTTTATACTGTAAGGAATAAATTATTTAAAATAGACATTTGAAAAACAGGGCATACAAGTTATTAGAGATTTTTTAAAAGATTATTTATAAAATTAAAGCAAGAAATACATTGCCTTTTATTAAGTATGTCTCAGGCTTTGATTAGGCTCAGACCTACTAGCCACATTAATTTTATTTCATTCTATTTTTACTTAATTACTTTCTTTGTTTTTTCTTTATTATGGACAATATCAATAAAATGTATTCTGGTCAATATTTTGAGGTATGGAGTTAAAAAATTAAAACAATTATGGGTCCAGTTGAAGTCAAGAATGAAAACGATGCACTACAAAAAAAATATACTTAAATATTGAATCACTCAGGCTAAGCCCGACCTCTGGAGTTGCCACTGAGATATATATATATATATATATATATATATATATATATATATATATATATATATATATATATATATATATAATAACAAAAAACACTGATGTAAGGGTTTAAATATCTAAGGAAGCAGTGAATGTGTGAATAAATTCAATTTACCAAAATAAAGCATACATAACATTATCATTAGAAATTGCTATAAAAACTGTGGGAGTAGTGTAACCCTTATCAGCATGAAAAACAATTGGCAAAGCCAGCTGAGTCTTTCACTCTAATACTCTATGTAAAAACATGAATTCATTTCTCCAGCCACCACCAGTACACTTTGAGCTGAATATCCAGATAGACAGGGGCTCTCAAGCATTGGATAGCAGTCACTCCAAGAGAACTACTACTCTGAATTCAAAACTGTGGTCAAGGAGAAGTAACTGGTTAACTACTCCACTAACTTTCAAAGCAATTCCCAGATAATAAAGAAAAGGAAGCTGTGGAGATTCATGATTGCTTGATTCCTGAAAGGAAAAGAAAACAATAATAAGTGAAATCTGTAGAGAAGGCAATGGGAAACCACTCTACTATCTTTCCTAAAAAATCATGGCAATTCCCAGACATTAAAACAAAGGAATCTGTGGAGAGCCATGATCGCATACATCCTGAAAGGAAAAAGACAACTCTGAAGTGAAATCTATAGAGAAGGCAATGGCAAACCACTCTACTATCTTTCCCAAAAAGTCATGGCAATTCCTAGATAATAAAGAAAAGGAATCTGGCAATGGCTGTGATTGCATACATCCTGAAGAGTGATAGCATTTATAAAAAAAAATCTTTAGCAATAACATATAGCCTTCTTTTCTCTGATGAAGTGTTATCATTATTTACATTTAGACCAATGTTCTTATTTTTGTTGTTTTCAAGTTATTTTGAACGTCATACAACCTGGATTTCCGTAGCTGTCTACCAATCCAGGTAAACTTTAAGAACTTTTCAACTGAGCTCTTTATCTAATCTACAGTGATATATTGTTCTCATTCTACTGTCCACATCCTTGGATATCTTACCTTAGTCCTGTTCACTTAATGCATACCTTGCTTCCACTGAATCCGAGTGTCTATAACCCAGTCCAGGGATTGAACTCATAATATCTATGTCACAAAATTCAAGCTTTAATCCACCAGGCTACCAGTTCCTGTAGATTAACTTAAAGACTAAGTTTGAAATTTCTTTAAGGTTACCTGGATTGACAGACACCTGAAAAATGTCAAAGGGCACAATGGTGAATGATAAAAACAAAGTTGGCATTATGTAAGGATGCAGATATATACGCTGTTAAATGATATTTCATAGCTTGAGCATCACTCCTTCATAGTGTTATACTCTGTTGCAATTAGCTCTCTTTCTGATTCATTCTGCATGCTGACAAAATGTGAATGCCATGAAAGCAGAAACTGATATAAAAAAAGTAGTTTTCTGCACATAGGATCCATGTATCACATCCAGTCTATGTGGCAAACTCCAGCAATGAAAGTGACTTTGGCCAATCACAAACATTCCTGCTGGAAAAAAGAGATGCCCGTGGGGACTATAAGACCTGGTTAAAAGTATGTCTCTGAGGATGATCAAGAATTTTCAGCCTGGCAGGTCACTGAATGTTATGCAGGGCACTGCTGCTGCTGCTACTGTCACCATGATAACCACAGTTGTGGCTCAGCAGGTCATTGGCTGACATGCAGAGTGCAGCTGCTGATGCTGCAATGACTATCACTGCCACTTCTCAACATGACCACTCCTATCACCAACCATTGCCACTCCCAGGTTTGACTAGCCATATCAGCTGTCCAGCTTCACTACAACAGCCTCTCAACTTAGTCACCTTGGCAAATAACAATGATGAAATTGACCCAACACCATCTCATCAATGTCAGAATCGTGACTTCTCCCGACTACTCAAGTCTTGCACACTTGTATCATCAGGGCTAGATTTGTAGCTTCACTAATGACTCCAGGACAACACCTCACCATAACCAGCATTGGCAAAGTCAGAATCTTGACTCCTCTTGACTCTTAATGCTTGCATTCTCTGTATCGCCAAAGTCAGATTTGTCGCTTCTCCCGATTACACATACTCGTACCTTTGTATCGTCATAGTCAGATTCGTAGCTTTGCTAACCCCTCCAGGACAATATATTGGCAACCCACCATCATCACCTCAGCATAACCAATATATACAAAGCATTCCCTTGCATGCATCACCGCAGCTCTGTTCCATAGAGCAGGCCTATCAACCAATGAGATCGACCCACCTTAGTGACCTCAATCAACCAATATGTACACTGACCATATCCTGTGACCTCAGCCAGATCATCACAAGAAATAGGTCAACTCCCGGCTTTTCTCTTAACCCTGATCACCATCCTGACAATACACCAGAAATGGACATTCCACCAATTTTGCAATATCTGTATGACACCGTATATACTAACAGTAAATGTTGTTCATGGTCTAATCCTCGTTATTCCTTTTGCAACCAAACATTTAATATAACCACTGGAGCCAGAAGCATGCAGTAATGGAAATGGATATAACAATAGTCTATGAACTTTTCAGCTCACCATTGTATATAGAGGATGTCAGAGGAAAATCTGATATTTTTTGAGGCAGATCCAGTTTGTTTCCTTGAATGTTTCCCAAGCTAGGATGAGTGTTTGGTTCATTGCTTTGAGCCAGACACAATGAATGTTGTGGAAACATTCATCCTCACCTGTTCCAAAGAAGGCCAAGATTGTTTCCTCTGCAGGGAAGGTGACAGCCCCAGCATTTTTGGGACGCAAAAGGCATTGTTTATTGACTATCTTCAAAAGGTCCACATCATCAATAGAGAGTACCATGCTAACTTGCTGAGGTGAATACAAAAGGTTATCAAGACCAAATGACCAGGACAACTAACAAATGGGATCTTCTTTCATCAGGACAATGCTCCAGCACACAAGTCCTTGGTTTCAATGCTGATATTTTTTGAGGCAGATCCAGCTTGTTTCCTTGAATGTTTCCTAACCTAGGATGAGTGTTTGGTTCATTGCTTTGAGCCAGAGACAATGCATGCTGTGGAACCATTCATCCTGAACTGTTCCAAAAAAGACCAAGGTTGTTTCCTCTGATGGCCTCAGTTTTTTGGGGATGCAAAAGGCATTGTGTTTATTGACTATCTTCAAAAGGGCCACACCATTGAGAGTATGATGCCAACTTGCTGAGGAAATTATGAAAGGTTATTAAGACCAAACACCCAGGAAAACTGACAAAAGGGGTCTTGTTTCATCAGGACAATGCCCCAGCACACAAGTCCTTGGTTTCAATTGCTGCTGTATGTGACAATGGCTTTGAACTGGTTCACCACCCTCCCTATTCTCCTGAATACATTAGAAAGAATAAATCAAACAAGAATGTTGTGTTTTTTTATCAACTATTTACTAAGGCCATATACTTTGTAGCCAAAGTTTTACAGGTAAAAGGTTGTCTCTTTGTTGAAGTTTTGGATGAAATATATCAAAATCAGCTTTCTGAAGTTTTTTCAAATATTGTTCACATAGCACCTGCAAAAAAAAAAAGTTATAAGAAATATAGTAAAAATAAAAAATTATTTCAGTGTATCAAAAGTATTTTCATATTTTACAGAGAAGACTTTATTATTTGTTATATTTATTAATATAGTATTAATATCGTAAACAATTTCTGTGTCTTTTCTATAAATACTTTCAACATAATTGTTTGGATGAGCACTTTTAAGCGCAGTACTAAACTGGCATCAAGATCTCATCAATTTACAATTGATCTGGCTAGATGTAGCCATAAGTTCTATGCTAACAGTTTCTTTTTTTTGCACTTCTTGTTTGTGGAACTCTCTTCTAGCTCCATGCTCTCCAGCCAACTTTAATCTGCATAAATTTAAATGCAACATTAATTGCTATCTACTATCCTCCTGATTACTCTTTTCTCCTTCCGCTAATTCATTAATGCTTCTGTTCCTAATTCTTCCACACTCTGTAACCCATTGTTTCTTAGTGGCTTTATTGCCTTGTATAGGGTGATACTGATTAAAAAAAATTGTATTTAGATTTATTTTTTTGTATCAGCTATGATAATGGGGGATATAAATTATTTACATTATTTACAAGTGGGTGATCTATGGCTCTACAATTGTATTGATATCCATCATGATCAATATTATTATACTTTTTTGTATCAGATGTGATAATGGAGAATATAAATATTGTAAATGAGATACTAGTAGTATTAAGGCATTATTCTAAACGGGGCCTCAAAGTCACTGAAGATTCTCAAGGGATTCAAGAATTGAAAAAAAATGAAACAATATCTAACAGCTTCTATCTGAATTCCTGGATTGAAGCATTATCATTATTTACATAGTTTACAGCCAGACTAATATCCTCGTCTTTTGTGTTACTATTACAATGTTTCATATGTTGTTCACTCCTGACCATTTTCAAATGTATGTTGATCTGGATAACCTTTAAAAAATTTTGAATCTACAGTTGTAGATTGTTCTTATTCTGCTGTCAATATCTAGGAATATCTTGTCTTCATATATTTTTTTTAATACTGCTCAGTTATTGCACACTTTATGTCCATCCAGTGTGGGTTTGTAATACCAAGCCCAAGGATTGAACTCATAAATACTAGAGGACTGAAGCATATGGTCAATGGAACAAGAACAATCTACCTCTGTAGATTTAATAAAGGGTTCAGTTTGAAATTCCTTGAATGTTATCCAGATCAACAAACACCTGAAGAAAGCTGAAAGATACAATGGCTGAAACATTGTGATAATAACAAAAAATATAAGGAAATAAGTCTGACTGTAACTAGTTTAAATATCTTATTGTACTGCCCAAAATTGGTTAAAGATTTTAAGATTGGTTACATGCCCTTAGAAATAAAGCCCCAAAGTGAATTATGTTACTCTAAAATGCATAAAAAGGAGGAACTGACCATCAGCAAAAAAAAAAAAAAAAAACCAATAAATTGCCGAAGAGCAAGAGTTAATGAAAGCCACCATATGTAGAGCATTACATAAGCTTCATGAAATTAGATTTGGAATCAAAGTCTGTAAACCTTCAGAAGTGCTAGGATCATCAAAAGATATCAGATATAGAGCATTGTATAAGCTTCATGAAATTAGTTTTGTATTCAATGTCTGTAAATTTTTAAAAGTGCTTGGATCACCAAAACATACCATATATACAATATTGCACAAGTTTCATGAAATTAGATTTGGAATGAAGGTCTGTAAACTTTTAGAAGAGCCAGGATTCTCAAACAATACCATATGTAAAGCATTATATAAGTTTTATGAAATTAGCTTTGAAGAGCTAGGATCATCAAAAGATACCATATGTTGAGCATTACATAAGCTTCATGAAATTAGATTTGGAGTCATCATCTGAATACAGCATAGGCTAACTAGAATTATGATACACTTACACACATAAATTATACACATGAACACTGCTTGACTAGTCAATTGTATGAACTGGACATTTGAGAAATCTTATTGAAGAAACCGTGACCTTAGGCAGGATTTGAACCCATGTCCTCTTTAGCAGGAGAAAAAGGAGAATGCCAGAGGGTGCATTTTCTTTAATAAGATTTCCCAAATTTTCAGGCCGGTAGACAAAATATTGTGTAAAGAAAAAAAACACAGCACATCTACTCAAATATGGGTATCGACTAAAAATAACATTTAAATAAATAAAAATATGTCAATAAATAAAAAAATCCATTAATTCTTTAGAAATACATACATATATATATATATATATATATATATATATAACTGTTGTAGCATACCTATGGACAATAATGGGTATATCCCCATTCACATAAATACAGTAGTAAATACTGTATGCTGGCCTTCTGCTGATGAATCTTATATGTGTTTTTCATGTCTTAAGTATTATTGTTCATTACCAACCTTTGTTTGATTATTCTGTAACCTTCCTTAGGTTACAACAATAACATAAATATATGCTGGTCAATGGAGCATTATGTGTAGGAAGGTCTATTGGGGGAGGCAGTAACAGCCTTATATATATATATATATATACACACAAATTACATCCATTCTTCAGGAGACTTTATTGTAAAATTGAATTTATTTTCAGAAATCAGAAAAAATATAAAAGACAAGATAAGTGAATATACTGCATATACTTGCGTAGCATGTGACCTTGTGAAGACCTAATTTTGAAGCTAATTTGACTACAGGAAATGGATATATAATTTGGTCAACGGCATCGCCAGGGCCAGCATTACATATACAAATTTTATATCTCATATATGATGTGACCCACTTAAAATTAACTTTAAAATTAGGTCTTCAAATGTTGTATTATACACGAGTATATACAGTATATCAAAAAGGAAAAAAATTCAGAAAAACTTACCAAACTATTCAAAACAGGTTGCATTTCTTTTGTTACAGGGGATTTTAAATTCTTCACCTGAAAGAAAATATGCTTTATTAATAGACATTTACAGAAATTAATGGCAATGATAATCTCTTCTTATCAAATGTAAATTTCTCTATATTTGGGCAATTGAAAAGCAGCTGGTGTAATGGTTAATAGCATGAAAAATGGAATCAAAGAACCAGGTTCTAATTTTGGGTGGGACAGATTATATTCACTTTGGAGTAATGCATTTGTGAAAGGTATGAATTTACTTCTCCCTGTAAGGATGCCTAAAAGGCAGTAAGGCAACTAAAGTCCTTTAACTTTGTAAGAAAGTTCATCTTCAGCAAAAGGCTAGCAGGCTAACAGCCTGGCCCTGTAAAAATTCACTTGTTACTGAAGGAGTCTCATTGTTTCACAAGGCATATCATCGCTTCATAAAGAGTTCACAAGGAGTCTCGTCATTGTGCTGAGCAAGTAATTTATTTTGTTAGTTGTTAGTATTTTTAGATGATCACATATGAGACTGATCCCTCATTTTATGTCCAGTATCGAATTCTTCCATTACTACAAGTTAATTAAAGTCATCAAAGATGATGGTGTGTTTTCTGATGTCATTGCTATTAGATTAGATTTGATTAGTCAGACTGGGTTCTGTAGCCTTGGATGACAACTGGTCTACCACAAAAAAAATTGGCAACCTATTGCGGGAAAAATCTGCCTCATCAGTTATGTATCGAAAGATACATGATTGCCTAAGTGTGTATCATGTATGGCACATAACTGACTGATTTGATTAGGCTAGCTGATTTAATGACATCAACCATTATTAGGTTAGTTATTTAATGTTGAATGCTACATGTGGCAACTAGTGAGGATCAAACCCACTACTCAGTAGTAATGGTCTGCCATTATAGACTTGTTAACCATTACCCTACACCAAAGTGCCTCATTGCTATTAGATTTCTTCATATAGATCTGCCAGGAATGGTGAAATGTTGTAAGATCCTGGGTGCAAATTTACTATAAATGACCTTGGGATTAAGGCAATGTTCTTGATATATAAAAATTTATATATTATTATCTTATATATATATGTGAAAAGTGTGTGTATATAAATATAAATAAATGTATTATTTATATATTATATGCGCAGTACTTATTAGAAAGCGCTCAATATCAGAGATAGAGCTAAAATTATATATATATAACTAGAATTAATCAGCACGTACCTTCCAAAATACGACTTGGTAAAATAGATAGAATATGCTATCTTCCCCCATGAATATGGAATCGGCTATTGCTCAACATTTAGTTGAGAATATAGCTTGTGCCAAGTTGTATAAAAAAAGAGTGGTTTAGAATTATTCATACAGCCGATTCCAATAATCATTTGAAGATTTTGGAATCGGTCTGTATAGGATTAAAAACCTTCTCTCTGCCGGCAGAAAGAATTTATAAGGTCTCTGAATCTGTTGGGGATATTTTATTTTAACTGTCCTCGCTAATTTATTTACACGATCCCTTCCCTCGTTACAAGTATATATACTTGTTCGTTATTTTAGTGTGTTTCCCCTCTTTTTGCTCTTCAATATCGTTATTATTTCGCTAATCCAACGATTGTCTCCTGATGAGATGTTGGCTGAAAGGGCCCTAGAGACTTTTAAAATTAAAATCAATGGTTTCCTTGTTTTAAAAATATATATATATATATATATATATATATATATAAAAAAAGGACAATAGGAAAACTGTAGTTTTAGCGATGCATTTCATCCAGTGTGAACTTTTTCAAGGCAAAAACAAAAATTAATTTATTGAAACAAAGTATCTATAAACAACAAACCAAAAGTCGAATCAATATTTTTGGCTATCATGAAAACATTGGCTCTTGAAGCCTGCAAGTGAATTGAAGGGATTATTGCAGATGTTAAAAACTAGGTTATTTTGTACAGAGCCTGGACTGTTTTGTAAAGTCTTGTCATCTCAACTTGCTTGTGAGTTTTCATGTGACAGGTTTCTGTGGGTTTCTAACACACCATTCATGTTAAGTCAAAACACATATACATATACACATGTATATCCACACACACACATATATATGTGCATGCACACAAATACATATATACACACGCACACATATATATGTGCACATATATACACCCACACATATATATGTGATACTACGGACACCCATGTAGAAAAGGAACATGTGGTTTTATTGTGATCTCAAGTGTTTCTGTTTTATAGCCAGTTGGTAGTTCTTTTTGAAGTCTAGTATTTTAAGTGGCATCCATTTTCTCTGAATGGGGAAGTAAATGAGGGGTTTTTTTTTGGAGACCAAGTGACAACAAACTGGATATAAATTATTTTTGGGTGCTGATCTATTAACAGACATATTTGGGAGTCAGTTCTGGTTTTTCCTTGGCAGGAGATGGACTTGTCTGTTGCATGGTTTTGATATCACCCATTCATATTACCAGCCACATGTCTGGATGTGTAGATTAGTGAGGTGTTGGTAGGGGAAAGACCTGATCTATGAGATCAACATAGAAGTTGTCCCAAGTGTCACTTACCTACCCAAGCAACCCTGAAATAATATGGGTAACTATTTGTGTTTTTATTTCTTGATGTGGCATTTATCTTTCATTTTATTGTCTTGTGAGCATGCAGCAGACCTTTTCTGAGTTTTTGGTACACATTGACAAGATTGAGAAATGAAATGCAATGTAGGCTAACCATGGGTCAGTAGGTTGATGGAAAGCTTGGGTGAGAGTTGCATGTTTACATATATACACACATGTTTATGTGCAAGCAGTAGTCCTGGGTATGATGTTAATATACATCTGGCAGCAAGGCCTCTGATCAGTGGGGTTGGGGCTTTTGAGGAGCATGGAACCACCTCTTAATTGCTGGTGTTCCCAGGTCCACACTGACCCAGGGTGGTAGCACCTGTTAAGATACTAGCTATGAGCAAATAGTTAACCCCAAACAAAATTAAAATGCTATGAAAGTATGAAAAATACATTTATATAATAAAAATACAAGCAATATATTTTTATATAAAAATATTACCAATAATACATATTTTATAGTAAAATGATCAACAATACATTTTATCTGTAGTTGAAGGCATACAATTGCGTTCAAAATATATTTAGTTGAAGCTATAAAATTCTATTCAAAATATTTAGATTTCGGAATTAAATAATCCATGATATGTCTTTAAAAAAAACAAAAAAACATGAAAGAACTCTTTCATGACATTAATCTGTATAATATCCAACTATTTCTTAAATCAAACTGTATTCCAAAATATAACTTCAACAAAACTGCAACATAAAACACACATACTATTGCTTCTAGTAATTATATCCACACAAACATGTCTATGCACAAAAGCTGAGTATCATCTACCATGTACTTATTTTATTACTTCAAAGCTCCCCCCAAAATTAAATTTCAGCATTAAATGACTCATAAGGAGTTGATGTGCTGTTAAACAAATCAATCAATCAACGTACACGCACGCACACACACAATGATAAATTAAGTACATTTATGAATTTGGATTTATATTTACCGTATTTAAATGCTGATGAGCAGCGGATGCAATTTCAAAAATGACATCTTTAACTGCTTGATGACTCTTTCTACGAAAGAAATATTCCTGAGGTACACGATGCTGTAAAGAAATAATGTCAAATGGTTTAATATTTCTTTCTGGACATGCAGAAAATTATTTAGAAAATAATAATTATTATTATTTAAAATTGTTCAAAATTACTTAAAAATAATTATTTAGAAATTTATTTAGAGCCTTAAAAAATAAAACTAGATTGTAATCATACTCAAAATAACTTTACTTTTTCAAAGTATCATTGTTGTTAGTTTGTTAATTCTGTAATGACAATATTATATTGAATTGTTTTGGGCTCCTAGGCGGCTCTATAGATGGATCCTGGAGATATGCATTTCAGTAGAAATAGGGGATATCGAACATCCATAAATGTTGACAGGTGCTGCCACTGTTTTGCGGCATTTCTCTTGTGCTTCCTGTAAATGTTAACAATGGCTCATCCAAGGGCCTTACCAGTAATCCAAGTGACTGCACACCATTTTATCCTGTTGTTGGTTGTGTGGGATTACCTCCAATTGGTTTTCCAAGACACAGTTAGGTGACACAATTAAACAATTATAAAGATGGGATGCTTCCTTTTTCTTCCTTCTTCCCTTTCAGCATGAAGTAATAGCAACACCAACATGGAATTTGTTCTCAGCTTGGAGATATCTTTCTCTAGGTGACTGAACTCTTTCACATACAATTTCTAATAGCTAGATTTTAATGCCTTCTTTCTTTTCATTTATTTTACAAGCATACAAGTATATTCTATTTCTTGCTAATCATTTATTAGCCATATATAAAACACGTGAAAATATTGCCTTGTTGAAATTTATTCTATTTCCTTTCATCTCTTGCTCAAACAGTCATCTAGATGTGTAAATTTTGTTTGCCACTGCTTTTAGTCCAACTTGGAGCAGATCCGTATCAGAATGAAGCTTCTTGGTTTTTCTGTGTGGACATCATTGAACTGCAGATTGACATCCTTGCAGTGTGTGCTTGGGCATCATGGAATATGCCTACCCAAGCAAGAAAGTTCCAGATGGACTGGGTGGATGAAATCAAATGGTCAAAAAGTAAAACTCTAAAGTGAACTCAGTTTGTGATCAGTCACCAAAGACATAATGGGTGTCCATTGCAGTAAAGGAAGTCTCCAGCTGTAATAACTCTTTATACCACTGGACACTGACACCTCAGAAGGCCAAGAGAGTGGAATTTTCCCAGTATAATGACTACTACTTAAACAGTTGACAATATAGATTTCATGCTGAACTTTTTAAATAATTACCAAATAACTACATCAAATAAAAAAATTTATTATTTACACTACTTACAGGTGTTCTATTGTCCTCATCTTCGTTGTTCTCACAATGTTTCGTCCACTGTGCTCTCCAGCTTTCATCAGGTATATCTCAATCCAGGTAACTTACAGGGAATTTTGAACTGAACCCTTTATTTAATCTATGGAGGTAGATTGTTCATGTTCCACTGCCCATGTCTAGGAATATCTCCTTAGTTCTTATTTTTACTACTGCTCAGTTATTGCTTGTCCTTTTCCACTGAGTCCAAGTACACTAATCAACCTGGAGATTGTACTTGGGCGCAGGTTTGAAAAGGTTTAGTTTGAAATTCCCTGTAGGTTACATTGTCAGGCCATATAAAAAATTTTATATTTACATACACTCTACCCTAATTCCTTGATATTAAGCACTTTAACCCATAAATATAGCATACCTTAAAACTATATTTTATCATACATACACACACACATATATATATACATATATGATACAACAAAATCCCAAATTACTTCATATAGGATAGGGGGTATAGATCTATTTCTATTACCATAAGTACATCAGTCTTATTCACCCCCCCCCCATGTAAAGTCTTTACACTGGGGGTTAAATAAGACTGATGTAGTTATGGTTGTCAGCTGAAATAGATCTATACCCCCCACACCATATGAATTAATTTTGAATTTTGTTATATCATCTATATGCTCTGTTATAAAAAATACATTGAGCTCTTTTTGTGGATGTGTTTTAATATTTGATATTACTAGGATCCACTTGGATTATATACCAATGGATTTATTACCTGTACCATATATATATAATTTAATGAAAAACAGACCACTTTAAGGTACCATTACAATAATTTATTTCACCAAAATCCTTTTTAAAGGATTTCGGATCATCAGGTAACACTTCCAACAATGAAATGAGAGGAAAAATGTGATTAGAAATTGATGGGTAATGTAATTTTTGTAATTAAACAGGGAGGGTGCTCTGTTCTTCACATTGAGCTCTCAGGATTTCATCCTCCTTGGATTTACCAATGTGGTTTACCAAGCTCTTCATAACTTAAATATATATATATATATATATATATATATATATATAAAGTTGCGTGTATATAAATAAAATAAATATATATATATATATATATATATATATATATATATATATATATATATATAATTATTTATATATATTATATAAGCTGTACTGATTAGAAAGCACTCAATATCAGAGATAGAACTAACATATTTGGTTGGATTGATGTTTGAGTTTGTGACCCTGGGTTTCACGCTTTTGCGATCGTCAGATGATTCAAAAAGCGTGAAACCCAGGATCACAAACTCACATCAATCCAACTCAAATATATATATATATATATATATATATATATATATATATATATATATATATATTTACTGTAGTGAGATGCAAATTAGTATAATTTGCATATGAGCAGGTAGCTCCTATGATAAACGGACACCAACTAGAACAGAGGTCAACGCTTACTTAGCAATATACACGACACAACAATGGCGTCGCCGATAGGATACTCTTTGGTCCTTGAAGACCCAGAGTATGTAGATATGTGGATTCGTTGCTTTGCTGCTAATGCAAGATGTAAAAAGTTGAAAGACAACAAAAAACAGAGGAGGGAAAATGAAATCACCGACTTGTTTATGGCTACCGCTGGTTGTGAAGCGATTATGAAGGTTGCTACAATGGTTTACTCTCGAGAACTAGAAGAAATGACTTTCAAGAAATAAGTCAGGTTATTAAAGGAAACATGAGGCCAAAGAAAAGACTGGTGATTGCAGAAAGGACCAAGTTTATGGCAATGAAGCAGGAAGTGGATGAACCGATAGTAAAATATTTACACCGGTTAAGAAGTGCGAAAATACTGTGAATTCGAAAAACTAGGAACAGGAGAGCAGACAACGGAAGAAGAATTAATCCAACTAAGATTAATTGAAGGTATGCATAATTCAGCACATAGATATAAGTTAATGGAACAGTTACAACTTACAAACATGCCTTTGAATATGTGTATAGAATTTATACAACAGCAGGAATTAATACATACCTACAACCAAAATAAAAATAAATCCTACGAAGAAATAATGGCTGAAACATATACAGTACAAACAAAAAGAAAAAATTGTGCGTACTGTGGAAAAATTCATGAAATGAAAAAAGGAAAATGCCCAGCCTTTGGAAAAACGTGTTCAAAGTGTTTAAAAAAAAATCACTTCAAAGAAGTATGTAAAACGAAAAATGTGGAAAGAGTAGAGGATGAAAATAGACAGATTTTTAATGTAAAAAAGGATAATATACAAAATACTGGATCTAAGAACGGAGATACAAAAATAAAAGTGAAAATCAACGACTGTATTGTCGAAATGCAAATTGACACAGGTAGTGAGGTCACAATAGTACCCAGAAATTTGTGGGAAAAAATGGGAAAACCAATTTTAAAAAAAAACAATGTACAATTACGTCAGTTTGATGGCTCGATTATAGCAATTATGGGTTACTTTGAAGGTTCAATAGAACTAAAAGAAAAATATGAAATAGTACCCATTATAGTTACAAATTACCGAAAAACGCATGGACTCCTAACCCTAACCCTTGTAGAAATAGAAAAAACAGGAAAATTAAAAAATTATGAAGCTAGCCTGAAATTAAAAGAAAATGTTTCCCCCTCCTACTACAAAGCGAGAAAAATACCAGTGCATTTATTACCGTTGGTAATAGCTAAATTACAAAAGCTAATAAAGGAAGACTTATTAGAACCTGCCCCTCCAGGAGGAAGTAAATGGGCATCACCCATTGTGGTATTGAAAAAAAAAAAGATGGTGACCTGAGAATTTGTGGAGATTCTAGGGGTGAACCATAAAGTTTAAAGCTGACTCGTACCCTATTCCGAATGTGGAAGTAGCTTTACATAAACTTGCTGGAATGAAAGTATTTTCGAAGATAGACCTAAAATCAGCTTACCACCAAATACCGATAAATGAAAATTTTAAAGAAGTGACGACCATAAACACACCTATAGGCCTGTTAAGGTGGAAAAGAATGCCGTATGGCATAAAAACAGCAAGTGCAATTTTTCAAAAAGCTATTGAAAAAGTAATAGGAAATGTTGAAAATACCATCTGTTATCAAGACGATATATGTGTTGGAGATTTAAATGAAGATGATTTAAAGAAAAAAACTGAAAATATACTGAACCGGCTAAGAGACGCTGGTATGACAATAAATACAAAAAATTGTGTAACCAACAGTAATGAAATATCATTTTTGGGTTACTCAATATCAAAGGAAGGATCTCTCCAGATGAAGTACTAATAGAAAAATTCTAAAAAGTTGCTACACCGAAAAATAAAAAAAAGAGTTGGAGTCCTTAGGTTTGGTAAATTTTTATAGAAAGTATGTACCAAAAATATAATGAGTTGACAGAACCATTTGCTAAGTTAAGAAAAAAAATGTGGAATTCATTTGGTTAGAACACCAACAGAAAGCCTTTGAAAACTTAAAACAGATTCTGGCAAAAAAAAGCCAAGAGTACAAATTTTTGACCCTAAGAAGGACATAACTCTAACTACTGATGCTAGTGAGCAGTCCATATCTGGTATTTTGTCACAAGATGGGCATCTCATAATGTACTCATCGAGGAGATTAACAACAACTGAACACAATTATTCGAATATAGAAAGGGAGGCACTAGCCATAGTGTGGACAACGGATGAAACAAGACAGTTTTTGATGGGAAAAAAATTCTTGTTGAAAAGTGATCACAGACCACTGGAATTTATTTTCAACCCAAGAAAAGAGTTACCGAAAGTTACAACGTCCAGAATATTACGTTGGGCGATTAGACTGATGGTGTTCGACTTTGACATTGAATATGTTAAAGGGAATACGATACCGCACGTTGATGCCTTATCCAGATTGAGGTTTTATAGAGAGGAGAAGGACAAAAACGACGAGGAATTTGAAGACACATTCTTGCACCTTGTAGAAACCAATGTAATATCTGTAGATAAAATGGCTACTGAAACTACAAATGACCCAGTGTTAAATAGAATAATGTCGAGGATAAAACAGAATCACTGGGGAAATTGTTCAATGGCTGAAAGACCATTCAAAGAAATCAGACATAAAATGACTATAGAAAATGGGATAATATGTAGTGGAGACTTGGTAGTTCCCGCAGAAACACAGAGGAGACAGGTTATAAAAAGTGTACACGATGACATACATTATGGAGTGGCAACTACGCAAAGAAGATTAAAATTGGAAGCGTGGTGGCCGGGGTACTCAAGAGACGTAGAAGACTACGTAAAAAGATGCAAAAAATGCACAGAACTCAGGAATTTTAAGCAAAAGAAAATACATGTATGGCCCCAAGAAGTAGAACCATGGAGCAGAGTACACATGGACCATGCCTATGTCAATGGGATAGGACTATTATTAATATTAGTAGACACATATTTAGGTTGGCCTGAAGTGGTGAGAGTACCTGATAAAAAAAGTACCACTGTAAAACAAATATTAAGAGTAATATTTTCGAGGAATGGGACACCAAGAACATTGGTGACTGATAACGCACCAGAATTTGTGGATGCTGATTTGCATGAATGGCTAAGAAAAATAGGATGCAGACCTTACAAGACTCCTCCCTACCACCCTCAAAGTAATGGGATAGCGGAAAGGATGGTCCAGACGGTAAAGAAGAGCATAAAAGCATGCTTGCAACAGAAGGAGGAAATCGATGCTTTTCTACCAAGACTATTATTAAGTTACAGAACAATTCCACATGCAGGCAGGCCGGAAAGTTCATCTGCCTTAATGGGCAGACAATTAAGGTCCCCTTTGACTATGTCATATGCCACAAATCAAAAGATGTGGTACAAAAGAAATAGGAATATGCAACCCGAGTCAGCCGAATTTATTATGCAGAAAGGACATAATACTGCAATATTAAATAAAGAAAATGGGAACAGTGTTCTAGCTCATGCTGACCAAATAAGATCCCAAGGAGAAGAATCGGATGAGGAAATGCCTTCAGAGATGCCCATTATTGACGTAACAGAAGAGTTAATGCAGAATGAAACTGCGGAGGAAGAAGTAGAGAGGGATGAGTTAGAAGAGGAAGACCAGAGTATGCAAGAGGAACAGTCCGATTATAGGGAAAGACGTGATAGATCTAGATCTCCAAGGGAAAGGAGAGAGATAAAGGAAAATGTTCAGGAGGGCACAAGAAGAAGTACGATAAGTACTCACGGCATAAGGCCCCTCCGTTATAGGGAGATGTAGTGAGATGCAAATTAGTATAATTTGCATATGAGCAGGTAGCTCATATGATAAACGGACACCAACTAGAACAGAGGTCAAACGCTTACTTAGCAATATACACGACACAACACTTACAAAAAAAAATTTCTCTATGTCCTGTCATCAATATTTTTTAAGCATCAATTACTGAACAATCTCTAATGGGATTAAGTCCGAAGCAGCAGTTGCTTTTGTGAATTATTAATTTATTATTACCCTTAAAACTAGATTGTAATCATACTCAAAATAACTTTACTTTTTCAAAGTATCATTGTTAGTTTGTTAATTCTGTAATGACAATATTATATTGAATTGTTTTTGGGCTCCTAGGCGGCTCTATAGATGGATCCTGGAGATATGCGTTTCAGTAGAAATAGGGGATATGGAACATCCATAAATGTTGACAGGTGCTGCCACTGTTTTGGCATTATTAATTTATTATTACCCTTATAAGGATGTATATTGATATTTCATTTTGATATCTGTCGACAAACTACATACTTCCCGGTTTGGAGTTCCTTGCCTGACTGAAATTCTTCTCCTGAGAGCTAAGTGCCACAATTAGTGTTAAAATAATACTTACCTTGATAAGGACATCTAAAGGAAGGTATAACTTATGTTTTGTGCAGGTATATGGAGTGGCTCTTAGCTGAGTTACAATCCCTTGAGCTTTCCCCAGATGACTCAATATATGATCAGCTTGTACATTTTTTACACCTAGAAATATTTAAAAAAAAAAAAAAAAAATGAGTAGCCTGTATGAAATTACATGTAGCATGGAAAGAGAATAAAAATTATCTTCCTAAAATTGCTCTCTCCCTTCAGGTGATCATTACTTTGCACAGCACCCTTTTTCTCTTTTAACTGGCATATCCCTTAAGGATTTAGGTAATCCTAAAGTAATCATAATTCTTTACCACTTTTTAATATGTGCCAACCTACCAAAATTCAAAACTTTCGGCTAAATGGAAGAATTCTCACCACATAGATTCATGAAGGCGGGTTGAATTTTTTTACCCTCATCTTTTACTTCATTCTTTAATATAATTTTTATGTGTGTGTGTATATATATATATATATATATATATATATAGTGTGTATATATATATATATATATATATATATATATATATATATATATATATATATATATATATATATATATATATATATGTGTATATATATATATGTGTGTGTGCATTTTGGCAGCAAGAATTCTCCCAAACATGTTTTAATATGGACAAGTTTTGTCTCTCAATTTTTTATAAAATCTTTCAAATTGAATTAAAAAGCCAAAAAGGGTTGAATTTTTTTTTTACCTCATCTTTTACTTCATTCTTTAATATAATTTTTTGTGTGTGTGTATATATATATATATATATATATATAGTGTGTGTATGTATATATATATATATATATATATATATATATATATATATATATATAGTGTGTGTGTGTATATATGTGTGTGTGTGCATTTTGGCAGCAAGAATTCTCCCAAACATGTTTTAATATGGACAAGTTTTGTCTCTCAATTTTTTTATAAAATCTTTCAAATTGAATTAAAAGCCAACTTTGTAAACATACACACAGAATGATCCCCGAAAGAGAATGTAGGAACATTTGAAAGTACTTGTGGGAATAATCTCTATCTATAAAAAGCAGGATGTGTGTGTGTGTGTGTGTGTGTGTGTGTGTAACGAATGCATGGCCGCAATTTTCGACGGATTTGCACCAAAATTTACATGCACATGCTCCAAGTTAGTAGGAAGGCCAAGACCAACTTTGCATTTCCCAACTTCCATTGACAGTGAAAATAATCGATTTTTTCATGCTTCTATGGCAGTTTTCATGTAGTTTGTGGCCAGTTACGAGTCCTTTTTTAAAGCTGATCGTTTTGTGTTCATTTTGTTTAGTTCTTTTTTCGTAACAGATTTAATGTTAGTATAGAGCTTAGAAAAAATTCGCAGTGTGAGATAGGCAAGAAGTAAGGCATGTAGCAACATCAGCATGGCAAAGGGCATTCATTTAAAGGCAAGGAAGGGCAAAAATATTTTAAGTCAAGTGATAGTGATTGCTGTATGAGTCGTACGATTTTTGAATCAAGCACGGGCAACACCGGGCCATGCTGCTAGTATAAAATAAAAGCTAATACAAATTTTGGCAACTTTACTGATAATACAAAACAACTTATTTGGAGACTTGAAAGATTTAATAAAAAAAATTGAGAGACAGAACATATTATTTAATAAAACATATCATCGTCAGCTTTATCTTGTATCCAAGAATTTCTTCTTTGCTGATTGCTTCTTTTATGATGATGGCATCAATGACTAAATACCCTACCAATGTGCAGGTTTAGGACTAGAAGTTTCCAGTTTCACTAAAACTCTGTCATCCATTACCTATTGCTGTTTGGCTTTACAAGAGTTGGAGGTGAAACAAAATCAGAGTAGAAGAAAGTGCCAATGGTGTGAATTTGTTTAAAGTGGACCACAACTTGCCAGGAAGTGACCCACATACTTGACTTCATGACCTTCCTCTGCGGCAAATATGGAATGAGATATGCAGAATCCAGTTATGAAACTGCAGTGGACTGCTGATGCCTGTTATAATTTTAAGTGGCACCTTCTGTAGCATGTCTGTCATGCGTAGCCCTCGTCATCCGTTGGTTCAACTGTTGAGATCCAAAACATATTTTATTTGTTTAATTTTTCTTTTATTAATTCATTATTGTTGTTAATTTTATATACTTGCTGCCATTAAAACATTTTAATATTTTCAATTGTTTATTATGAAATAATGCAAAATAAATTAGAATAAATTTCACTTACCTGAACTTTCCAAAAGTAAGTAATTAAGGCTAGACACTGTTTTTTCGGCATAATCTTCCAAATGACTTATGCTTGTAAATGGTGCATCTGTCAGGTGGGTTTTCTTTTGAAGAAAAAAAAATTATAAAAGATATGAATAAAACAAAGTAAAATAATTCCATATTAAAGAATTTACTTACAAGAAGAAACTATCAGTAACACCTGTCTTAATTCCTGATCACAGAAAATTAGTTGGTTTTGTTTAGTTGCATACCAACCTTTACATAATGCTGAAATCTAAATATTTTGTATGCAATTTTATTTTACTTTCAGAGATAATAATGGTTTAGTGATTACAAGTCTTACTAAATAACCCATAGCTGGAGGGAGAAGAAGTGGATTTATACCTTTCCCAAGGGTATATGCATGTAAGTGAATATAAAGAACCCAGCTGGAATTGGAACTCGGCACTCCAATTAACAATTCAAAGCCATTATCCATTACACCATCTGCACATCCAAGCTTACAGCACCTGGTATTCCCAAGCAGTCATCCATCTAGGTACTGACTAGGCTCAATGTTGCTTAACTTTGCTGATTATACAGGAACTGGTGTTTCAATGTGACATGGTCATAAGCTTGACTATAGAGAATTTTGTGCTTATTTTATAATATGTTTCTTTATTAAAACTATTTTCAATGGTTTTTAGTAAAACCACTAATAATGCATTTACCTTATACATATAATAGTCTTACTCTGTTAGTAATGAATACATAGTTGTTAGCAAAAGGGGCAGGGCAACTTGTAAATTACAAATTGGAGATACCAAGATCAAGCAAGTACAACAATTTAAATATCTGGGAAGTGTTTTAACAGAGGACAGAAAGTGTGACACTGATATCCGAAGGTACATTGGGATAGCAAAAGATGCCTTCCAAAAGCTATGCAAAGTATCAAAGAACAGAAATATTTTGTTAGAAACAAAGAAAAGAGTACTGAGTAGTTATTTAATATCAATCTTATATGGCAGGGTTAGGATTAGTTCCACCAGTTCTAACCTTCACAGCTAAGACCTTCCATGCCATATCCATTGTAGTGAGCCATCCATGTTCCATTCATTGGTGAGATGTAAATTCCACTTGAACATCTTCTTCCCATGAACTGTTACTTTGTGGAACCAACTCCCAAGAGAATGTTTTCCCCAATCACTACAATCTTAACCTGCTCAAATCTATGGTTCACTGGTATCTTCCCCCCATATCTTCATAGTCTGTGTCTCTTACTCTATAACCTAAGTCAAGTGGCTCTTGGTTGCATAGGGTGAACATTAAACATTATGTAAAAAAAAAAAAAAAAAAAAAAAAAAAAAAAAAAAAATTAATCTTCTTTTGAAGATAACTGTCACAGCATCAAAGAATTGAATCAAGTGCTTGTCGATCCAGGTAACATTCAGAGAATTTTGGGCTGAACTCTTTACAAAGGTAGATTCTTCTTGTTCCGCTAACCATATCAAGGGATATCTTGTTTAGTTCTTAGTATTAATCAGTTATTACTTAGATTGTTTCCACTGTATTCAAGTAGGCACTCATTTCACCACAAGCAAGGCAATAAAGCCACTAGGGTGCAAGAGGTTACTGAGTATTAGAGAATATGAGAAAAACTACTATTTAGGAGAGTGGACAATAAAAGAACAAGAATGAAGAAAAACAGAAGATAATGACTGACATTGCATTTAAATTTTTGAAGATCAAACTTGACTGGGAAGCATGAATCTGGAAGAGAGTTCCATATGCGAGTAGTCTGATAGAAGAAACTATTAGCATAGAACTTACGGTTACGTCTTTGCCATTTCAACTGTAAAATGGTGAGACCTTGTTGCCAATCTAGTACTATGCTTAAATTCATAAAGTCTAAGTACATTAGAATAATTACCATGAAAATATTTACAGAAAATGCCTAGGGAAGCTATATTATGACAATGGGAAAGGGACTGAAGATAAGATGCCAGATCAGGACCAATAACATTGCAGATTCTTTTAACAAAAGAAAAATTGTCTAGCACGACATTGTGAACCAACCTTCTTAGCTGCAGACCTAGCAATCAATTCAAAACTTTATGGTGGTGGAAAACAATAGTTGGAGAAAGCGCAAAGTGTTTCTGGAGGTTAGCATCAGCCATGCAGATGGATGGTAAAAAGGGTTCTCTCAGACGATTAAAAGAGAACAGCTTTACTTTGGAGCTTATTAAAATTAACGTGCTACTTCTTGCCCCAGTTAACAACAGATTGTAGGTCATTTAGGAGATCAATTGACAATATGACCTTATAGAACTAATCAGATGTCCTATTAACACAGGATATTATTACTATTAACATTGTTTGGCTCAGCAATTTAACCTAAAATTTCTGTCACCAAATTCACAAACCAATACTTTAAGCCATTGTTTACAGACATAGTCAACAGAATGAGAATAATCTACCTCCGTAAATTAAATAAACAGTCAAGATTGAAATTCTGAAAAGATTACCCAGATCAACAAGCAACTAATGAATACTGGAGAACACAATGGCTGTAACAAAGATGAGGACAATAGTCTGCATATAATCATCCGAGAAGTTCAGACAGAAGAAAATAGATATTTACTCGAGTTTCAATGATCCGAAATAACCAGTGTTTAGACAACTTGTGTTCATGAATAGCCTGAAAAACAAAATCAAGAGAATATATATTAATATGACAAAAACAACATGGAAACAATGACCGTTTCCAACTACTAATGGCTTCAAGTGAATTAAGACTTTTAGCCTTAAAGAAGAAAATCTTTCATCAGATTTTATTTTTATTTTTTAATAATTTCACTCCAAGCAAGGTGGGAATGTCACTAGTATGCAGGGGGTTAGAGGGAGTGAAAGTTAGAGAAAAGACTTAGAAAGGGAAGGATTGAAGAAAGGACAAAAAAAAGAATCAGGTTTCAAGAAGACGGAAGTTGGCGATTTAAATTTTTGAAGATTGTAGTTATTAGGGAAGCAAGTAAACGGAAGGGAGCTCTTCAGGTGGGAAATGTGAGAATGGAAACGGTTGAAGTAGAAGTAGCACTTGCATTTAGCTATTTCAACAGGTGGGGGGCATAGATATTAATTTAGTAGCACGCTTAAATTCATGTTGTACGGGCACCAAGAAAAAGAGCTTGTCAGAGCAGTTGCCATGAAAATATTAGTAGAAAAAATAGGCAAGTATGGACTTCTGCTACATAGTTACAAACACAGATTGAGTGACTTTTTCATGGCTTATGAATCATTTGCAGGTTATTTAAAGCCAGAAAATATTTTTAGATTGTAAGATTATTTTTTTTTAGATAACAATGATTTAGTGATACAAGTCTTACTAATTAACCCATAATTAGGAGGAGGAGTAGAAGTGGATTTATGCCTAATCCGAATTTGATAAACAAACATGAAATGACGTGGATGTAAAATGTAAGGGGGGGGTCAATTCTATATTACAATTGGTATATAAACTGATCCCTCACTTTGTGGTTACAGTAGTTACTACATATTTATATTCTAGAGAATGTAAATAGATCTAAAAGACTTGCCTGTGTTGTTAATCAGTATTTCATTGATTGATTGTTTTCTACGACTTATCAACCACTAAGTAATTATAATATGTATATAAAGTGGGGGATTAATTCTACGTTACAATCAATATATAAACTGATCCCTCACTTTGTGACCACAATAGTTTCTATACATTTATATTCTAGAGAATGTAAATAAATCTAAAAGACACGCCTGTAGCTAATCAGAATTTTATTGATTGATTGATTCGTTTTCTATGGCTTATCAAGAACCAAGAAATTATAAGTGGAATATAAAGTGGGGGATTAATTCTACTTTACAATCAATATATAAACTGATCACTCACTTTGTGGTTACAGTAGTTTCAATATATTTATATTCTAGAGAATGTAAATAAATCTAAAATATATGCCTGTAGCTAATCAGTATTTCATTGATGAACTGATTTGTTGTCTATAGCTTATCAACCCTCTGCAAGTTCTACTAATTAACCCATAGCTGGGAGGAGAAGAGATGGATTCTTACTTTTCCCAAGGGTATTTGTGTGCAAGTGAATATAATGAACCTGACCGTAGTTTTAATGTTCATGGTGAGGACACACCATACTACGCACATTATAGCAAACTACGCACATTATAGCAAACTACCCACGTTCCCTCTCTATTCCATTAGTAAGAAGTAAGTTTCACTTGAGCAGCTTCTTCCCATGAATGACTGCTTTGTGGAACTGACTCACAAGAGGATGTTTCCCTGATCACTACAATCTTAATCAGTTCAAGTCTAGGGTTAACTGTTATCTTCCCCACTTATCTGCATAAACTATGTCTCTTACTCTGTAACCCTCTACCATGAGTGGCTCCCGGTCCTTGTACATGGTGAACTTTACCGTAAAAAAAAAAAAAAAATTGGATCTGCTCTCCAATTTTCAATTCTGAATTGTTATTCAATACACCACCTGTGCATCCAAGTTTACAGCACCTAGTATTCCCAAGCAGTCACTCATTTAGGTACTGACAAAGCTTAACATTGCTTAACTTCAGTGATCGTATGAGAACTTCTGTTTCAACGTGATATGGCTATAAGAGAAAGCTTTACCAAATAATAAAAACCCCACCACATGAAGACTTCCAACAGCAGCAACAACTAAAATGTTTAGCAGATGTCACTAGAAGGGAATAAAATGATACAATCAAGATGTTGACTTCCACATTATCTTAAACAAATGGTTTGGAAGGGAACTTCTGTCAATACCAGACAGAGATAAACTGCTTTCAAATTTTACTTTCATCTTCTTATTCTCTGTCTTTATCTCAATAACTGGACCCATGGAAATTCTGCTTATGTTGACATCTAAGATTATCATCTATTACCTCCTGATTCTACACTGCTCTCACTTTGTATCTTCTCATTTTCTTCCTTATCCTTTCCAATACAATGAAAATTATCCACTTTATCATGTATCTGCTCTTTTGTCACCTTTCACATCCTTATCCTTTCTAATACAATGTATCTTCTCATTCTCTTTGTCATCCTTATCCTTTCTAATACAATGAAAATTATCCACTTTATCATGTATCTGCTCTTTTTTTCACACCTTTACCTGTATCTTCTCATTCATCATCCTTATCCTTTTCAATACAATGAAAATTATCCACTTTATCATGTATCTGCTCTTTTTCACCTTTTACCTGTATCTTCTCATTCACATCCTTATCCTTTTCAATACAATGAAAATTATCCACTTTATCATGTATCCTTTTTTCTAATACAATCCTTAAAACAATGAAATTATCTACTTTATCATGTATCTGCTCTTTTTTCACCCTTTACCTGTATCTTCTCATTCTCTTCCTTACCCTTTCCAATACAATAAAAATTATCTACTTTATCATGTATCTGCTCTTTTTTCACCCTTTACCTGTATCTTCTCATTCACATCCTTATCCTTTCTAATACAATGAAAATTATCCACTTTATCATGTATCTGCTCTTTTTTCACCCTTTACCTGTATCTTCTCATTCACATCCTTATCCTTTCTAATACAATGAAAATTATCCACTTTATCATGTATCTGCTCTTTTTTCACCCTTTACCTGTATCTTCTCATTCACATCCTTATCCTTTCCAATACAATGAAAATTATCCACTTTATCAGGTATCTGATCTTTTGTCACCCTTTAAATGTATCTCTTCCTTATCTTTTCCAATAAGTGTTATATAAATATAGATTAATTTTATATGTTAAAAATAAATAAGGAATGTATTTTTTTCTGCTGCATCCTCTCTTTTATCTTTCTTCTGCTCTATCTTTTTGTCATAAAGAATTTTAATGTATGATTTTTGTCATAAACAATTTTAATGTATGACAAGTTTTATATTTCTATGTACCTTCCAATTTTTTGTTCATTGTCTGTTGAAATTCTACCAACAATCCAGTCTATGGCTTTTATCTCCATCACTTCCTCTTCCCCCTCCTCCTACACTTAGTGTTTCTTTGCATCTGTTTTTCTTTGTTTTTTGCAGGCTTTCTTACTCTTCCTCCTTCCTTCTCTAATTTTTCTAAATTTCTTCTCACTTAACACTTTCTTTCTTGATGTGAATATGAATTCCAGCGCATAAGGGATAAAGATTGAACACCTCAACATGGTGTAATGGTTAAAATGTTTATCTCGCTAGATCAATTACAACTGAATAGTGACTTTGATCCTCTCTGTGTGCCCCCCCCACTTCTGGCCTTGTGCCACACCGAGGCTATGCTTAGAAAATCACCATAAGGGCTCTAGATTGAGCAGATACTACACTCTTATTAACTGATTTGTTTTTATGGCTTATCAACCTGTTGCAGGTTATGTAAAGCCAGAAAATATCTATGATTTTTTTTAAAGATATTGTAAGATTTTGGTTGGAGTTGATAATATACAAGTCCTACTAATTAACTGATAAGTGAAAGGAGGTGGATTCATACTTTTCCCAAAGATATTTGTGTGTAAGTAAATATAATGAACTCAACTGGAATTGAAACTCGGCTCTTTGATTTCTAATTTTGAGCCATTATTGTCTACACATCCAAGATTGCAGTACCTGGTATTCACAAGTGGTCACCCGTCTAGGTACTGACCAGGCTTGATGTTGCTTAACTTTGGTGATTGTACAAGAACCAGTATTTCAACATGATATTGCCATGCCTATATTACATTGATCCCTTGGTAGAAAAGTGTAATGGTCATATATAGAAACAAACAAAATTATAGTTTTTTTAAAGCAACTACTCTTTTCTTTGTTAACTACTGCAGCGGTCAAAGTCACAATTGGTTGGTAGATGCCCATATAAACAATATTATCAATCTGCAGCATAAGTACACTTAACACTTGGTACACATTAGTATATATAGATACTTACCCTGGCAAGTTCTTTACCAACTGGAAATGGTGGTATGGTTCCCTGGAGATGCAATATATAAAAAAGCTTTTTTAGATACTGCTTTACAATAACATTAGATTAACTGTTAGGGTAAAAAAAATCAAAAACAAATTAAGGGAAGTAATTCTTTGTTTAGACTGACAAGGGTTTTCCAGGTAGCTAACACAAATATGTCTTGAAGAATCCTATCAGAATACTTGATCTAGTTTATCAAGAAGGACTGGAAACACATTATCTGAGTTCATTTTTTTTTTATAGACAACTGAAATGTAGCTAATCTGTTCCTATTGATCTCAGCAAAATGTAAATGTACAGCAATGAGCCATTTTCTTTTAGACAACTCAGTTTATAGATTTCATAGTTCAAGATTTTTTCCAATTTTTGTATTTTCATATTCCATTTTGTTTTCATTAAACTCTGGAGGAATTTTTATGTTGCATTTGGTGGCCATAAATACAGCCTGCTACCAGTGTTGGAGTAGAATATAAAAAAAAGAAGATAAGGGAAGCAATTCTTTGTTCAGACTGACAATGGTTCTTCGGGCAGCTAACACAAAATTATTCTTGGGAAGTAATTGAGAACTTATATTCCACTCCAAGGTGGAGTTTATTTTAATCTGTTATTAATTAGAATCTACAGAATTAATTGTGACATTGTCATGACAACATATTTGGCTTGAACTGGTGTTTGGGTGACTATGATTGTTGTTCTGTAGTAGGCTTTACTTACTACGTTAGCCTCCACGGTTGTCTTCAGGACAATATATGAAAGTTAAACTGTCCCAGTTTCTTAGTGAAAGTCAAATCAGCCATTTTTTCCCCCCAAGGAAAAGGTTTTCTTTCAGTAATAAATAGCACAATGCATATGTTCTCTACTGGCTACTTTTATTATCAAACAGTAAGGAAATTTTGCCAACTAGTTGTCAGTAATGGAGAAGGTTTAATGAGTGAGAAAAATTTAATACTTAAGAATTTTGAAGGAAAAAAAAACAACTCTTTTTTATAATCAATTCACCCTCAAACAAGGCAACAGTGCCACTAAGATGCAAGGGGTTTTGTGGGACTGAAAAAGAATTAAAAGTCTTTAGAAAAAAAAATCTTTAGAAGGAGCCAGAAACCCAATCTTATTACATTGTATACATTTTCAAATTTTTGGCATTGAGAATGGATTTCTTTATTCAAGAACGATAAGAAGACTTAAATATTCAATTTCTGTTTTTAAACATTTTTGTTACTTTCAGAATACTCTTTGCAGGAACAGCATTCATACATTTGATAGAAATTCCTTCAAATTTTTAGTCTATATTTGACACTAAAACTTATCAAATCTTATTTCTATATTATTAGCATATCGTTATTTTCGAATTTGGGTACAGTTATGTAAGCAGAGTTATCTCCCCTAAAATTTGATTCAGTTACTAAGTGATATAATGGAATAGGCATACACCAGTGTTCCCCCTCACTGGAATGTGATTGGCTGGTGTCCGTCATAAATACCGACGGACGTGTAGGAGAGTCAGAAGAGTAAGAGTCTTAGTCTGAGAGCTAAGTCTATAACGACGCCCATTGGACTACGCCATTGATCTACACTTCTTACCTGTGACTACGACACGTATCTGTCGATTACTGCTACCGTATTCTACTTGGTTATAGTAGCCAAAACCACTTAGCTACTTCGTTCAAATATATCTCTTTCCGGGACATATCAGTTGGCGACGAGATTCGTAAAGACCTCACAAGTTAAAACAAAAGAAAAAAATACAGTCGACAAAATGTACTAATGAAGAAGGTTAAAAAAAATTGTTCGACGCTTACAAAAAGTAAGTAATTTTTTCACTCATGTTGTTTTAACGCTTATTGCCAAGGAACGTTAGAAAAACTTGTGAAATTCTTGCCCCCCCCTCTTGTTTGGAAAAAGAATTTTATTGTTTATTGGAGCGGAATTATTTTCTGGGGAATACGTTAGCAAAATGGAACAAATGGCAGAATTAGCTAAGGTGCTACAAGACCCTTTACAGCAACAGTTCCAACAACAACAATTACGGCAACAAGAAAGGTTTGAAAAGTTATTTGAACATTATCTAGGAAAACAAATGAACCGGGGTCTAGATTGTTTTCGGCTGAAGGAATTTCAAATTCACTCTTGGAATTTAAATACGACCCTGACAGTGGTTCAACGTTTCTGGCTTATTTTTGTAGGTTTGAAACAATATTTACGAAAAGGTGCGAACAATGGTCCGACGAAGAAAAAATTACTTTATTGTTGCAGAAGTTGGGAACAGAAGAAAATATGAAATACACAAATTTAATCCTCCCAAAGAAGCCAGAAGAAATGACATTTGGCGAAACAGTGGAAATTTTGTTGAAAATTTTCGATAAAAGAGATAGCCTATTTACTCAATACAAGTGTCTGAATATCATTAAACAAGATGATGATTTTGTTACAAACGCAGGTATGGTTAACGCACAGTGTGAGGCATTTAAGTTGAAAGAGTTGTCAAGTGTCTAATTTTTGTGCAATGTCTAACGACACCAAGCGACAAAGAAATTAGAGCAAGAATCCTCTCGATCATGGAAAGAGATCCAGAGATTACATTACAAAAAGTAACTGAAGAATGTCAACGAATGATAAACGTAAAAAAAGACACTACTCAGATGGAGGAGAAGAACATTTTGCGAATACAAACTGTACGACAAAAGAAGTGGATACAAAAAGAAAGAAAAATAATATGCAGTGCCTGTGGAGGACATCATTGCAAGAAGGATTGCTACTTTAAGGATAAAAAATGTTATAATTGTGGGCGTGTAGGCACATTGTCGGACAAAGAGAAATGAAAAACCAAAGTCTCAGGCAAAAGTGAACGTAGTTTTGTCTAAACACGAAATTGAGGAGGGTCAAAGAAGAAAATACCTCAATGTAAAAATAAATTGGCAGACTGTAAAATTAGTACTTGATTCAGGAAGTGATATCTTTGTGATAAACGAGCTAACATGGAAAAAAATTGGTTACCCACCGTTGACGAAAACAGACAAAATTGCCAGAGGAGTGACTGGAAAAAGACTCAAATTTCGAGGTGAATTAAAATGTAACATTTCATTCATGGGGAAAATTCACAAATTGAAAGTATATGTGCTCCCTGGTTCAGTAAACCTCTTTGGTACAGACTGGATAGTATTATTCAGTTTGTGGGAATTACCAGTAAATTCTTTCTGTAACCAAGTGAACGTCAGAGAAAATTATAAGACAAAGCAAACAGAAAAATTTATTACAGAATTGAAAAATGAATTCCCTCGTGTTTTTTCAGAAGGACTGGGTCTGTGTACAAAAACAGAAGTCAACTTTGAGTTGAAAAAAAATGTGAAACCAATTTTTAAACCAAAAAGAAAAGTTCCATTTTTGGCACTAGACTCAATAAATGAGGAGTTAGAAAGGTTGGAAAAAATTGGCGTAATTTCAAAAGTGGATTACTCAGATTGGGCATCTCCAACCCTTTATATAAAAAAGAAAAACAGAAAAATCAGTGTGTGCTGATTTCTCGACAGGCCTGAATACCCTCTACCGTCTCCGGAGGATATATTTATTACTACCGTCTCTGGAGGATATATTTACTAAATTGAACGGAGGTAGAGTGTTTTCAAAGTTGGATTTGTCAGAGGCTTACCTTCAGGTTAAAGTCAGTGAAGAATGTTTAAAGTACCTGACAATAAATACTCATAAAGGGATGTTTAAATTAAATCGTCTCCCTTTTGGATTGAAGGTAGCTCCAAGCCTATTCCAGCAAGTAATGTACACAATGTTGGCTGGTATGGAGTATGCGATCGCATACTTAGTCGACATTTTGATTAAAAGTGAAAACAAGGCCCAAAACAAAACACATATTAGAGCAGTATTTCAGAGAATTGAAGAATACGGGTTCAAGCTAAGTGCTGAAAAATGTGAGTTCTTCCTAAAGAAGATAAAGTATTTAGGGCAGATAATTGACAGTAAAGGAAGGAAACCAGACCCAGCAAGAGCTGAGGCTATAAAAAATATGCCAGCACCTGATAATGTGGCGTTTTTGGGATTAGTAAGCTATTATAGTATTTATATCCCAAAAATGTATGAAATGAGAGCCCCTTTAAACAATTTGGTGAAAAAGGGCACAAAGTGGATATGGTCAAAAGAATGCGAGGATGCTTTTAAAAAATAAAAAACTGTTTATTAGCAGACCTATCTTTGGTGCATTTCGACCCGAAGAAGAAAATGATGGTAGCAGCAGATGCTAGTAATGATGGACTAGGCGCTGAATTGTTACATAAACTTGAGGATGGATCTACGAAGCCAGTAGCACATGCCTCGAGAACGTTACTGCCCACGGAACGGAATCATAGCCAAATTGAAAAAGATAGTTTGGCAATAATCTTCGCTGTAAAGAAATTTCACAGATTCATATATGGAAGACAATTTACTCTGCAAACAGACCACAAACCGCTGTCAACAATTTTTGGTTAAAAAAAAAAAAAAAAAAGAAGGTATACCAACTCACATGGCAAATCGACTACAGCATTGGGGTATAATTCTATTGAATTACAATTTCAGAATGGAATATGTGCCTTCAAAAAAGCTAGGTCACGCTGATAGGTTGTTGAGGTTAATACTGAAATATATGGAACTGCTGGAAGAAACAGTAATAGCGGCGCTGAGAGACAAAAGTGAATTGTCAGGTCTGTTATGCAATACCATTAGAGAACTACGGGTTACTTTGTATTTGTATCTTTTTGTAATTGTGTAAATAAATGTGTTTTCCTTTTAAAATTTTACACAGTGGTTGTCTATTTTGTAATTTTGCGCCTACTATTATGACTTGATGTTTCTACGAGGTTTTTGTATTTCGCACAAGAACTTAGATTTGGTGAGAAATAAAATTTTTATACATTTGATATTTTAAACGGGATGCTAAATTCATTTATCTTTTAGAAGGAGTGGATAATCCTTTCCTTTTTGCTTTCCCTGACTGATTTAAATTAGCCATCATTAGTTTCTCTGAAAAGAAAAATAGCAGATTCTTCATAAATCTATTTCAATAAAAACTCTACCACTTAAATATATGATGTAATGTCTTAAAAAATAAATGCTTATTTCAGGAGATTTCTTTATTATTTGCAAATTTCATGACTTATTTTTCCTTATTAAAATTTAAAGTGTGTCCCAGAGATTTAGTTATTCCACAAGTGCACCCTGAATTAAAAATGGTTGAGAAACATTGCCTTATCAATATAGATAATATTTTGAATGTATCATTAGATTACAATTCAATAAATAAAAAAAATTATAAACATAAAAATGTGAAATCTATTTTGATAAGTTAAATCTGAAAGTTAAGCAAACACTAAGTTAAGTTTTACTTTTATTTGTCATAAAGGCAATTTTGTTCTCTAACTCCCAAGATGATTTATATGAGATTTTATACAATAAAAGTGTTAGTATTCTTAGGTTGATGCAAAAACGTTCCTATGCAATGTTAGAGAAATTTTAGAAGTGTGCTTTAAAGTTTATAGTATGTTGTTTATAAACCATAGAAAAAATTCAAAAAGCAAAGAAAACGAGTCATATCTGACCTTACATATCAGTCACTGATTCCAACTAATTGAAGATCTCTTGGAATTACTTGAGTCGAAGTTAGAATTGATCTTTTATGTTGAAATTGTAGAATTAAAATCCTATATAGTCCTCAAAATCAGCACAACTACATAATACAGGCTTCAAACTGAGTTTTTGCAAAGATGTTTTCTGATTGGTGAATAAATATTAAAAAAAATACATTTCACCTGTTCTCAACTATGTCCGAATTGAATCAACTTAGTTCTGACACAGATTGCGCCAAGCAATTTGGAGCTAATCATGCAATACAAATTTTCAATAAATATGAAACGTTGTTCATCCTCAGCAGTGAGATGAACTAAGTTTTTTAACTCGACAACAACCCAATGTCACCCACTTACAGGCTTAACATTAATTACTTAAATTAACATAAACCCAGCTTGCAAAAGAACACTCACTCAAACAATTTATTTATTTCACTACAAACATTGCAAGTTAAAAGTCCAGTCAAAGAGCGACAACTTTGTAGAAATCACAGTAAGTCGAGAACAATACTTCTAATTTAATACAAAATTAAATACATAGGGATTTGAACATGTCCTCATTCATTCCCTACAAAATACAATACACAATTCAGTTGGAAATTGGCCTCAGAAATCCAGGGCAAATATTTTGATGACTGAATAATGAGACTATGAATTTATAGTGATTTGCTAAGTGTAGTTTAGATGTGGCACAGGGCCGAAAGTGTAGAGCACCCAGTGAGGACTGAACTCACTAGTTTAGTCATAATTGATCTAGCGAGACAAGCTTTTTAACCATTACATCACGTTGAAGAACCCAAAGGCTATGAACTTAAAAGATTTTGTTAAAACATGCTAGAAACCTATGCATCAACTATATAATTCTCAAATGCTGATTTTAGCACTGTTTATATGTCAGTAAAATTAAAAGAAAATACTAATTGGTTCTTACTTGGTAGATATTGTCTACTGTATCTTTCCAATACTGCATTCGAATTTCTCCAAGTTGTGGACTTTTTACTAAATCTTTTATCTAAAAAGGAAAAAAAGGAATTAATAAAATAATTTGACATATTTTTAAAAGAATTTATTAATTGTAAAGAAAAAAAAAGAAATAAAACTGGAATTCATAAATGACATGTTTAGTGGAGGAGGGGTATAAATTGAAAATTGCTTTTTTTTCACTGCAAATTATTCATTATATCATATTCAAGTATTTTACAAAAAAATTAGAGCCAATTACACAATATTTCAAGCTCAATTTAGGTTTATAGTTTGTAACCATGCAATGAGATGAGGTAACATAAAAACTGTAGATTTGTCTGTGGAATATCATTACATTATTGTTACATAATTATCGCAAAATCATTAAGGTTTTTTGTCAAAAGAATTTTATTTTTGGTTGTACGTATATTAATTTAAAATATTCCTTTTTTACAGACATTATTTTTTAAATGGAATAAGATCATTCTAAATTTTGGAATTTCGCTATTGTCCATCAAAATGACTGGAAGAAAGCGATCTAAAAACAACAATGGGAAAAAGAGGTAACAAAGTGTAAACGAAATAGCTCCAATTTGTTCAACTTAGGAAACTTAGCATTGCAGCCAAAGTATTCTAAAATGCTGCCAATAACAAAGGAGAAAATGAAAAATACCTAACAACAAATCAAATACAGCATCAAAATTTATATTATTTTTATTTATTTGCCATGTAACTAAATACATAATTGTCAATAATGTTTACATAAAACTTGATATTTCCTGTAATAAATTCTTAATAAATATTATTATTGTTATTATTTTACTTAAGTGAAAAGTAGTCCCACATTTAGAATTCTTTATGGCTAACCATGCAAAGAAATGTTGATAAAAACTACTTGAAACCGCAAAATTATAAAATGTTGAATATGCCCCTCCTCTGTTGAACATGTCATATATTTGTGTACAAGTCTCTACCTACTTCATGTATAGTGAAACACCTGAATTTTTGCATGAATTTTGACCTCTCCAGAAAAAAATAATTACCTGTGTTTTGAGCATCCAGTCACCAAAAATGCATGATTTTTAACCTCTACAAAAAAAAAAAAAAAAATTACCTGTTGTTACAGAATGTGAAGGCCGAGGCCAGAATGGTCAGTGACTGGCTGGAGTTCCACTTCAGTGTGGTATTCTGATAGTGTTAAATTGCCTTTGTCTTAGTTTTAAATATAAGTCCAAAATGGTGCGAATTCAACAGAGGGCTGCAAGAATTTTGAAGCATTGATATGCTTCCCACACCAATATTGAGAGACTGACCAAAACCACTCACAGAGAGACACTGAGTCAACGTGCGACATACATTCTCATGATGTTATTCCTCCTGCTGCTCTTAGAATGCAAACTGCCATGTCTGCCCACCTATTCTAATAAAAATGAATAAGAAAAAGAAATGGTCCTTTTTGTTGATACCATTTTATGTTGTAGCATGGGGGACCCAGAGGCAACATAGAATGCAATATTGTGCATAGTGTGATCAATTATTTTTTGCGTAAAGAACTAATCATAAAAATTTGCATTATACTCAAGTATATATGTTAAATAAATATGAAATTAAATAACAAATGGCACTTATGAAAAATGCTACATGGCATGTCATTCCTAATTTCTTGTCTATCAGCAATTCCTCAGACTGAATGAACAATGGACAATTTTCTTATGTTTCTTTTCCTTACTTTATTCTGTCCTGGGTAAGACAATAAACTACATCCAACAGCAAGGCCTCTGATCAGGAGGTTTTGGGGAGCGTGGAAGCACTTGTTAGTTGCTGGTGTTTCCAGGTCAGAGTAAACCTGGGAACACCAGGGGTGATAGCACCTGTCAGGGTTCTAGTTATTGGCAAATAGTTAACACTTAAACTGAGGTTAAAACACTATGAAAGTGTAAAAATAGGTAAAAAATACCAGCAACACATTTTTGAAAAAAAAAAACACCAGCAATAAAAAATCTTGTCAGCATTAAATAACCTGGTGGTGGTGGTTGTTGTTGTTGTTAGTAGTAGTAGTAGTAGTAGTAGCATCAAGAGTGAAATAGAGAGTATCAATCACAACAAAGAATCTACAAGAATTCTAAGAGAATTGTCCAGAAAAAAAAAACAAAAAAAAAACTATTTTTCATAAAACTCCTCTTTAAACTTGAAAAATATATTATTACTATTCTTATATGAAAAGAATATATCTGACAACTAATTTTTGAAAGAAAACTTTTCACATATTTTAACCAACGATGAAGATTTGAACTTTATAAAATGGTAAATAATAAAGATTTCATTATAGTTGGTTCACATATTTTTACGATTCAGTAAATATTTTTTATAAATTTATGAATAAAAATATTGTTTTCCTATTTATTTCTTTATAAATAATAAACTTTGTACCTTATTAGTTGATTCACATATTTTTATAAATGTTGTGAATACAAAATTATTCTTGTAAATAAACAATCTAATAAATAAATAGTGTTTAATATTTTTGTCATAAATTCTCAAAAAATGAAAATGTATAAATTCCCTTTCATATACCTGTTTTTTATTAAAATTCTAGTCATTGCTTTTTAAAAAATAAACATTGCTGAAGGAGTGAAGGTAATACAAAATAATAGCAGTGTCAAAGGAAAAACCCATCTTCTTGACAGAGTGTTTTATTGTAGTCACAAAAGATATTAAAATTAAAAGAAACCACAATAATCAAGCCTTTCTTTTTTTTTAAGTAGTTACCTTCTATATTAATATTTTCTGTATTAAGTAAACAACAAATAGGGGTAACAAAAAATATATATTACCATATATTGGTAATACTGAAATATAATGATTAAAATGATCAGTACCTGGTTTCAAGAACATGTAAGATGTATATGGACATGGAGAAGCCCAAAAAGAGAAATGAAAAAACAATATGACTATATAACTAGCTATAATTTTCATAGAAAATATGCATCCTCCGACAAATTTTCATAGAAAATATGCATCCTCCAACAAATTTTCATAGAAAATATGCAGCCTCCAACAAATTTCTTGGACATTCAGGCTGGTAAATGTCGTTAATACTGTTTATTATAAATAGAGCATTTACTTAAATATTTGTATCTATAAAAAGAACGTATAAACATAAAAAATGTCTTAAAATAATTGTCAGACTTTGTCCATTTCATAATGTGTGACGTCATTTGTTTACATTTGGATACACATTGAGCAGATATGAATGTACGAGAGAAAATCATGGAGAATTGCAGTTTAAAAACAGTAAAATCGACCTTGCTAACTGAAACGCTCCTCTGTGGCTCAATCGGTAAAATCATGTCAGGCTATATGATGGTTCTGTATAGGATACAGGTTCGATTCCTGTCGGAAGACATATTTTCTATGAAAATTTCTCGGACATTCAGGCTGGTAAATGTCGTTAATACTGTTTATTATAAACAGAGAATTTACTTAAATATTTGTATCTATAAAAAAAGAACGTATAAAACATAAAAAAATATCTTAAAAAATAATTGTCAGACTTTGTCCATTTAATATATATATATATATATATATATATATATATATATATATATATATTATATTTACCCCCCCCACCAAGAACTGTTAAATCAAAATGTTAAAATTAAAATAATTGTCAAACTTTGTCCATTTCATAATGTGTGAAATCAAGATCATCCCAAAGAAAAACAAAAGAAAAAAAGAATGGATGAATGAATAAATTCTTGATATGAGGAAATGGAGACAAAAAAACAATGCCAAGGTAAGGCACAGAATATAGGACACTGCACAAAGAAATTAGGAACAAATGTAGGTAGGTTAAAGAGAAATAGCTCAATGGAAAATGTGCAGAAATAGAAAGAATGAGTATCACTGATAGAGCAGATATACATGAAAAAAATAAGAGAACAGAACAAAAGACATGCTCATCAGTAGGATGCATAAAATTCAAAGATGCATTGTCTCTCTAATGCTGGTTTCCACAATATCCAAAGGGTAATGTTATAATCTTCCTAAAACCACATCTTCTGATTCATATTACACAAATTTCCACCACTGACCAGATGTGAACGCTCTGAAATCCAAAACTGAATTTCCGTCACCTGTGTATAGGCTCTGCACATAGCTTCTGTTTTATTTACATATTCAAAGAAAAATACAATTCAGAATTTCCACCCAATAGCACCCACTCCTGTCTAAAGAAACAAAATGGCAGCTGGACAACACAACAGCTAGGATTCACAATGCTTGTTGGAACACAAGCTTCCATCTCCAAAGACAACTCACCAAGGGTTGTTGCCACAGTAAGTCACAACTCACTCTCCCACTGTATGCCTCTGCGGACAACTTTTATGATTCTACTTATCTCTTTCTTTCAATGAGATATTTACACCAATTTACCATATTTTTACATTAATACAATTGTTTATTTCTTAAACCTCTGTTGTTTCTTCATTGTTCTGCCACCAATACGCTTAATATAACTGTAATCATTCTCACTCAAAGCCTTACTAATAAATTCAATATCTGAATCTAATTTAGTTATCAAGCATATAACCAAGGTTTTAATTAAATTGATTTTTCACCTGTTTAGAACAAAGAACCCCATCAGGTATATAAACACTGAAAGGTTGGTTTCCGGTACACTGATGTTAGAAAACCTGTATTTGGTCGGTATACCAAGACATCAAGGAAAAGCAGAAAACCAGCATTCTCTTTCTCACATGTGAAATGTAATGCAAGGGGCAATTTATTCGTTGATGATAGAAAACCTCAGCCTAATATTTTGCTATGAATTTGTTATGAATTTAATCTTCTTCTTTTGCCCTTAGCCCTAGAAGGAGGAGTCAGGGCGGTCAACATGCAGAGCTGTCCACCATTCTCCTGCATCTGTTGCAATTGTGTGCCAGAGCCTGGGTCTTCATGAATGATTTCTTGGTGCGCTCATCATGTGTTATGTCTTGGGCCTTTTAAACTGGCGGAGCCCTTCCCTTTCCAGGTTAGACCACAGCTGATGTCCTCCAACTAGGTGGTTCACCTTTGTTGTGAACATGTGGCCATTGTAGTTCATACCTTCTGCCCAGTGGTGCCATGTTAACAACACCCCCTCATGTAAGTTTAGCCTGCCTGCTGAAACAGTTTACTGGGGCATGTCAACTTGGTATCATCATGTGAGAGATTTTGGAGATGGCTGAGGACCAGTGATATCGGTCCACCTGAAGGTGAAGTGTACCAGACATCAAAGGTACTACCTCTACCCAGAGCCCTCATACCTATTTTTAATATGTCTGCTTTTATCAAGTAAACAATATATTTTACTCAAGAGATGCCACTTGAAGAGTAAAAGCTTTCATGATCACATGGTTACTGTGGCGGACATGAGACAGAACCTGGGACGAGCACAACTAGTCGCGACTTGCCTTGTCCCCGCCAAAAAAGGGCCCGTATTTGCTTAGCATGTAAAGCTACTGCAGTTGAAATGAGGGAGAGAAAAAAAGCACTTACCGCTCTGCCAGATCCATCCTCGGCCAGATAACATAAAAGAATGAGGGGACTGGCATCGCATTTTTATCCAATAAGGACGCAATGCATTATGGGACATGGACGCAATGAATTATGGGATCACAGGAAGATGCAAGGGATTATGGGTACATGAACAACTATAAAAACAACTACTTTTTTCCAAGTCGGGGAGTTCTTTTTTTTCACGTTCACGGTTGACGAAAGAACGGGCAGTTAGTGTGATTTGGAGACAGAACTCAAGAAGGAACGACTCAAGTTTGAAATACCAGCTGAGTGAGCTTGAATTTACTCGCTGGTTACTGTTTTCTTCATTCGCCTCAGATTAGGCTATATTTGAAAGACCTGTGTTACTAAATTTTAAATTTTACTACTTATGCTAAGATATAAGATGTAGTTGAAATAAGTAAAAAGATTTTTTATCATTTATAAGGTTTGGTCGTTTGCACATTCCAGGGTTCTGTGTATCAGACATTGTAGACTGAGAGTTTGTTCAGTGTATAACATAAGGCAGTAGCTGAAATAAACTAATGAGAGAAAATCAACATGCATATGTAGTCAAGAGTTAGTCTCTGCTGCTACTGTTTTCAACACTGACTGAAGGCATAGCTGTTATGGAAGCACATTGATGACACTGCTGATGGCCTGGATAATCATGCAGTCTCTTGTGTTCAGTTAAGCTTGCCTGCCATAGGAATCCATCAGTAATTTGTGGGTAAAATTGGTGTTGGCTTTATAGTGAGTAAGTGGTTCAGAATAGCTGTTGTGAAAACTGTGTGACCCTGGTATTTTTGGACAGTATTCTAGAAGTGTGTACATGAACCTGGATGAAATTATGGTCTGTTTTTGTAATATGAGCTGTAGATGGAAAAGAGAATGAAGTGAAAACACAGTGCCCAGAGATTTTGACAGGATATTCACTTGCAGCTACAGTGGAAGTTCTTGCTTGTCTCACATCAGCATGTATGTAGATGTGTGTGTTTATGTGGGAGTGTGTGGATTAGAGATATGTGTAATATTTTAGCTCTGTTTATTTTATGATTATAGCAGAATTAGAGAATTGATAAAATTAATTTATCTATTCTGAATTTGGTTATCTATCTCTTTATATAGATATGCTGGCCAAAGAAGATCTGTTTAGAAGTTGCTGTTTGGATTCTGAATGATTTGCAAGGTCATCTGTCTTATCCTTATTGGGAAAAGATCTTGTCTGATTGGCTTACCAAACTATGACATCATATCCTCCTTTGAAACATTTCCGATTGGTTCATGGCAATATAACTTTATGGCCATGTGATTCTGAAATTTGATCTATTTTTACCAATGATGAAACTTGCTTGGATCTTCTTGTTTTTGTTATCACTATTCATTGTGCGATGGGTAAATTGTCGCCATTTTATATTTTTAATTTTGCGCATGTGTGTTGTTTGTTTTTGATTTTGTTGACTGCACAGTATAGTATGGTATGGTGAGTTGGGCATTGTCTTTGAGAAAAAAAAAATAACCATCATGATGAAATTCACTCTTCCAGAAATTTGGAAACGGCATGCTGTACTGTTTGGTATTCACACTGGAAGCTCCAATATGAACATTTCAGTGTTTAGGTGTCAATCTGAGGACAGTTCAGAGAATTCGGAAAGAGTTGGATGAGTCTAATGGTGATTACGAAGATACGGCAGCTCAGAAAACTTACTCTGATCATTCCAATAAGAAGTCCCAAACTTGTTGGTGAGGGTCTTTCATATTCAATACTGAGACCTACATAGAGTGCCTTGAGGAGGTAGTGTTTCCCTGGGTTAAGAGGGTGGCTGCTGGAAGACCCTGTGTCTGGCAACAGAACTCTGCACCATGCTACACAAGCAGGAGAACCCAGTTATGGCTGTCAGACAATTTCTGCGACCACATCACCTCTTACATCTGGCCACTTAACTCCTCAGACAGCAAATCCCTTAATTTTTATGTATGGGGTGCATTTGAGAAAGAGACCAACAAAATTGTAATACCAAAGATGAACTGAAGGCAAGGATTATGGCAGCATTCACCAACTTAAAGAAGGAGACCATCCAGAAGAGTTGCAGGAGATTCTGAAGTCATCTGGAGGTCGTTGTTGAAGCCAATAGTAATTTATTAAATAAATTTACTGTTTAGTATTTCAAGATATTTTTGTGTAATTTTGGTAAATATATATGTTAAAATGAGATTGTCAGTGTTATTTTCATTTTTGCATAATTTAGATGACAATTTATCCATCGCACCCTGCATGTGCATGTTACATAGTGGGAAATATAGAAAGTAGAAAATATAATAAAAGTCTTTTTACCTGAGCAATTTCCACATTGAAAGCTCGTAAAGCAAAGCCTGAAGTCCTGATTTGCTTTGGATATAAGAGCGTACATAAATAATTTTCAAAGTCAGACTTCCTGAAAAGAATTAACAGAAAATCTATCAGTCATGAATCACAAACATTACACAATGAAAGTAAATATTTGACTTGTAAAGAATCATTTTAACATTCTCTCCAACTAAACTGGTTTAGTAAAAAGGATATTTGATTGCCAAAATTAAGTAGGGAAGCCTATGGCTCATAGCACGTTACAAAATGTTATTTTGTTCTCTGTTTGTAAAGAACCTATTGCATTGCTAGCTATTCATTGGTTACATCAAAATGTCCTTGTAAAGTATGAAGCTCAACATGACAAGACAAATTAAACATGGATTAACAATATACAAAATGCCCCAATGAATAGACTTGGAAATTTCAAAACAAATTTGATGCATTTAAAAATTCATTAATTGATTATTTATGTCTTATCAACCCATTGCAGGTTATTTAAAGTCAGAAAATATTTTTAGATTGCAAGAACTTTTTGGAGGTAGTAATCAATTTTACTGATACAAGTTCTACTAATAAACCCATAGGTGGGGGGAGAAGTGGATTCATGCCTTTCCCAAGAGTATTTGTGCATAAGTGAATATAATGAATCCAACTAAAATTGAAACTTGGCTCTCTCTGATTTCCATTTTTGAGCAATTATTCGTTACACTACCTGCACATCCAAGCTTACAGTGCCTGGTATTCCCAAACAGTCACCCATCTAAGTACTGACTAGGATCAATGTCGCTTAACTTTGGTGATAGAACTGGTGTTTCAACATAAGCCTTAAAATTTTAATTATTCACATGGAGTTGTACAATCTGTGACAAGAAATAATAATTTTTTTTCAAAGTTTTTTTTATTAAATTTTATAAAGTTAATATGGGATGTCTAGTTTGCCATGGAAATTCTTTGTAAATTGATCCTATTTACGGAAGCCAAAACAAATATGGTCATACAGATGACATGAAAAAATATTTTTAAAAAAATATAATTATTTCTGGTTCTACTGCCCAGATTTTTTCAAGCCACTGTAGAGATGATGCTAATGTATGGTGCCACTGCCTGGACATTACTTAAAACCCTACAGACTAAGCTTGATGGAACCTACACTTGGATTCTGAGAGCTCTACTTAACATCACCTGGAGACAACATCCAACTAAATCACATCCCTGATATTTCTACAATCTTATGTGAACACAGAATGTGCTTTTCAGGATGCTGCTGGCAAACAAAACAAGAATTTGCAAGTGATCTACTGTTCCGGACACCTGGCCATAAAGCAAGACGGGTTGGTCAACCAGCAACCACCTACATTGACCAGCTGTGTTATGACACAGAATGCCACCCTAATGGACTTCCGACCTTGATGCAGGACCATGATGGCTGGCGTGATAAACACATGAATATCCAAGCTAACTCAACTGAATGAAAAGAAATAGTTGTATTAAGGTTTATTATTGCTTATATTTCAAATGCCATATTGCTTTAGATTTAAACTTCACAAAATCATGTTCGTTTTCATTGATTTTAAATTTTTCCTGCTTATAAATTAATTTTTATGACAATAAATAAATATCAAAATAGTATGATAATATTCATTTGTTAACAGTCATCAATGTTTTTAGTAATGTTTCTAATACAATATTAATTTAAATTTTCAAATGATTTTTAATTTTTTCTCTCCTATTTGAATCTTTTTCTTATTCTAAGAAAAAACAACATAGTCTCAAGAAGCATATATTACATATCATATATGCTAGGCCACAAAAAGTTTTTAAGCTGACAGACATGACAGACGTGAATACAATATGCAGAGTGTTAGAGAAAAACAAATAAGAAAAATTGTAATATGAGCTCTGGTTAAAAAAGATTACTGAGATATTAGGTTTATAAGTTCCAAATATTCATTCCAAGAACACATGGCCCAGTGGATAAAAGAATTGGTTGAAGTAATCCAGTGACTTGTCCCAAATAGTTATGAGTTCAATACCTGGCCACAGCCGAGGTGAACAAAAACTTGGAGAGTTGAGTTACTAAAGGGAGATAACTGAAACTGAGAAAGCATGGCATGTGAAACTAGAACAATCTACCCCAGTGGATGGAATAAAGGGTTTGGTCCGAAATTCCACTATATATCATCTGAAGAAGGTCAGAGTGTACAACAGTTGAAACGTTGGCAATAAAGCCGAGGACAACATTCTGAACAATGTAAATAATGCAAAGCAGGGAAGGGTATAAATTATATTAAAATGAATGTCTGAGTTGACTGAATAAAAATGTGCCCATTGGCATAGAGTTGATGATTGCCCTGGGCACTAAATTTTTAGGGGCACAAAGATTGAGAAAATATATATAAAAATAGAATTTATAAGGAGGGGGCACAATAGTTTAAATTGCTCTCGGATGTACTCAAAACCCACTCCACACCACTTGAATTTTAATAGATTGCCTTATAGGGAGAAGAAATATTTAACTGCCAAAAGGGGCAGGGGGGACGACTTTCAAATAGTCATTCTGGTTGCTAGGAAGAATGTTAATATGACCCTTTTTAAATAAATCTATTATTGTTTTGATTGTATGTTGAGTTATTGAAAACGACAGTTCGGACATTTACAGCAAGGATCCGCCCTGCCACATTCACAGAGTTGAATCATCCTCATTCCCTTCATGTTTCATTGGTAAGAAGGAAGTTTTATTCAGAGAGCTTATTTTCAAGAATGACTACTTTGTGGAATGGGCTCCCAAGAGGATGCTTCCCAGCTCACTACAATCTTAACCTATTTTAAACTCTAGGGTTAACCATTATCTATTCAACATATTCTCATAATCTGCACTTACTTCCTACCTTTATGTCTACGATATCCTTACGCGATAACTTGTTGTGGGTGACACCTCTCTTTGTTTGCAAAGAGTATGGATGATTTATAATAAATATTTATGGGCTCCTGGAACATTTGTCCACAGACAATATTGACAGTTTCTGAGTGTGAGTTCAAGTAATAAATGAATAAAGTAACAGTCAGTCAGTTATGTGCCATGTGTGATACATGCTTAGGCGATCATGTATCTTTTGATACATGACTGATGAGGCAGATATTTTTCCTGAGGTATGTTGCAATTTCTTTCTGTGGTAGACCAGTTGCCATCCAAGGCTATAGAACCTGGTCTGTCCTGTTATTTACGCATAGCTGAGGGAGAAGAAGATTCATACCTTTCCCAAGGGTATTAGCACAAAAGTGAATTTAATGGATTTGACTGGAATTTGAACTCGGCTCTCTGATTTCTCAATTCGAGCCACTATCCATTACTCCACTGTGCCTCCCAACAACAAAACTATATACAAATGACAATGTATTATTAACAAAAGGTATACATAAACAATAAGACTTGAGAACGTGTTTGTGTGTATGAAGTTTGGGTAGAAGTCCGTGAATTAGAAGTAAAGTGAAAGTAGTTGCCCCAGCAGGGAACATATTTTTACCTCCTACACTACAACTACACATCTTGTTGTCTAAGTGAAAAAAGTAAAAAGAGGATGACAGAGAATGTCATTGTCTATTTATAGGCTTAAGGAGATTCCCCTAGCGACAATTATTTTAGCAAAGTCAAGTGGGGTAACACACAAACTCTCTGCCATGAGCGACTACTGGGCCTTGTACTGGGTTCATTTTTTAGTATTAAAAAAATATATCTTCTTACTTAAACAATGAATTTTTTTGTTATCATTTCGAGAGAATACTGATTTTATTCCTTATTTCTTTCATTGTTACTACAATAATGGTGTGGTTTTCTTGGTACAGTAGGGAAAAAATATGGAGTGCATCCCCATAAAAAATATGTTGTGACACCAGATCTATCGATCTTAAAACCTGCATATTTAGATCTCTAACCTCAGAAAAACAAAAAGGAACGGAAGGATTTCAAAATCACTTCCCCAAAAAATGCTAACTAACAGAACTCCTCGAATTCACAATATAGTTATTTCCAACAGAGCGACATAATCCATTTCAGACCAATATTTCACTTGTAAACAAACCCAAATTCGGTAAAAAGAGAAATGTTATCGAAAAACTGAAAGAGATTTCAAAACAAACATGCAGACTGAATTGGAAGTACAGCAGTCCCTTTTTAGTTTAGCTATAGCAGTAGCTTAACAATTTATTTACAGGAAGAATCTTGTAAAAACCGACAAACTCGATGGAAGACCAATGCTTTTTTAACAGTTAACCAGAACACTAGTAGTTACGAACCGAAAGACCAGGAAAAAGTTCTCAAAACTGGAGTCTCACGGCACCAGTGGATGAGGTGACAGCTCTTTGATATAGATTGTTGAGAATGGAATCATCAATGTGGTTTGTTTTGTTGGGAAATAATCGGGCGGGTTTGTCTCTATTTTCCATCTAGCTAGAGAAAGATATATCTCCTTTCTTTCGGAAGGCTGAGAATCCATGCAGTAACAAGAAAAACAACACTAAGAAGAAGAATGGGTGTTTTTTAGGTTCAGTACTACAAGGCTCTTCGTTTGGGACAGCTTTTTGTTGATTCAGTGTCAATTCATCGAATTAAACTTGTGTTACTGTTAACATAAAGAAAGAGGTTTAACTGTCCGAACAATATTTTGATTGTAAAATTGATAGTTTTCTAAGCGAAAGAAATAAAAAAAAAAAAAACTTGATTACAAGTTCGTGCAAAGGGAAGTAGTAATTACTGTAATACGGAAATGTTCCTAATACACACTGGCATCTTCCTCAATCTCTGGTCATTCGCGACGAATGATAAAAAAAAGAGTAAGAAGACATTATTAGTTCCTGGAGATCCATCTCCTATGTAGTACCTCTTCTTGATTCTCTAACTAAAAAAAAGGTGGGGAGGGTTATACTTTTTTTGACACTTGCAGCCATTTACTAATGAAACTAAGCAACTGAATAATAATTTTTACTTACAAAAACATGACAGGTTTCATTTTGGGAGGGAATTACAAAATAAAAAAAATACTTCTCTAAAAAAAATGAAATGATTATTTAAATTAATTTTGTAGTGAAGAATTCTGATAAATTTTAAAACGTTTCTTTGGCGAGACTACTGAACCGCTTCAAGGAGTAAATAAATGCAATTTAAATACTAAAAAATAAACAATAAACACCAACCGTACAATATCCACGCATATTTCAGCCGAACTTGAGTGTTCTTTACTACTTGTACTTTTGTTCTTCCAAGGTGAATATATTGCCGCTATTTGTCTTCTCTGTCTTGCTAAGTTACAAATTTCGCACCAAAACAGATTCGACAAATGGTACATTTTTTCCGAGTAAATTAACGAAATTTTCTTAAATAAAAATTTCGCCTGTACTATTTTTTAGACATATTTAACAAGAGAATTAACAGAGCAGATCGAAAGATTCTATTAAATAAAGGGAGATAACTTAAAGCAAATTTCTACTTTAGCAGACACGATTGCATTTCAGTTGTAACATAAAAAGAAATGGATAATTGTTTTAGTAGATCTGTTTAAAATGTTAAAGCTTTAAGTAACCACAGTTAAAGAAATAAAAAAAAATATATATAAAAAATGTTGTTTAAAAAGTGTCATGAAAATAAAATTCTTTAAATAAAACCAAGAAAGTGTAGTAAAAGTAAATAAAAAGTACGTATTTTTGTATTTGTAACTTTTCCTGTCTTCTCTTAACGATCTATCATTCTTTCTCTATAAACAATTCTGGAAATTACATTTTTTTTTTTGCACCAGCACAGCATTTATTAGTTTCATTTAAAAAACGTAAAATCCCATTTTAAAAAGTATAACAATATTTTGCAACTTTTGTATTGATGTTTTAAAGAAATAAATTTTAAGTGTGTAAGAGATTTAGAAGTAAAATTAGCAAAGCATTCAATCAATGGGAATTTTTCGCGTCACAAGAACGTGTGGGTGGGTTATGTCGCACTTCAAGAGATGCAAATTATTGTATCATAGAACGTAAAAAATGTAAATTAAATACTATATCTCAGCAGACGAGATTCACTTAGTGAATTTATGGCTGTTACCATTTGTCTATTACGAAGAAAGTAATTTGAAAGTTTTAGAATCCAATGAAACAGTTTTTTTTTTAGTTCTGTTAACCGTTAACGTTAACCACTAAGAAACGGTACTGAGTAACAACAAACAGTTACTGTGACTAAATGTAAACAAATTTGAAACATATACTTTTAAACTTTAACCGATGTTATATTTTTAAAATTATTTTGAAACACATTTTCTGTTATGTTTTCAATTAGAAAAAAATAATAGTTTTGTCAAATAAAAAAAAATATTTAAAAGATTGAAAAAAGACTGCATTTTTTTAGAGTTGGCAACTTGCCCATCATTGTCATTTTTAAATGCGATCCAATTTGTTTAAACTCAATTTCAGTTTAACCGATAACTATCTTTTATTGATTTTCTTTCATCCCATTTTTCCCTGATAAATCTTTATACGACAAATTTTTCCACAATTCGAAAATTTCAATAACAAAAGTCAATATAACGGACTACAAGAGAAAACGTAACTATTTTGTGGTTACACCGGAACTAAATAATCCTAGTTCTGTAAATAATGATATTGTGCAGCTAGCCCTAATTTACTTTTTAGTCGAAGAAACCTTTAGTTTAAATCTAATTTGTCGACAAAAACAATGGAGCATACTTACTGCTCGAAGACATTATTTTTTGCACACAATGATAATTTTTCCTTCGTTTATTTTTTCTTCTAACAAAAAAACAAAACAAAAAACCAACAAAAACAAAAAAATAGATAGAGTGTGTATTACTATTTTATTTTTAAAATTTTAAAAATATGAGCTTTTTACAAATCTCTCTTTAGTCTTTATGCATTTATTACTGTTGTGAACATAACGTTTCAGTTAAGCTGATCCATTCTTCTTCAGTCCACGTTAGGTGTAACAACTGTGTAATCCGTGAGTCAACGGAAACTTCTGTGCTGTATGAAAATTTAACTCAAATAGTGTTACAAATGTTTATTTTTTATTTTATTTTAGGAAAAAAACAAAACCAAAAATCACATTTATGATTTTAGCGTGCGATATATTTTTAATTTTATCTTTTTAGTTTAATTAGAATGAAAGAAAAATGTATTTTCTTATAAAAATTAATTTTTAACACTTGACTAATTTAGACTGGTTCACTCATCATAAAAATAGTGAAGATGAAGGGAAGGGGATAATTTTTGTCTGTTGATCCAGCATTAGGCCGTTACACTATCAGAATCGAAAAATATTGATTTGTTATCAATTTAGAAAGGGGGTGATGTTTTGTTTATAATATCGATACAGCGTTAAATCGATCATTGACTTTTACAGAGTTATTTAAAACGTAAATTGTAAACAAGCTTTTATACTGTTATTAACAATTAACAAAATGTCAAATTTAAAATGTGCAAACTAAACATCATTGATATCTGCATATTTTTTTTAAGTTTCTGAATTTGATAAGTTAAAACTTAACATCTTTTAAAAAACATTTTTAAATGGATTTTTTTCAGAAGCAAATATGCATAAAACTAAAAGTAAACTAAAAACAATTTTTCAGGTAGTTAAATTAAGAATTAACGGACATATAATTTTATTAATTTATGCAAATTTTTGTACTTTATCAGTTTGTTCTTTATTTAAGAAAAAAGTTTTTGTAACTCCACCTAAAAAAAAATCTGTTTTTGTATGCAAAACTGCCAAATAAATTCAATAATTCTGTAAAAAAAGTCAGGGATCGATTTAATGCTGTCTCGATATTATAAAGAGAACCCCCTCTCTAAATCGATAACAAATCAATATTTTTCAATTCTGGCAAGTGTCGCAGCCTATGAAACACTTAAAGAATGCTAATTGACAAAGGTTAGTTTCCCACAATATTTTTTTCTACTTTTTATGAGTGAACCAGTCTAATTATGTAGTGACAGTGACTGGATTTATGTTCTCGTCTTCTTGTGTAACTAAAAATAAGTTAGGAAGCAAGCATCACGAGTTTTTGTTTTTATAATACTCGAGATAGAAATAATTTAAACATTTCTTTGTTAAGTAAATAAATATTTGAATTTGTATTTGATGGTTACTGGAGCGGATTTTCCAGTTGCTTACGACAAAAACAATTAGAGGGCGATATTTGAATAAAAATCTTTATTGTGATGACTAACAGTTGGTTGAGTAAAAAACTGTAACGGTAACACGTACGTGGAAACAGTTATCTAACAATTAGTGCGAATTAAATTTAAAGTAGGGAAGATACTCTCACAGGCTTATACTTTAATTTTTTTAGAACAATAATTAAAAACTTAATAATCTTTTTGTTTAGATTAATTTTCAAATTTAAGCATTTTTTGTAGTAAGTGTCTGTAGTCATATCAGAATTTTTTAAAAGATTAATCAAGCAGCTTCAATTTCATTCACAACATTTTCTTTTAACTGATCTTATTTTTTGAGAGTACTACTATACACTTTGCTTTTTAAATACTTGTAGAAAAAAACAATTTGGATAGTATTTTATTTTTCTGTCTTGTCAATAATACTGCGTACCCACGTCGACTTAAAGGGGAGATAACTCTAAGTTATTAAATTTTCTTTTCCCACGCAATTTGTAATCAAAATAACTTTGGGATATTTTTTAATTTTGTTTTTTCTAATTCAAAAATTTTTTTTTTTTATAAGCATGTGACCACATTACATAAGCTATTGTAGAAAAACCAGAAAATACTTTTTTTTAAAAGTCATTTATTTGTTCGACCTACAGTACAAATCGATTAAAAAACTCATGTGATTTGTTAAAAATATCAAGTTTATTCCGTTTTGATGTTTTTAGAATTGGGTATTACAAGAAGCGTGTTTGTGAAAGTAGGTAAAGGATAACTGAAATTAGATCGTCATTATCCAAACAAACCACGTTAATACTGTCTCATTTTCTCGTTTGACCAAGAAGACAAAAAAAAAAAAAAATAGAAGAAAAAAAAAGCAGCAGCAGCAGCCGCCTCTGTTTCGATTTCGGCTGGCGGATGTAAACTGCACGCCATATTTATTTCGACTGTGTATCTCTGGGTATCCTCGCTGTTATCCATCGTTATTATACTTTTCAATCTACTGCTGCTGCTTTGCTACTTATTTTCAATAAGTCTAACATACTAAGAGGACGAATAGCTGACTCCTCAACCCGTTTATTATTGGATAAAATTCGATTGCAAAGTAGTTCAAATATCAACCAGAAAGCTCTGACTTCATCACCTTCACAACACGCCGACCACCACCACCACTACTTAAATAAGAAGTTGGTTATTTGACAAAAACAAAATAATAACAAAACAAACTCGAAGATAACCACCACCAATAATAATAATATCAACAGCAATAATAGCAGCAATAATAATAATAATAATAATAATAATAATAGAACAACTGTAGCAGCAGTGTTTATTATCCCATCTCTCCATCATCGTCGTCTTTTTTGATGAATATATAAAATCAATGACATCTATTCAGAAAAATCGGGAGGGGAGGTATGGAGACCAAGAGTATTTATAACGCAGCCCGAGACGGGAAACTGTCCCGTTTAAAATCTCACCTCGACCCTAAGACTCTAGAAGATAGGTGTAAATTGGTTGCTACCAAGACAAACGGGGCTACTCCCTTGATTGTCGCTTGTCGGAATGGTCATTTGGATATTGTCAAATACCTCAGCGACGAATGTAATGCCAGCATGGAACAGGTTGGCTCTGTGATTTTCGACGGGGAGACTATAGAAGGAGCCCCTCCTTTATGGTGTGCAGCAGCGGCTGGTCATTTAGAAATCGTTCAATATTTGATCGAGAAAGGTGCAGGGGTTAACCAAACGACATTCACAAATTCCACACCTTTGCGGGCAGCCTGTTTCGATGGACACAGTGAAATTGTCAAGTATCTGATTGCTAATAAAGCAGACATCGAAATCGCTAATCGACATGGTCACACTTGTCTCATGATCTCGTGCTACAAGGGTCATAAAGACATTGCCGAATACTTGTTGAAACTAGGAGCAGATGTTAATAGAAAAAGTTTGAAAGGTAAATGCTTGTTGTTTCTTGTTGAGTCGCCTTTTTATTTCACTTGCAAATTAATACCAATTATTGGGAAAAATATGTTAAAGTTTAAAAATATTTGATTACAAACACCACAAATAAATGAAGTAATTTGTTGATTTTTGTATTTAAATTTTTTTTTTTAATTTAATTTGTATGAAATCCAGTTCAATTTCGGTAAATTATGGATCAGAATTAATTCCTTTCGTGACATGGTTCAGGTTACTTAATGTCGATCTTATTTGCGACTTTTTTTTTGTACACATTTAATAACAAAAACAAACATAAATTCATTTTCGTCCTCTACTCTTTGAATGTGTTTAGTTTACTTTATTAATCCTATCCATTTTCATTATTGATCATTATTTTGAATTTATTGACTTACAAGCAACAACAACAACAAAAAAAAACATTTCCCTGCGATTACTAAAAAAAAACCAAATGAGCCATAACTTTTTTTTTTTTTTTTTTTTTTTTAGCCGGAACCAAGTAAAAACAATGATACATTAATAAAAATTTACTATTTATAAAAATTATATATACATACACTTTTATTTTTCTTAATTTATTTTTAATATGTGAAATTTTAACTGTTTTTCTTTTTGTTTCTCCAATAGAAAGAGAAAATAAATTCGGATTTATTTTTGTACATTTGCTTATTTACGAAGTTATCTTCCTTTTGTAAACCAATTGCCTTTGTTTTAAAGAAGCAAAAAACCAATTATTGCTTTTTTAAGTAAATAATTGTATAAATTAATCACAGGAAAATAGTTTCTTGTTTACAACTGTAAAAAAAAAATGTTTTCTTTCTTTCCGGAAATAATTGTTGCATTATGGAAAAAATAAAAACAAAACAAAAAAAAATCATCGATATAAAAATAAAATAGAAAAATAATAATTGACTTGTTAGAAATATAATAATAATTAAAAAAATACCTAAAAAAAAAATAGTGATTATTTTACAATTCTGGAATTCATTATTTAAATCTTGCTAAACAGTACAGTGTTTTTTTTTTTGTCGGATACTGATTTCCACGAAAGATGCTGAAAGGTTCTCGGCCTGACCAAGAAGCGATTTTTTTCCCTAAAAATTCTAACGTTTGCTCAAATTTAGGGAAATGGGTCTCGTCAAATGCATATATTTTATTTTTATGAAGTGGTTGTGACAAGTGGATCTGTTTACTTGAGGTTTCAGTTTTGCACGCCATTTTTCAGGATGTTATGAAAAGCGAATTTTCTTTAGGTTTAGTGTTAAATGCACAATATTGTAACATTTTAAAAAAACTATTCTTTATTTAGTATAAAATCACGGATTTTGAGAGTTTCTGTTACTTTATTTGTTTTATCTTAATAAACTTAACATTTTTTTTATAATTCCCAAATGTACTTTAAGAAATAATTTGTTAGACAATTTCTGCAATTTTTACGTAATGGTTTTTTTTTTTTTTTTTTTTTAAAAAAAAAAAATCAAAAGAATATTTTTCCTTTTCCAATTTGGGAAAATTAACAATGAGTAATTTTTTTAATATCTAGCCTAATTTAGCTGTAATTCTGAAAACAAACTTGTGTGGATTTTTAACATCAAAGTCAAAACAGGATGGGTTAACAGCTAAAAATGCAAATGCAATTGTTTCAACAGAGAAGGAAGAGGTTTTGTACAACACTATTTAGAAAGAAAAGACGAAAGGAAAGAGTTATTCTTTTTTTTTTTTTTGTTGCATTTTAAAAAAAATACAACTTTAAAATTTGAAGAATCATGTATAACTTTCGAGAGGAACTTTTAATTTTATTGTCCCGAATTTATTTCTTTTTTACAAATAAAAACAATAACAACAAAAAAAATGGCTAAAAAAGAGAATGACTTGAAATTAATTGCCAATCAGACATGGAAATTGCCTTTTTTGTCTTTCAATATAGCAACTGGTGACTAAATTTTCAGTTTTAGGACCGTGAACTAATTCATTATTTTTTTCTTTTTTTAATTTTTTTTTATTCCTCTCATACCAATGGAATTGTCCACTTCGGATTGTAACTAGACCTTTTCTACTTTTGGTCATCTTAGTGTGGGGTAAAAAAAAAAAAGAAAAGATTATTGAGCAAGTTTAGTTAACCAAATGATTCGTTCCTCACTGGGTGGTCCCTACTTGTGGCTTTGTGTCAAACTAAGCTAACTAAAGTAAACGTAGTAAGTAACAATAATTATCAATTCTTAAAATGGTTAAAATATGATTTTCTTTGTATCTTTCTAGGTCATCAGATGTTGAGGTGAAAGTGTTCAAATTTGTGCATCTGCTTCATTTTAAGATTAAAATAACGATAAAAATAACTCCTTTTTTCCATTCCTCCTTTTACTACAAACCTTTATAATGCCTTCTGATTTTTCTTTGTAATCTCTTTTCTTTCTCTGCTTTATTTTTTAAGGGCATATATCCCATCTATTCAGTTACTGATAATCCCACTTTTTAGTCATTTATCTCTGCTTCTCACTTATGTAAAGTCTCTTTTCACTAGCAAAAGCTGTGAACCCTTGTAAAACACTTTGAGTCGGTTCTAGGTTAGACATATTCTTCTATCATAAAAACCTGATCTTTATTTTATAAGAAAAAGCAATTAAAACAGCTTAACATCATTTAATAAAGATCTTTCTCCAAGTGTACACTTTTTTGTAACTTGGAGAAACAAGTGTTGTTCATGTTGCTTCCACACTGTTTGACCTGATCTATTATTCTACAGGGAAATAATCTATAAATTCTCTCTTTTGTTAATATCTGAATGTTTGGGATGAGGAGTTATCATTATTTGCACTACTATTTACATCTTTGTTGTTTTTATCATGTTTTGGCCATTGTGCCCTCTGGCCTTCATTAGGTGTATGTTGATTCGGGTAACCTACAAGGAATTCTGAAATGAATCTTTTATTTAATCTTTTAAATCTCATAGATTAAACAAAGAGTTTAGTTCAGTATCTCTCTTTTATTGTTGAAAAAAGTGAGACCCTTTTCATTTTTTTGGTTATGGGCTATTTACCTTGAGAAGGCTGTAGAATGGTTTGCTCAAAATGTTTTGGTAACAACATCAAAAACAAAGAAGTTCAATTTCTCAAATTGTCTACATAAGTGAATTTTCCTTTAAAAAATGAAATATTTCATTGAAAAAAATAAACAAAGTAAAATCTTACTTGTGTATGTGTGTTTATTGAAGGAAAAGGGTCTGAATCCTCAAATAAATTGGAGAATTCTAGGTTTTGCGAATACCCCTAATAGTTTTAGGGCTTTAGTAGAAAAATCAGGATAATAAAATATAAAGATCAATGCAAACTATTAAATCAGTGGAGAGAACTAATCATGAAATGTAAACATAGAAATAGATTCAAAATAACATAAGAATGCATGGTATATGGGGTGTATATGTGCGTGACATGTAAATATCCATATATATATATATATATATATATATATATATATATATATATATATATATATATATATATATATATGAATTAAAATGTGTTGAACAGCATGATTTATTCCATTGGGTGCTCTGGTATTACCCACAATCAATAAATTTATAATTCAACTAATTTACATTGATCTTAACGGGTTTAAGTTTAAATTCCCTATCGCTTATTAATAATATTGGACACCTGTAGAAGAAAAACTATTTACTGTGAATCCCAGAAAAACACACTGGGGCTCATATAAGAAATGCCACATAGTAGGAATTGATATTAAACTACTAACAATGAAAGGTTCTAGCTATAAATAAACTACAATCCCAGACCGCTTCCACCTGGGATAAGATACCTTATGCCCCCACCAGTTGCTAACACAAACCCATTCTCATTAACAAGGCATCTACCCAAGGAGGACTGACATTGAAAATAAATTTAAAACAATGCTCCGAGACAGGCACTTAGGGGCTGATGATAGCTGTGTACAGAACGGCTTGAAATAAACTATGCTATGTTGAGGTAATTTTTGTTTTTTTTGCTGTAAATATATATATATATATATATATATATATATATATATATATATATTATATATTTTTTTTTTTTCCTGTGTGTTTACTCATGTCATTAATCATTGCTAACCTGGATAGTAGTAGAATAATTACTTAATGACTTTGTCTTCTCAGACTATTGGTCTCTTGGTTATTTCTTTTTTATTACTTTTGTACTCAGTCAATATTTTCAATTTTCACTTGTTTCCCCATTTTTACAAACTGATAATGTTTCTGCTTTTAAACAAAATACTAAGTCTTCATTATTATCATTTTTATTTTTGTTGGATGCAACTTTTCTCATCAAAGATTTTAAAGCAAATACTCACTGAATGTCTTTCACATAATCTATATATAAAATTCTGTGAAGTTAACAATAAGGATACTGCAATTGAGAGGCCTTAAAAAAGAATGCAGTTGAAAGGGAAGTGGTATTAATAATTCAGAGTGATGAAGGTTAAAAAATTTCAGCCTTATCTTCAGCTCTTACTAATAAACATATAATAGGTGTGTGTATAATGGAAAGTTCTCTAGCCTATCCACTTCCCAAAATCTGATTGAATAACTAAATGTTTCTTGGAAGGGCTGATAACTTTTCAGCATTCTCTCATATTGTCCAGAATGCTATTATCCCTATGATAATGGACAAATTTCTTGTATACTTCAATGTCTCCCACTTGAATGCCCCCTCCCCTTCATCAGTAAAAAGACTGTACATAGAACTTGTATGTAATTTTGGTAAGACTTCACTATCACTACACCTCCTGGAAATGAAGGGGCTTTATGCCCCTCGTGGGTCTCGAGCTTCTATATTTTCCTTTATTTTCGTTTATTTTTTGACCTCTTCCTCCTCTCTTGGGAAGATCTAAATCTGCCTCATCTATAATTGAGATTATGGTATTGTTCTTCATTGTATTGGCCATATCCTTCACAACCTCTCTTTCATTTCCTTATCAATAGTTTTATTTTATTGGCTCAAAGAC